TGGTTGTTTTTCTTTCTTTCTTTTTATTACAATTGCATTGTCAGTTGGTCATCGATCATGAGTTTGACTATCTCTTTGATATCTTTCACCTGTCTTTGGTTATGATATTGATCTGGCATATTTCAAGATCAGGCTATGATAAAGTCAAGGTAGAATGCCATATATGAGGGTGTGGATGGGGGCTAAAAGTATATAGAATAGAGAAAAATGGCATAAAAATTAAAGAGTACAGAAATGAAGGACCCCGCATCCAGACCCTCATATATACTATTGTAGTTGCTTAAAAGCGTAACGTATCATCAATGATTTAATTCTAGAAACATTCCAACGACTAAAACACTAATGTAAATGAAAAATATGTTGCCTATGGGGAAGGGTGCACACATTTTGGCTGAAATGTCAAAAGAAGTTGTTAACTGCGTCAAAATCTTTGCTTGATAAAAATTCATATCGATCCATCATAATTGATTTTACCTTGTTACTTAGATGCTTTCAAGGTGTATACTATGCATGATACACAGCATAACTATATAGAAGTCATATCAGTACCCATATCACAAAACATAAAGTCATATAGCTTGTTGTGCGGTATGGGTTTTTCTCATTGTTGAAGGCCGTACGATGACCTAAAATTGCTTAATTCTACGTCATTTTGTCTCTGGTAGATAGTTGTCTCATTGGCAATCATACCACATCTTCTTATTTTTATATGCAATTTGTGTCTAGTCTTCAACTAACGTTGTACAATGCGAATTTAAGATGATATATGGAGTAAATTTCATTCGACCAACTTTAAAAAAAGTTAAAATCATTAAGGTATTACAAGACATCACAAACCTTTCATTGACGAATTTAGTTTAAACTGTGATGTCAATGATGCAAGAATAGACACGAGTGGGAATGCTTGTAAACGTTTTATGTCTTGTTAAAGATGTTGTTAATTTGACCTGCTTTTGTTCTGTTCCAATTTGTTTTGGGGAATTATATAGTTACGTAATTTTAATGAAAAAATCTGAATATTAACTGATTTAAAAAGAATAATAACTCATAAATATCATGTAGAAAGTACGAATTAACTTATGTAGATAAGTACAAAGTACATTCGTACTTTGACATCTACGTACATGGAAGAATGTATGCATTGCGTGTTCAAAAAAAGTTTAGTACATAAGACTCGAACTTTTTTATTTTCAATACTGGTAATATTTTATCTAATTTGAACCTTTAATTGTATTGTTTAAACAACTTCATCTAATATATAATTTATGGCCTATCCTTCAGTGTTTGCTTAATACTATCAAAGATTATTGCTCAAAGTCGTAAAACATACGGATCAAAAGAAATTGAATAAAATTGAATTGTACATAAGTGCAATGCCAACACTTGTCGTAACTAAATAGAACCGGTTAAGTGAATAATATGCATATTGTGATAGTACAGCATTCAGACTATATAGTTGGCTAAAGTTACAAGTCCGAGGATAAACCACTTACACTACATGACTCATGCATGTGGTCTTATTTACTATATGATATTGTATTGGAATAATTTAATGGTATTCTGTTCTTTTTTTTATTTACACAATAAACTTAAACGTAAACCTTCGAGAAGTACTAGTATTTTGGTATAAGAGAACAAGAAGAATATTTTTATTCCAACTAAGGACCCCGAAGGGCATAAACATTTGACATGGCAATAACGTTTTAATTTGAGAATAACACAAATAACATATAAAATTGGGAGAGTGGCGTATCTACATATGTTTTAAAATGATGTGATTCAACGTCACATAAACTGTATTTCATCATGTTCTTTGAAAATTGTCCTATAGGGTCGATGATTTGAAAATGCATGTTTCTCTTCCTGTCCAGAAGGAATTGGTTTGATTGGATCTTAAGGTACTTTAAGTGACATCCATTTTATACTTGTGTTTCTAATATTTATAATTGGTCCCATTTTTGTGTAATCTGCATACGAAACAGAACAGTGGCGTAGCTTTTATTAAGACAGAGTGCATCGCCAATTTTATTTTACCAAGAAAAAAAAGAAGCCAAGGATAAACAGAGATAAAATGTAAAACATGTAGTTCAAAATATTAAGTAAAGTTGTTTGCAATATTTTACTCCCTATCCTTCAAATCCGTATCCTTCAGAACTAGTCCATCTCTGTTTCATACAAATGTCTAAGGTAGTCAGAAGCGTCTTTTTTTATAAATATTAAGAACGGACCACGTTTTCGTTTTAAAAAAATATGATTCAAACAAGAAGTTAGAACTGTGAAACTGGCATGATGGTTGATTTTTTTTATCGACAGAACCTTTGTTACGCCTGGTAGACGGCAACAGGCAGTCGATACTCCAATGGGAACCAACTGCGCTTCTCTTCCCGCTGACATTTTCCTTTACTCATACAAAGCAGAATTCATAGTTCATCTAATTACCATCTAACTATGAATCTTGGCAAAACATCAAAACTGTATAAAAATAAAAGACATACAGTTGATCTTAAACTGTTATATTACCGAATCTACACAAACACCTTTTAGAGGTGATCATGATTGTGTTAATTATTTCTGTTTTGGTCAGGCGGCCCATCTTATTTTGAATACCGAAGATTAAAATTTTAACCAGCAAACAACATCCAAATGTAGTGATTCAAGGTGTACTTGAATTTAAAATTCATGATAAAAAATTCCACAAAGCAATTAAAACTGGAACTTGAAGACAAGCGTTCTAGACCATTACTAAATTAGGACACACACAGTCCTTTACAAGTAGTACTGTACAGTAAACGATTTCTTGTTTTGTCGTGTTAGTATTCTTATCATTGGACATTCGTTTTCACAGAGTAATGATCCTTTTAGGATTTTCACTATTTATGGTATGTTTTTGGACCATGCTGTGGTGGAATTCCGGAATCATATTTTTATTTTTTCGAGCTGCGTTCCCGTGACAATATTGAAGTTTGATGGACATGTTCTTCTGCAGTCACGCGCTTTGAAAAAATATATTTTCTATTATTTTTTAAAATATCTTGCTTTAAAGAAAATGAAAGCGGTCGTTTGTTAAAAAGTGTTTCAATAAAAAAATTCGTTGGTTGTATGGTGATTATGGTATCGACGTTTTTTAAAAGATAACACATGTACATTATGTAACATTTGTTCTTATCAGGATACAAAAAGGTTTATTTACAATTTGAAAAATGCTTTAAATTTAAATGTTAAAATGCTGACTTTCAATCATGTGCATGTTTACGTTTATAAGACGCAGATAAAATATTTGATAAAACCACGCGATCTAGTCGTGTCCTGTATGTCAATTTAGACATGTTGAGATCAGTGGTTGCTATTTTTATTATTTAAAAGACGGGAAAATGGGATAGAGGTTTATACGGAGATCTGGTCCACCAGTGCTGTCATTTTATCAAAATGTTTTTTTCAAGTCTAGAATCATTATGAAAAATTCATTTTGTAATTCTAAACACAGTGAGCTTTTGAAAAAGCATATTTAAGGATTATGAATTCCTGTTATCATTAACTTTGTTCATGTATATACATTTAATAAATCATAAGAATGAAACAGATAATACACCTTCTTTGTATATTTACCTTGGAGGTTTTAGTGAAAATATAAAATAAAACAATAAAATGCAGACTTTCAATCATGTGCACGTTTACGTTTATAAGACGCAGATAAAATATTTGATAAAACCACGTAATTTAGTAATGTTCTATAATAGTCAATTTACCAGCAGTTGCAATTTTTACTATTTAAAAAATGGAATATGGCGGGTCTTTATATATAATCTTTAGTATGTAATATTATACACCTATTGACTGGTTATGAGGGTAATAGCAAGTTTGTTGTCCCTGAGATACCAACTATTGCTCGTATCAAAGGGACAACAAACTTGCTATTACCCTCATAACCAGTCATTAAGTGTTTTATTATACCGAACAAAACAACTTTCTAAAAAGACTACATGGGAAAAAAACAAATAGTCACATAAACATGCACAAGATGAACTATCAGGTTTTTTTTGTTTTTTTTTGCCGGTGTGGTATTTGTCAATATCTTATTTACTGTAATCAAGACCAGGAATCCTTGTGTAAAAATTCCCGTGCATATAATAAACGCTAGCTAAAATATACTACCGTACACCAAAGCAATCTCAGATTATGAAGACGACCTCAGTATGTTTTTTTCTATATAAAAAAGAATGAAATATTTGTGTTATTTCACTATTTGCCAGTCAATAGTTTCAAAGACTATTACCCCAGTCAATAGTCTTATAAACATATTTCCCGTACTTTTTCATACTAATTTTTCATTGGACGTCATTGACTATTTTGCTTTGCAACGTTAAACTCTGAAATATCGTAAACGGCATAATCTGTATGTGTCTGTCGTCATAATTTCAAATTGATATTTACTTACCAGAAGCAATTAAAGAAGAAAGAGTAAATCTACGCGACATATTTTAAAAACTAAAACATAACAAATGTATGGAATGGGTCTGTCGTCGTCTTCATAATCTGAGATTGCTTTGGCTACGGTAGTATATTTTAGCTAGCGTTTATTATATGCACGGGAATTTTTACACAAGGATTCCTGGTCTTGATTACAGTAAATAAGATATTGACAAATACCACACCGGCAAAAAAAACCAAAAATAACCTGATAGTTCATCTTGTGCATGTTTATGTGACTATTTGTTTTTTTCCCATGTAGTCTTTTTAGAAAGTTGTTTTGTTCGGTATAATAAAACACTTAATGACTGGTTATGAGGGTAATAGCAAGTTTGTTGTCCCTTTGATACTAACTATTGCCCTCGGCTTCGCCTCGAGCAATAGTTGGTATCTCAGGGACAACAAACTTGCTATTACCCTCATAACCAGTCAATAGGTGTATAATATTCAGTGTTCTTCCAAGGTAACATGCTAGTCCCAAACCACTGTATCGGACATCAATGATATATTTTTTTTTTTTTTTTACATTTCAGATGTAACTAATCATGTGGCTTGCAAGGCTGTGTATTATTCTTGGGACGGTTTTGTTAGTAAGAGCCCAAACCGTTTTCTACAGTGAGTATAAAATGCCTCGAAAATCATACCTGTATGTATAACGGAGATATATTGTAAATGTCAATCAGGTAGGAGGTAGCCAACATCACAAATTATGTACAGTATATAGCGTATTATTTTTGCGTTATTTGTTTGCGATCTGTGCATTAGAACAGAACTATATCTTCTCGATACTCATGGTTTTGCCTTCCAGGGCAAGGGTACCTGGGGTGACTGTGGCATAGAAATATGTACATTTTGATCTTCTTTCGACAGGCAGGCAGTAAAACCCTTGCCAAAGTGGGCGATCTTTTGGCTGTACGGGGTGTATAAGTACGCAGCCTCGTCCGGTCAGAATGGGGGCGTTAAAGATGCCTCGTGAAGAGAGAGTGCCATACTCATTGCACTTTAAGATTCATTGCAACAACTCTTTGAGTAGTCCATGGTGGCCTGTTGCAAGGCAAATTTTCGGTCCCTATCCAATATATATATCCTCATGTTAACTTGTCTTGAAAATTCATGAAATATTTGCCACTGGACGTTAAACAAACTTCAATCAATCAATCAATATAGGGCAAGGTATGCCTTGAGCCTGCACTTATCACATATGCACTACCATTCTTCACTCTTACCAATCTTAGATATATGTTCACAATAATGTTGGATAGTCCGCTTGAGTTCTCTAAATCCGTACAAATAATCATAAACCAATCATATATTTGAAGTACGATGATTTATTTTGCCGCTATATATGCAGTTGTTATGAAATAGTCCGTTTCTATGTATGTTGGCGTTTGTTTTTGTAGTAGTTCAGTGTTTATATTGTTCGTTGTTTTCCTCTTTTAGTTGATGTGTTTCCCGCGGTTTTGGTTTGTGACCCGGATTTGTTTCAGTTTAATCGATTTATGACTTTTGAACAGCGGTATACTACTGTTGTCTTTATTTAGTGCATGTTTATCTATTATTTATAATAGAATACGAACTGTGGTAAAAAGTCAATATCTTGCATTTGTCAAAATATTGTCTTTTTAGTCGTACGTTAAAAAAATATTAACCAGGAATGAGCCCCGAGCTAACATGATAACAGATAACGAAATGAATGTGTCAGCAATTGGTCAGAGGCTTTTTCAATTCTATACAATATACTCTCAAGATCAAATAGTTTAGCTCGGTCTAGAATTTAATTATGGTTATTCCAATGAATGGTATATACTAGTTGGTGTAGCGATCGTAATTTTATTAAACACGTCCCTCTGTTGATTGGTTGGTTGCATTTTGCTAAACGTTAAGTGGCAAACATTTCACATATTCATTACAAGAACAACTGTATATAGGTAGGTTCTACAAAGTGGGAAATTCGAACTTTCACTGGAAAAGTGTGTGGGATAGGGAAGAGATGTTGCATGGCGACAGGCAACCTACTATTGCTTACTTTCATTGGCAAATGTAGTTCTATATTTTTCCGGATTTGATTTGAGAAGTCCATGTGATCATGTTTATCGTAGTATACTTCAGTTCTTGTAGCTAGTCTGATAATTTACTTAATATTAGGCCAGGAGACCGGAAAAGACTCAGGCGGGAAATACGCTGGATCAATATTTAACGGTTAAAAAAGGAAGATTTGACTTTTACTGGGCGACAGATTAAAGACATATGTCAGTTTTAACTAAGAAGCCTACATTTCTTCGATGCCATTCTATTAAGATGAGCTTAAAAAATTTACCTACACACTTATAGAAATTACCATAAGCGGATCTAAAAGGGGGGGGGGGGGGGGGGATGGGGGAGATTCTGGCCTTATGAAAAGTTCTGGATCCGCCACTGATTACAAACAACCGATGTCAGTTTTGGAAACAAAAATTCAGTGAGCACAATAATTGTGTAGTGTAGCTCTTCACAAGGAATTATACGAGTCTGCTGCATTAAGTGGACACTCATGAAGTTACTTGCTTAACCCTGTATACGAAAATTAGCAAGTTTGATGTTTGCATGGTACGAAAAAAATGTCAGAATGAAAAAAAAATCCATAGGAACTATCCATCCGCCTCCGAAAGTTAAATGAACCGAACATAAATGATATTCCAAAAATTAGACGAACATTCGATTTTTCGGATTGGGGTTTGTTTTTTTGGGGGGAAGGGTGCAGTCGGAATAAATCGCGCGAACATTTTCCATTTGATTCATTCTTTTTTGGGTAAGATAATTCAGGATTTTTTTCAGTTCTTTATACAGAGAGCAAGGATTAATTTGTATAGTAAGACATACATAAATTTGGCGCCAAAATATAAGGTTAATTTTAAGGACGTGAACATCGACAGAGTTTTTTAAATACAAGATTGTATGCTTTCTAGAGCTTTAATAAACCGACACACTTAACGAAAATACAATGATATACAATATAAAGGTTAGTTACGGTTGCATAAGTATCCAGTAAATATTTGTTAGAGAGGTCACGTACTATAAACAAATCCTTTAAGAGGTGTTGTTCAAAGTTCTTGCATACAAAGCTCTCGGCATATGAGATGCACATTTGATTTTCAGTGTGTTTTGATTAAATCACCTAACTCCAAATGTTTTCAGGGTTAAATCAGGATAAATACTCTTAAGTTTTGAATGTTATTTATTGTTCTTCTCTACTTATAAATAAATTTTACAAAAGTTTTTAAAAAATGTCCCAGAAGGTGAGCCATCCCTCCTTTGTGCAAAGTCCAACATTAGGCTAATTTGACACACCTATTTGATTTATCTATTAATGTCTATGAAATTTAGTGCATTCACATGGATTGATAAATCATTCAAAGACAATACGTACTGACTTTCTATGGAAAAAACAATTTGTCATTGGGTGTAAATTTTAATAATCCTCCTCATGGGGTTTTTGATTATGTGATTACTTGGCCGTTTTTATAGTGATTATTTGATTACCAGACCAAATATTTCATGATCATTTGATAATCTAGGACTGTATTTTTTATTGTTTGATTATCTTGTTTAAAAAAATAATGATTATGTGATTATATTGGCAAAAAAATTGTGATTATGTGATTACTTAGACACCCCCTTGAGGGGCCTCTATTACCAGTAGTTTGATCTGTTATGATGAGAATCAAGGACAAAGACAAGTACGAAAATCCAAACCTCACCAACAGATTTTGCCCTAGACAAAATAAACAAAATTAACATTGCAAAAAAAACAAAACACTTATTGCGAACCAAATGAAACTTTTCCACAGAGTCATCTCCTATTAATCAATCTATTTAAACTTTTGTCAGTTCTATGGTCCCATTGAATAAATACAACAGCTATTGTTCTCTGTGTAGTTTATTCACTGGGACTTTTAAATTTCTTCTAAGAGAAATCCATCACTCATTGATTAATTTACCTAAGTAAAAAAATTATCTTCTAAAAGATGAAAATACATGTTTTAACTCACAAAACTGCATAACAATATCTATATTGAATTCCTCACTACCTAAACATATAGAAAAAATACATTTTTTTTTTGTGTTTAAAAGTAAAAACAAAAAATAAAATGCTATATTAATCTTTTTGTCCCCAATTTCTCTTAACAATATGTTTTTTTTTTTTTGGTTGAGAATCTATAAAATTAATTGAAATAGCTGGTAATACTACTTTTACGTGTACAAAAGGTTGCATGTGATATTTCAATTTGTTCGCTTCAATGTGTGAATGAAATCACATGCATTTCATTGAAATATTGATGGGGTTGGATATGAATGTGTGACATTGCTGCACTGATAGTTGATGTCATTGCCTACTATTTTTTGAGTCATGATCTTTAAAATTAATAGGCAGCAAGATCATATGAATAATTTTATCAAAGGACCAGTAGGATTTTATGGTCATGTGATTTATAAACAATATATCAGAATTTTTTTTAATTTTGATAAGACTTGGACAATTACGGATAAACTTGCTAGCATACCTGATTTTTGAACATGTATCTGAAAATATTTTTGATACATGTACAAAACAAATGTCAACTGTGTCCCTTCATGTTATGATTAGTAAAAGATTTTTTATTTTATTTTTACTGGTTAACATGCACATGGTTTTATACTTATAGATTGTCCAGATGGCTGGGTGACAGATCTACCAAACAAAAGATGTTATAATTTCGTTTTTTATCCGAAATTGCCATATGTGTTGGCAGCAAAATCATGTGCTGTAAGTTTTCTTGAATTTAAATAATAAATGAACAGTTTACCTTTTTATAACCATACATATAAATTTACTGCTGCTTTCCTTCAATAAGTCTGTCTGTCTGTCAAACTTCTGTTAAGTTATAATAATAAAATGTGGTATGATTGCCAATGGGACCACCATCTACCATAGTCCAAATGACTTGGATTTAAGCAACTGTTTGTCATACAGTTTAAAAAAAGGTACAACCTATTTATTATGTTAGACATTTGTGCATATACTGAAAATGTTAACATCGACAGGATTTTAATTTTCACAAAATTACCAGCAGATCCAGGATTTTGAGAGGTGGGGAGGGGGCCTATAAATATTTTTGGCTAATCACATTATGAATTACAAAGTAAAAACTCTTTTAATTGTGCATTATTTGTATTGATACCTCAGTTATGGTCCAATTTTACCATAATTCATAATAGTTTTTAGTACAGTTTACTTTGGCCACCACCCCTGATCCAGATAATTGTTCAGTCTAGGGAATCATAGTAAACATTTGAAACTTTAGGTTACAGAACATTTTGGTTCATAGGTTACAGCCTGAAGCTTTTACGTCCGAAAAATGCACAAAATGCACAAAATCATAAACTTTAAATTTTGACAATATCTTGGAAGTGTGTTTGCAGCCTATAAAAGTATTCTTGTGAAGATATTTGTTTTACCTAGCATATAGACTTTTAAAACAGATCCATTAAAAAAAAAATAAGAACCAAATTGTAGCCCTTTTGATATTTTTTTATGAAGTTTTATAGGGCCTTCATGTCTCATGGAACTCAAAGAAAAAAAATATGCCAGAAGGTCACTATAAGCTCTTCCCCTTTATATACGGTATCTGAGCTTGCTCACTAAAGGTTCTTTCATTTATCATGAATTAATTACTTTAATTTTTAAAAAGAACACAGGAAGCCATTGATTACAGAAATGTCTTCTCCCAGACATTGTATCATATACAAAATATACTTGTTAACTGTTAAGATTATTTAGTGAAAATAAATGTATGAAAAATTTCATTTAAGATCTTTTGTTTGTAAACTAATAAATATGTACATTTGTTTTTAGGAATCATTCTCCACTTTAGTCAGTGTTACAACAAGTACTGAACATAGTTTTATTAATGAGTATCTCATTTCACACGATATAAATAGGTAAGGTGTATAACATATTAATTCCAATTGTTATTTTCTCATTGCAATGACTGACATAGATATTGTTTGGTTGTTTGAATTGTCTTCAGATGCTGACATCTCAATTTACTGTATACAATTTCAAGTGTAGGCAAAATAATATTAAGTATATGATATATAGATATATAATTGTAATATATATCAGATATAAGGTCCAGCATGTAATAAATTTCACCTCAACAAAGGTAAGGGGTGACTATATGGGTGTCCACTATGACAATGTATGACAGTGTACACATCATCATCCACATATTAGCATAATTTGGTACTCTTGACATGTTGTTAGCTAATAGTTCTGTAACATGTGACCTTGAAAAAAGACATTAGACTACTAGGAAGCATTAAGGTCTTGTAAGAGGTTTCTCTCATTAAAACATAGCAAGATATTTTCATAAGTGGGATGAAGTTTATATAACATATAAAATACCTATTCTAAATTTTTCATTTGAATGTTAAATATTTAGTTTAAGCATATTGTATTTGCACAAATTTAGCAAAATGGACGACATAGATAAAACATATTTATGAAATTCTTCTCCATATGTTAATTGTATAATACCGTCATATACATTTACTGTATTTTCTTTACTTTTTAAGGTATGAATGGTATTCAAGTGGAAGGAAAGAACTTAATAATGAATATTTATGGGAAGGGGAAGGTGTTACACTGAGGGATGTGAATCCAGTCATTAACTTCTGGATGGCTGGGTACCAGTTTGTGCCACACGATAGATTGATATATAAATTTGATATTACTCGTAAGTTGTTAATTATAAATTAAATTTATTCAGATGTCTATATAGCTCTTTTTTTTATATTGTTCATATGGTTATACAAGTGTCAATCAGTCTGATACCTCTTTTTTATTTGTCTGTCATCTTATTTTTGGGACGTTTAATTAATTGGTGCTTAACACCACCTTCAGGGTTATTCATTTTTTCTTCAAATGTCCTGTACCAAGTCAGGAATATGGCAGTTGTTATCAAAAAGATATTTTCTATGTATGTTGGCGTTTGTTATTTGTTGCACCTCAGTGTTTTCGTTGTTCCGTTGTTTTCCTCTTATAGTTGATGTGTTTCCCTCGGTTTTAGTTTGTAACCCGGATTTGTTTTCTCTCAAACGATTTTTGATTTTTGAACAGGGGTATACTACTGTTGACTTTATTCTTCCTAGCGGCCAGTTTTTATGGTGGAGGATGGTTATAGGAGTGCCTGGAGAGAACCTCCGACCTTCGACAGGAAAACTAGCAATCCTAGTTAATTAAGATTGGCGTGGAATGCACCTGCCACTTGCAGGGTTCAAACTCACAACCTCAGTGTTGACTGGCTAGTGATACTGTAGAGGAACTTCTTGATCACAGACTGGCCTTGAGAAGTTTATATATATATAAAACATTGTATACCTAATTAGGATTATCTGATTTTATTGTGGTATCACTGATTTATACACCAAATCAGTTTTTATGTATTTCGTAATTCTTCACTTTGAGAACCAAAGTAGACCCTGAAACTATATACTTCCTTAACATATAAGCTTCCAAGATTGTATGCAAAACAGAATGTATACTGATGGGGTTTCAGTTTTTCTGACATCCCATTTTAACTCTCACAGAACAGATACTTGTGAAACTATCAGGATCCAAATTATCTAACTGCAATGTTCACCTATTTAAAACACACAGAAGAAATAATTTAAAAGATTTTTGTTCACTAATTTACCTCAGATGGCACCAAAATATTGGCTCCATTATTTCAAAATATTCTCCTGCTTCAGTTTTAGCATTTTCTATAATAGTAGACAAATAAATTGCTGTACACAAAGCTTGTAAATTTCTTTGTTGTCAGATCTTTGGACTATTTTGACAAATAAAGACCCTCTGCTTACAAAATACCTGATTGGACAGACACACTTGACATAACTTAACAATATTTAATCCATACAGATAATTGGTCTTTTAGAAAATGGTTACAGATGGTATATAGGTGAAGACACTATAAAAAGATCTTACATCTGTGAAATAGGTCAGGAAGAGGCCTACAGGGTACTTGTACAGAGGAGAGATTTTAGTAAGTAAATTTGATACAAAAGTGAATAGGGTTCTGGGGTTTATATATATATATGTTATTAGTATTTTTTCCAGCAGAGATTACTGTAAAAGTCTAGATTTACATATGTTTTTTTTCTTTTTTGCTATTTTTACAGTACCTGCAAACAGTAAAAAATAGTTCTGCCTCCCCTCCCCTCCCATAGAAAAAATGGCTTATTAATATGGAATGTACCATTATATTTTAAAACCGCAAAAAAGAACCTGCAAATTAGCTGCACAAACAAAAATGTGAAAGGAGTAAGTTCGGTAAGGGCCATTTCAGCCCCATATATTAAGTTCTTTGTTGAAAGAAAAAACATATTTAATGTTGATGAAAAGACACTTAAGAAAAGTAAAATAGAACTATTTTTTTCAGCTTTTCTTTTTAATTGTCGAAATTTGACAAAATGGTCTTGACTTCACCCAAATTAAGGCCTTGGAAAAACAGAGGACAGGTTTCTACTAGCTAAATGTTCAAGTTAGATATGTAAAATCAAATAACAAACAATATGTTAAAAGATCTTTTTTGTTGACGCATGCGCTCCATGTTTCTGGTAAAAAATAAAGTGGAAATTTAAGCTGTTTTTTCATGGAAAATCAATATGTGTGCTATTTGTAACATCATGAAAAGGATGTTAAAATGTAAATTTTTACTGCTTAGACATATTTCCTATCTCCTTTGAATGCCACAAAAGTTACCCATTTACATACTAGTATATACCTTTATTTTGTGCTTTTATGAAAAATTTTGACTTATATTTTATAACTTAAATTTTTCAAAGACAAAGCAATTTTTTAGCTCTTAAATAAATGAGACATATTTTAGCTTACATACACTTTAAAAGCTAAAGATTTATAACATTAATGAAACTTTGTGTGCCACTTACCAGACGTCTTGAATTTCATATACAAAAACTATTAACATTGGTCCTATCAAAACTGTTGAACAAAAACAAATTTTGTATTTGCACTATATTAAACCAGCTTTGAACTGTTAGCAACAGCTACAAAGATAGTATTTACAACTTTATTTGCAAATCAGTCATCACAAATGTTTTAACTTGTAGCTTTTGGAACACCATACCTAAATCTAGATGAAACGGCTAGTGGTCCAACCTTTGACCCTGATGGCGTGCCAGAAAATATTTGGTTTCTTAAATCAGCAAAGTCACTATATTTAGAATGTTTAGCTATAGGTCATCCACAGCCTACATACAGATGGCTTAGAGGCCCAACCTTGGAACAAATTTCTGAAGAGGTATGTATATTCACAGTTTGTTATTCTCTTGATCAATGGATTTGGGGAATCACCTCAGATTGTGCATGGGGGTGTTAGCAATTTGTTCTTTAATCTTTTGGTTCTTTTGTTCCTGTTACGGTTCATTCACATAAGCAACTACAATTCATGGTTGAATGATTCTTATCACTTTGGATACCTCTTATTGTTGAGCTGTAAGTCCAAAGTGGTATCATTCATTCTGACTGACAGTAGTTAGTACTTCAGTATCAGCCATGATGTAAGAAAATTCATTTTGATAAATTCTCAATTGCAGAAAAGGAAAACTTAAACTTTATTTTTGATTACAAGTTAATATAACTAATATTTGTTGTCTGTTGAAAGTGACACAATGCCAGCAAGAATGGATTGCAGTACAGGTTTAGACAAATAACATATTGTATAATAAAAAAAAATCCTAAAACCACAAAACATGCAACAAAATTAGCTTTACCTGATATTTATTTCAGTATTATAATACAATAATGCTCTTCTTCAAATGTTATCCCAAATTATAGAAAAGTGGAAATGTCACGGAATAGAAGTTCCTTCATAATATAAGTTCCAAAAGGAAAAAATATTCTGGAATATTATTTCCACAGGAATAAATATTACAGTATATGTTCCTAACGGAATAAATGGTATAGAATATTTGTTCCAACAGGAATAGATATTATGACATTGTTTATAACAAAGTTTCCAGTGGAACTTCTGTTAGGCGGAACAAATATACGTTGACAGAAAGACCTATTGTATGTGTTCTGATTATTAGGTCTCTCCACTTTTCTATGGAAACACCTATTGTATTTGTTCTGATTATTCGGTCTTTCCACTTTTCTGTGAAAAGACCTATTGTATTTGTTCTGATTATTATTTTTTTTTTTTTTCTTCTTCCACCACTTTTATTTCTTGCGTGTAACTTTTGTTTAGCAAGATGTTGCTTTGATGTTTGGTATATGATATCACATAGTTTATGCACCTTTGAAACTAACCCTGCTTAACCGTATACTTTTCTTTGTAAGAGTTATCTCCCAGAACACTGTTTTTCTCGTGGGCGCATCTCCTCTGTAACCTAAAAGTAAGCGACAAATTTATTTTACCAAATTGCTCGCTATATCCTCAGGATTTTTTGTCCAATTTTGACGGAAGCGATACGAAAAGACTCCATATGAGAGTTATTTCCCCTAATGCATTTGAAATAAGTGATATGCATTTGTAACTGGTAAACCATAAGTGATAGAGACCTAGGGTCTGTTGATTTGAGGTCCTTGGTCCAAAGAATAGAAAACTAGGTCAAGGTCAAAGGTCAAGGTCATGTTGTGATTTTTTACATTAAGTATATCGCTTCTTCCTAGAAAGAGTTATAGATATCAACAAAACAGTTAAACCAAAATGTTTGTCGCGACATGTCCTTACTAGAAATTTTTTGTCAAAATGGTACACGTCATTTTATTGCAGTGTTAATGTCCCTGTTATGGTCGAATCGACAAATTACTTATCAAATCTTCAAACTTTGCAGCTTTCATGTTGTAAATGTTTCTTATCTCAATTATCAACCACAGTCTACCACTCTATCACTACACTCCCCCCCTTTTTTTCAACTGATTTTTTTTTTAGTTATCCCATTTCTATGAAAAGAAAATCGCTTTTAGTCCCGTACATTTTACTGTAAAATGCTAATCCTTCTTATGTACAAATTTCTTTCTGAAATAGAAATCCATCCCTACAAAAATCTGCTCCAATTCATGTATTTTATGAAATTAATCGATGAGACACATGCGGTTCGCTTGATTGAGAAATTAAAATCAATGACGTAGAAATCGCTCCCAAGTTCGTAAATATTATTGAAATCCTACAATCAAATTTCTAAACATGCATTAAAATACAAATCTGTGCTCCCCGTAAACATGTGTACGTAAAATGCATGCATGATCCGACATCAATGACCTGTACAAAATAAAAACCATAGTTATCATATTTCTCTGTATCCACTGAAAAAATATTAATATTCTGACTCCAAACATATATATTTGAGCGTCACGTGACTTCACAAACATCACCCCGTGTGCGGACCTAAATTTAGGATAAAAAATTCCATATCCAAATAAAGTGAAACTTCCACGAAAAAATATTTCTCAGTTTTCCTACAAACTCAACTAAAATGCACACACAACAAATAAAAAAAAACAACATGAAGTCAGAGTTCCTGTAGAAAAAAGAGAACATTTATAAAATGAAGATGCAAGGATTTTTATTCATAAGGAAATCCTGGCCGTCCGTTTGGCTGTCCGGGATGTACAAATACACAGCCAGGTTCGCTCAGAATATTAACGTTAAGTCCGATGCCTCGCATAGAGAGAGTGCCATGCAAACTTTCAATCAATCAATCAATCAATCAATCAACCAACCAACTTACCAAACCAACCCTATCCCATGTGTTTAATTACCATATCAGCCAAACAACCAAACAATCAATTAATTAATCAATCATGTTTCAGAGAGGAAAGACCGTTAACAATTGTTTTTAAAACAATTTTTTATATTTATTATTATTATTATTTTTTTCTTCTTCCACAGGTGTTTGGTGGTTTCGTAAGATGTCGCTTAGATTTTTTGCATATCGAACAGTTATTGCGACTTTGAAACTGACCCTGTTTAATCGAACACTTTTTATTGTAAGATTTATCTCCCCAAACACTGTTTTTCTTGTGTACACATCTCCTTCGCAGCCGTAAAAGATTATGACAAATTTATTTCACCAATTTGCTCGTTATATTCTCAGGATCTTAAGAAATATTTTGACTGAAGCGGTCCAGAGCCTCCATATGAGAATTATTTCCCCTTTTGTATTTTTACTAAGAAAAATGTAATTGTAACTGGTAAACCATAAGTGATAGAGACCTAGGGTCATTTGATTTGAGGTCCTTGGTCCAAAACAAAGAAAATAAGGTCAAAGGTCAAGGTCATGTTCTAAATTTTGATTTCTGTTTATTTTCTCTTCTTTTCAGAAACCGTATAAGATATCAACAAATAATTTTAACTAAATTGTTAGTTGTGACATGTCGTAACACATAACTTTTGGTTGAAAGGGTGTGTAGACATTGAATGGGAGTTTTAGTACCTCGTATATTTAGAATTATGCGTATAGTAATATAAGTCATTAACCATATATAATAAAGACCTAGGGTCTTTTGAATTGATGTCCTTAACTTATGACCTTGAAATTTAGTTCAAGGTCAAATGTAAAATTGACGTTCTAGATTTTGATCTTTGCTGTAGATTCATATTTATACTTGATAAAGCCTTGGGATCTTTTGCATTAGGTTTGTAGACATATAACCTTGAAAATGTCAACCAGAAGTGACCTTTTTAAAACCAGAAGTAGCAATTTATCTCCCTTATTTTAAGCAAAAGTATATAGAAACTATATATTTTTAGAATCAGAGTAAAGTAAGCTATTATTTGTCACCAGAAGTAATTTTGATTTAACTGGAAGTGGCTTATTATCTCCCTTAATTGATGAAAAAAACTCCTCAAACACTGTATTTTCAAAATCAGTGTGTGTATCATTTAAGCCCGGACAATTGTTTTTTATCAAAATTTTCTTATCTTAAGTTAATTTGAGTGGAAAGACCTTCAATTGTTCTCTGAACAATTGGTTTTTAATTAAATCTTGAAATTTTCATTTTCTATGGTCATGTAGACCTTTCTGATAAAGGAAAATAGAAATGTTCAAGAAACTACCACAAACACATTCCTAACGATTGTAAATCAAGAAAGCTATTTGAACCACCAAAATTTATAAAGTTTTCATTTTATAACATTTCATACAGATTTAGAAAAAAATGGTTAAACTGCTATTTCCTGAAAGACTTTTCTCCTGCATAACAGCAAACATTACATTATCATAACAGCAAGCATTACATTATCATATCAGCAAACATTCATTACATTATCATATCAGCATACATATATTAAATATTGTTATAATAGCAGACATTATGTTTTCATAACAGCATACATTACATTATCATATCAGCATACATATATTAAACATTGTCATGATAACAGACATTACATTGTCATAACAGCATACATTATAATGTCAACAGCATACATTACAATGTCAACAGCAAACATTACAATGTAATAACAGCATTACATTGTCATAAACCTTACCAAACGGTGCTAACAAGTTACACACAAGATGCTCACATTAGATCTTGGGTTAGAAACTAACATGATTGCACAGGAGGTTTTTAACATGCAAATTAGGTGAGCATTTTGTGAGCACAAAAATCGCATATATGAAACTAACCTAATTTGCATGTTAAAAACCTCACTTGCAAATGCTCATATGAGCTTTTGTTTCACATGTGCATTTTATCTTATATCCCAACTCCTTTGTTGTTCTAACAGGAATGATCTGAGTCGGATCACCCCTACCAGATCACCCTACCTTGAGTGTCTTTGTTCTGCATGCTTTCTTCTGTTCTGTAACATTTTGGCGGGAATGTTGAACACACAATAAAACTTAGAAATATAGAATAATTTATTCGGAATAAAGACTAAACTTTCAAAATTTATGTAGAAAAAATCCACTAAATTTCCAGTGTCTATGCAGGGAATCGAACTCATGACCTTAAGCATATGAAGCCGCAATTCATACCCCTACACCAGGACGACTGGATACAAACTTTCTGTTAATTTAACATATTTAAACATTGTATCTGGGGCTCATAAAGGGTATATGATATATAGTAATATATAAAGTATATTATAATTATTGTATGGCATTCTGAACTAGATGTTATGAAGCGTAAATGTTATTTCATATAGTCTAGAAGAGCTGGGATGTAAAATAGTTATCCCACTCGGACTTGGTGTGTCAGTGTAAGATCTCGATCCCTCTGGTCTCCGGCCATCGGGGTGATCTCACACTGACACACCGCATCCTCATGGGATAACTATAACAGATTGCTCATAAGACCAGCTGCTCACATTTTGCACATGTGAAAATTAGTTGACACATTTGATTTTATCTAATTATCTCCAGATGAATATGATTTCAAAACAAAATGGCTGCTGCAAAATAGGATAGAATTTAAAATTTAAATGAAAATTTTGAATAGTTGAAAATAGAATAAATGAACACATCATCTCCAATCTCCCTCCAAATTGATGCTTTAAATTTGAATTTACAGGAAGTACATGACTGGGCATGTCAGTTTGAAAAAGCTCATATGAGCAATGATCTATGTTAGTTTTTAATGGATAGAAGAAAAAGTAGCTTTTTTAAAAAAAAAAAGACAATACGTGAACCTTAGAACTTTTTTATTCTAATTATTAATTCAACTGAATAAGAAATTATATATCAGTGTTTTCTTGGCCATGTGTGTGGAGGATAATATTTTCTTTTTATTGTAAATCATTACAATTTTGGCATGTTGAGAGAAGTGTTAAATATAAAGCAAGGAGAGAAAAAAAAAGATTCCCAGACGTATAATTTCTTAAAGAATAATAATAATTCAAAAAACGGAGGACACATGTACCTTCTTCCAAAAATTCATAAAATTAATCTAGAAATAAGTAATGAGGCATTGCGAACTGGTCAGCTAGCAGGACACATTAATGTTCGTTACCGACCAATCATCAATAAGTGTAACTCTCCCGCGAGAGATACTTACTTGATCTATTTATCAATATAAAATAAGAAGATGTGGTATGATTGCCAATGAGACAACTCTCCACAAGAGACCAAATGAAACAGAAATTAACAACTATAGGTCACCGTACGGCCTTCAACAATGAGCAAAGCCCATACCGCATAGTCAGCTATAAAAGGCCACTAAATGACAAATGTAAAACAATTCAAACGAGAAAACTAACGGCCTAATTTATGTCCAAAAAATGAACGAAAAACAAATATGTAACACATCAACAAACGACAACCACTAAATTACAGCCTCGAGATCCTGACTTGGGACAGGCACATACATACAGAAAGTGGCGGGGTTAAACATTTAAGCGGGATCCCAACCCTCCCCCTAGCTTGGTACAGTGGTGTAACAGTACAACATAAGAACGAACTATAAAAATCAGTTAAAATAGGCTTAACTCATCAGATGGATACAAACAGAAATACTACACAGAGTGGAGTTGGCCGGGTACTTGTATATCCCAACAACAAATAGACACTTAGTACAGATCTGAGAGTACTCGCAGTTACTGACAGCTAGTTCAAAGCCACTAACAACTAATTAAAAAAATCATGCATCTAAGACTAAATTATCAATTAGTATACATGTACATCCAATTATTGAAGAGGCATAACTTTTACATTCAAGATACAAAAAATTTCATTAATAAAATAGAGTCACACGAGGTAAAAAAGTATGCATTCTTATTGCCTATGATGTACGTCAATGTACACAAATATGATCATTGATAATTTAGAAGAAACTGTTATCAATGCATTAGAATTTAATGACACACAGGAGAATATACTTAAAAGATTCTCAACAAAATAGATTTAACTGCATTTGTTAAATTAATTCTTAGAAACAATGAATTTGAGTTTAATGGACTGTTATACAAACACATTATAGGAGCGCCCATTGTCACCAACATGCACAGATCTGCATCTGTCTGCCCTATTCATTAAAATCTTAGATAAGTTCCAATGGAGAGAAAACATCAAATTACACTGTCAATAGGGATGACGGTTTTATGGTCTTCACAGGCAAATTAGAGCAAGTTGAAGATTTCTTTAACCTTGCAAATGAAATTGACCATCTACATGTACTTAAGTTCTAATATGAGGTGTCGACATCTAGTATGGCTTATTTAGAGGGTGGTAAAGCGTTATTTTCGTGCAACGTTTTCGGCCTTTTTATTTCATGTGTTTCCGTGTTTCGACATTTTATTTCTCGTTTTCTCGAGTTTGGTTCGATGTGCGTGCTTCGTGTTTTCCCTTAATTATTTTCCGTGTTTCGTGTCGGTACTCTTATTTTCTCGTGCTTGTCCCGCATTTGATTAAACAGTAAACCGGGACTAATTCAAAGTCAGCCTAAATATTGTTTTAAATTATAAACTAATTAACTGGTCCCAAGATATTTATTAATAGCCTATTGTATTACTATGATAAATCGGATGCAACTAACGGACGCTAAAAGGTGACCACATGCAGGGTCGCGATGTCCATTTAAAATTACTGCATGATCTCCAAGAACGGCTGAGTAATAACTTTTGGTACTTTTTTCCTTAATATTGACTATTTTATACCTTGGCTTTGTTTTTCCAGAGTGTTTTTTTCTGTTTTTGCTATATGTTATTTCACGTGTTTCCGTGTTCAGACCCTCCCTTTTACCGCCCTCTATTTAGATACCGAAGTGTACAAAAGTGAACGATTCCATAATAATGGAATTCTTGATGTTAAGTCACATATATTAAAAACACAGAAACGTATCAATATTTACCAATCACTAGTGCACATCCAAAACACACATAAATTTAAGAGCACTACAGTGTGTGAATAATATAAGAAATTTTTACTTCTACCACAAAGTGGCCACCTTCATTTGGTTGACTATCCTGTCACTGGTTGGTGTGCGCTTGCATATTTAACAAGTCCAAAAATAATTTTAACAAAAAGGAAATAATTTGTGCTGTACATAACATTTATAAATGGTGCAAATAAAAACATGTGACTTGAAATTTAATGTGCATGCAGTAGTCTCTTGAACGAGTCATGACTTTCTGCAGCGGTCACTGAAATAATAGCGAAATCAATGAATTAAATAAACATTTAATTAACTTACAAGATAACTTAATTGATAGAGAATACTGTAAAAAGGAAACAGTAAAAGTTGTAAAAATGTATATTAACGAACAGTCTTTATTTAATTGTTTTATTTTCATTTGAAACAGATTTTTTTTATCTGATTTGTCAAAATGACAAGTGTGCAAATCAAATCCCAAAGCCCACTATAACTCATTATGTAGAAACCACACCACTATTTTAAAATATCTCTCTGTGAATGTCTAGACACAGATGTTTGATACCATAGGTCGTTATAATTAAATCTTGACCATTTAACTTTCACTTGTTTATCAAAGGGTACAACTGTCAACTTTGCTCAAGTCAGTAAACCCTTGCAATGCATAAAATGTAGCTTTACAATAAATATACATGTTTGAAAAGGATCTACTATAGATTGTTTATTATCATATATCAGATAAGTGAATTAGCGATCTGTGAAAATTCTTTATTGCCATGTTTTAAATATCTTAGATACACCGTATGCAGGTGCTCTTAATTGCAGGAAGCTAATACAGATAAGATGAATAGGTGTTCCGAATGAACAATAATTTAGCTTCCGAATATTCCTCCATAGACTATATTTCTAACTAATAAATATGCGTGAACCCTCAGGGGTTCACGCAATGAACAAACTTTTCCAAGTACAAAACTAACATAAATCTAACAGAGAGGATAAAAGCTCACTTGAGGTTTGAATTACTCTTATGAGCATTATGTTAGAATTTTTGGGGCACATATGAACTACCAAATTGCACATGTGAGCAATCTGATTTGCATACAATTCTTACTTGCATCTTATGTGATTCACATGTGAAACTTATGTGCTTTTGTTAGCAATTTCTGTACAGGATTTAACTGTTACAGCATACGCTAATACATTGGTTTAAGGTGTGTTTACAATGGTAAGATTTTCCATCTGATTTTCAATCACTGTCACACAGGTGAATCGTACATCGTTCTGTTCACAGGATATGATTTTCCCCTCGATTTATCAAACTACATCCAATTTAAGTGTTCACACGTACAGCGCAATTTTAGCCGAAAGCAGGTGCTTGGGTAAAAATTTAATGAAAATCAAAAGGAAAATTGTACCGTGTAAACACATGCAGCTTTAACATGATGCATTATATTGTTATAACAGCATGCAATACATTGTAATAAAAGCTTACGGTATCTTCATTTCAGGTAAAAACTGCAACTGATAGTAGATACACACTTACTAATGGTAAACTGTCAATACAAAATCCTGATGATAGAGATTCCAAATATTATAGATGTGAAGCAAGTAATTCACAAGGGAAAATCATCAGTAATTATGCACAGCTAGCAATAGGAAGTAAGTACTCACATGTAGCCAATTATGTGAAAATTCTACACAAGCATATTTTTGTTAATCGAAAATGAAAATGTATTGTATTATAAAAAGTCATTGTTTTATTATACTTTATATTTTTGAAGATCATTTTGATGGGGTATTTTCATTATAATTCATGATAAAATGTTTAAATTTGAGTATTTTCTTTTAGAGAATAACAAATTTTGACAAAATATACAAATGAAGGTCTGGAAGGGATTTACAGAATAGAGAATATTGGACAAAAAATACAGAATAAAGAACAACAAAAATAAAAAATAGACAACTAAAAATTGAAATAGTGAATAATGGGCTTATAAAAAATAAAGAATAGAGATATATGGCCTAAAAATAGAACTCAGAAATAATGACCCCTAATCCATACCCTCGTATATCTGATACTAACATTATGCATAAATTTTGTAAAATTAAGTCTATTTTTTTTATAAAGTTGGACAATAAATACTCATCATTTTTATTTATTCTGACCACAAAAGATGATTAAAAAGATAAGTCAAATACTAATTTCCTAACATATTTTCAGCCTTGGGTGAATTTCCAAACTACTCTGATGCCCCAGTTACCGCCTATGCCAATGAGGGAGCAGTAATTCTTTGTAGTAAAATTAATTTTGAACCATGTAAGTATGTTGTTGAATGATAGATATAAATGGCAGTCATACACACATACATTCTGTTAGATATTGCAAACTTTAACATGACTAACTGAATCTTAAGTGACTTTAGCAAAGACATCATTTCATATTATCATCAAATATTGTTCAAGTAATAGCCATGAACATTGAGGTCAAAAGTCAAAAGTCAAAGCTTATACATTGGCATCATTGAATATGGAGATATATAAAATCGACATGAGAAAAATCAGGCAACTCCATTGCAAAAATAAAAAAATATAAAGTCAACAGGTCACAAAACACAACATAGAAAACTAAAGATTGGTCAAAATGTTCTCCACCAAAAAACGGGGGTGATCTCAGATGCCTCAAATGTACATATGAAATATGGAGAATGGATATTAGCAAATATGGCTAAAAGCTTGCATACAGTCACCCAGCACAATTACACATATTGCTTGAAATCTTTTGTACTGTGTGAATTTGGTACTGAAAAACAAAATAAAGATAGTACCAATAATATTTTGGACGTTACTAAAAAAAAGCAATAAGGCAAAAGTTTTTCTTGTTTTATTCCAGTCCCATTTATTTATTTTTAAAGTTTTAACTCCTTTTTCTATATTTCACAAAGATAAAGAAAGAAGATGGTGGGTACAACCAACATGTTTAATAGGGAAATCAAACATAGTATACAACACACTAAGGGCTAATCCAGAATTAATCGCATGGCAGGCACTATGTAAGAACCTAACCACACATAATATAAACATTTTCATTTAAGTTATAATTCTTACAAAATTCTGTGGAAAATGCAACCACCCATATTTATTTAATTTAAATGCCTCCCATCCCCACCACCCGATAAATTTTGGAACAGCCTTAACAGAATTTGTTTATTTCAGCTGCTGTATATAATTGGGAGAGGGCTGGCGTTACTGGAGGCTCTCCAGCAGATATTTTTTCAGAAAACACAAATTACATCTTTTTATCAGCTAATGGAAGATTGTATTTCTCAGAAGTTACACGTAACGATGAGGGGGACTATTATTGTCGTGTATCATTATCAGGAATATCTGAATCCGTGGTAGGAACTGCACAGCCACCTAGTGCTATCAGCCGACCAATCAAGTTGGAAGTTAAACAACAAGGTAATAATAATAATAATAATAATAATAATAATAAATTCTTTATTTAAAGAGGGTAAACACAGTTAGTTACAATTACTAATCTTCCCTGAGGCCCTCATATACAATACATGTAAAAAATAATATTAAGAGAAAAAAAAGCAAACATACAACATATTAACACAATCGTATAGTCATGATAGTTCAATGTACATGTACCATAATTAGAACATATAAAACAGTTACAGATTGCATGTAGTGAATAGATATTATATACAAATCAAAATCATACATTCTAAAAAAAAAAAAAAAATATTTGTGGTATTTGATTCTGTTTTCAACTGTCATCCATCCAAGTTCTTTAAATAAGGGGGCTGATGGGGATAAAGGGTCTGCATCAAGAATTAATCTTGCTGCTCTTTTTTGAAGTTTTAATATTCTTACCATCCCTTCATTTTTACATTCTCCCCAAACAATACAGCAGTAATCGATGAGCGGCAGAATATACCCATTATAGTATGCTTTCCTGGCATTAATATCTAAAAACTTCTTTAATTTAGAAAGAAGGTATATTCTTGATGAAATGCTAGCACAAATTTGATCAATTTGATTTGTCCAGCTAAGTGTGCTGTCAATTTTAACACCTAATAATTTTTCACATGATGAATTTTGTAGTGTTTCTGAATTTATTAGTACAACTGTAAATTTGGTTGAAAAGATTGAGTTGATAACTTCTGACTTGTTCCAGTAACCAAACATTTTGTTTTTTTGGTATTGATGAACATATTATTAATTTTGCACCATTCTTCAACTCTGCATAAATCTTCTTGTACATCATCATGTAAATTTTCTATGTTTTTCCCGGATTTATGGAGAGTAGTATCATCAGCATACAAGTCTGTTTTACAATTTTTAATGCAAAGGGGAAGGTCATTTATAAATAAGACAAATAATAGAGGACCTAGTATAGATCCTTGGGGGACACCAAATTTCACATCTTTTTTATCAGAATTAACATTGAAAATGTTTACTTGCTGTGTTCTATTACTTTGGTATGACCTGAAAAAACCTACTGCAGACTCACTGAATCCGTAAATAGCAAGCTTTAAGCAAAGAATGTCATGATCTACAAGATCAAATGCTTTTTTGAAGTCCAACAGTATTGCTAAGTTTATTTCTTGCAGCCATTTGTCAATGATATCAATAAGTGCAGTTTGACAAGATTGATGTGGCCTGAAACCTGATTGTGTAGGATGTAAAAGTTTAAATTTAGACAAGTACTTAATTGTACATGTTATTTGAGACATGCCTTTCTAATACTTTTGATAGAGATGGAAGAACAGATATTGGTCTGTAATTTGTTGCTAAAACCTTGACACCATCTTTGTAAACTGGTGTTACCTTAGCATTTTTCAGTAATGAAGGATATATACCAGTATCGATCATTCTGTTGAATATATATGCGAGAGGAGTGGCAATATATGGGGCACTTATTTTAAGGATTTTGGGTCCAGTATTATCAGTTCCTGATGATTTATTTACATCAAATTTGGTTAACTCATCAAATAGCTCATTTATCTTTATTGGTGGTATGGTAAATTTCTCATGTTTTTGTTGTTTTAATTGATTATTAATGAATGTGCTAAGATTATTGAAATCTGCCTTGTCAACAGATGTAATATCTCTTTGCTCTCTTAGTTTTTCAGCACAGGAAGTAAAAAAGTTATTAAAAGTATCTGCTATAGATTTTTTATTATTTGTTGTTGTATTGTTCTCATCTGTAGCTAACTCATGTGGGGACTTTTTTTACCCTAGGGTTCAGGCTATGAAGGCATTTCCATAAAGATTTTGAGTCATTAGAGTCTTTTACCATGTTTTTATGATAATTCTTTTTTGAATTCTCTATTATTTGTTTAGTTTTATTTCTCCAAAATCTATATTCACTCCACAATCCAAGTGCATTATATTTATATCCCTCATGTTCCTGGCATACATAATTTCACTACTATACCAATCAGGTTGCCTATCCTTTTTAACTCTCTTTTCAACAACAGGAGCATGTTTATCTAAAACTTTGTTCAACATATCATAAAATAATTGGAGACAGACAGAAGGATTGTCTTCAAATTCAATTTTATAAAAAGGTCTAATAGAAATTCATTTTGGTCAAATTTTTTGAAATTCCTGTATGTTATTGTACTGTGTGTATTCTTTTTGTCTTTATTGACTTCTTTCCTTGTTAAACAAATAGGATAATGGTCACTAATTGCATATTTACAGACATGTGATTCCTGTACCTTATCTAAATTACTGACATAGATATGATAAATCAATGTACTAGTATCCTTTGTAACCCTTGAAGCATCTACAATCAATTGTTGAAGATTGAATGATTCTAAAACACTCAGCCATTTTTGAGGAGGTTTGCTTGGTGCTTTAAAATTCATATTAAAATCACCCAATAATATACATTTAAAATATTTTGTTTTCACAACAGGAGGTCCATATTCTTTTTTATAAATGTTAAAATTTTAAAAATGGGCTAGAAGCTTAAACTGAATAAAAGGTTTTATTTTGTATTCATGTTCTTTATGGATGCAATTAATAATGGGGCATGTGTATAATTTCATTAAAGAAATGTACATGATACATCAATGCTATTTAAATTGACTAACAATATAAAATGAGTCAATACAGTGGATTCATTATTACCCTTATTACATGTCAATGAAAATGTATTCAAACTAAGTTGACAATAAAGTTCAAGTTTGCTGTTAGTGCAGGTTTCAGTTTAAAGACTGATTCAACTATATCATTATGAAAAGTACATCCTGAAAGATCTTTTGTTTTACAGCTGCTAAAAATGACTGGGGTCCAATCTTCCAGGATGATTTTATAAATGTATTCCCAAATCCACCAATCAGAGGACAAGATGTTAGACTGGAATGTTTTGCCTATGGATCGTAAGTATCTTTGACATTCTCTACAGTTGCAATTTTCAAAGCGTTTACAACAAAATTCCACTTTTTATCTTGCATTAGCTAGGAGTTGTCAGCAAAATGCATCATTAGTAGACAGGTTTTCAAATGGAATATTTGATTGTATTTAAAAAAGTCAAGACACATCTGTGTAAATAATTTTACCTGTGTTTATTTTTTTTTTTTTTATTTTTTGGCCTTTTTCTTTGATATATAAGAGTCTCTTTATACAATATATGTTTGCATTAGAGAATTATTAATATGATTTACCATGTTTAGTGTTCATAGATATCTAAAATTTACTTATAAATTTTAGTGCCGTTGATTACAAAAACAATTGGAATTATATTTGGTCCAGAAAGGGTGGTATCCCTTCTAAGGTTAAATATGGTGACCTTAACCGAGTACTCATTTTGGAGAATGCACAAGCAGAGGATGAAGGATTATACACATGTCTTGTAACGAGAGGATCAAGTTCAAAAAGCAAAGATTTTCAACTTGTACTGAACAGTAAGTAATCAAGTCTTATGTAGTTATATATTCCAATTAAGAAGCCTCAAGATTACAGAGTTATTGAGAATTGGTAATCCGAAAGGTATTGACAACCAAAATTTGCAAAGGACTGACACAATTTTGGTATTTTGCAATAGAAATAATATGGAGGACCAGTAGATTTTCTTCAAGGACCACCAGTGAAAAAAATTAATTTCGTGAACTCTATCATAATTGCAGTTTGATGAGGAATCTGTAAAAGATGATTTCATTGTTAGTACTGTAAATTCAAATTTATTGTGATGTTTTTATCATCACGAAAAATGCGACAGGGTTATAATCGCAATAATTTAAACTTGCATTTTAAAATTTTTTATATGAATTACACAGAATTTTTCTCAATATCGCAAAAGTTAAAATCGCATTTTAGTCTCAAATGACAAAACCACAATAATAAATGTCATGCAATAATTTTTGAATTTACAGTAATCTTGTCACAATTTAACATGTTAGGGATACCATTTCCACTGTGTTATAGTTCTTAGAAGGTAGTTATTTGCTAATTTATTGAATTTTAAATTGGGTCATAAACTAAAATTATAAATTATAAATTTTAATTCAATTTTTAACCTAAACAAAAAGTAGCTGCCAAAGGAATGAGACTAACTTAAAACGACAATACTTCTAGTATGGCTTCCTAAAGTAAGGGGACTGTATTTAAACTGTGCAGGATTTTGTTCACTTGTTTGTTTTACCAAAGTTTGAATATTGACACAAACTCAGGGACTCAAGTTTTGGCTTAACTGGACCAGATTTGAAAATAAGCTGACCCCCAGAAGCATCTGAAATAAGTTTTTCCTCTGAAAAACCAGTACCTGACATATGTACATTTACGAAATCAGTTATGTCATAAAAATTTATAGTTACATAATTAAAGGAAGATTTTAAAAATATTTGTGGGTCTTTCCACGAAATAATGTTAGAAACACAGTCAAATTCTTGAATACCTTCAGGATGCACTGTTGATTGTCCTTGGTTTGTTTTGCTGATGTTCAGATTATCTCCTAATGGTAACGATTGTTGCTGTTGAAGCTGTTCCGTTATAGCTTGCACATATAAATCTCCACTTCCGGTTTGAACTGACCCGCCATCTGTCGTCAATGTTGCGCATGCGTTAAGTTGAGCTGCAGGTGAAGATGCCGGAAGTTGTTCCTCCGCCGCCATGTTAGATTCGCTCCCGCACTCCGCTGGAAACGTAGATCTTACTGCACGCAGCAGTAGCCGTTGTTGCCCGATGGGGATCTTAGACTTTGTCAAATCTTCAGGCAGGAGACAAGAAAGGGCCTCTATGGAATCATATCCTAGCCTGATTAACTCCGCCGCCGAATGTTCATTTACTTTTTTGCTGGCCGCCCACTTTTTGACCCGGTCAATGTCCGATAGCTCTATCATCGGGTTTCCGATCTCCTCATTTTCTGATTCAAACATTGCTACAGTTTATTAACGATGAAAGTGTTCAAAGTGTAAATCCAAAGGCAATATAAAATCCTTTACGCCGCTCACGCCTGTCTGGAATATTTGTTGTGAATTTCACACAATTTGAAAATTTCACCACAAAATAGGCACCCGTTGCATTGCGCTGCACAATCCATTCGTAATATCCAATAGAAGCTTGTTAAATTTCCTCTACAATTCTTAAGTTCTCTGGCCACATAGCGAATTTCAGCATTTGAGAAAATATACCATTCCGGAATATTAAGAATGTTTCTTATTTGTTGTTCCGCACGAACATATGCACGTTCAGACGTCATATTTTAAACAAACATGTTTAAAAACGTTTAGCTTTTAAAGTTTAAATAATTCCAGTGATAAATAAAATTGAATTGTAACTGGAATATGAAAAGCAGCCTGCATACGCTTTGCAAATTCAAAAGTGATCAAGAGCGCGCTTGTGATAAAACAAAAACTGCAATTAACAATCTGATTGGATAATTTAAATGAATCAAGAACAGATTGGCTAGCCTCCTAGATACCAATCATACCAATTAGTAAAAGATTAGGGCTGCAGAAATTATGATTTCAATCATGATTGGATAAAGGGAACTTCCTGAAGACGGTAATTAAATAAGTAAGCAAAATGCTATATCCAATTTCCCTCTGTATTAATACTTTATTTAATGAAAATATCACGACCAGTAGATTTTCTTCAAGGACCACCAGTGAAAAAAATAAATTTCGTGAACTCTATCATAATTGCAGTTTGATGAGGAATCGGTAAAAGATGATTTCATTGTTAGTACTGTAAATTCAGAAATTATTGTGATGTTTTTATCATCGCGAAAAATGCGACAGGGTTATAATCGCAATAATTTAAACTTGCATTTTAAAATTTTTTATATGAATTACACAGAATTTTTCTCAATATCGCAAAAGTTAAAATCGCATTTTAGTCTCAAATGACAAAATCACAATAATAAATGCACGCAATAATTTCTGAATTTACAGTAATCTTGTCACAATTTAACATGTTAGGGATACCATTTCCACTGTGTTATAGTTCTTAGAAGGTAGTTATTTGCTAATTTATTGAATTTTAAATTGGGTCATAAACTAAAATTATAAATTATAAATTTTAATTCAATTTTTAACCTAAACAAAAAGTAGCTGCCAAAGGAATGAGACTAACTTAAAACGACAATACTTCTAGTATGGCTTCCTAAAGTAAGGGGACTGTATTTAAACTGTGCAGGATCTTGTTCACTTGTTTGTTTTACCAAAGTTTGAATATAATATACATTTTTTACAGCAAAGCCATACTTTTTGATGCCTCTGAAGCACCAACATGTAGACATCGGCACTCATATTTCCTGGCAATGTCTAGCTGACGGCAACCCAACACCTGAGTACAGCTGGTATCGTAATGGTACAATGATCCTAGCTAATGACCCTCGTGTAACTATCAAAAGGAATGTACTTACTATAGATAATACTAACCCGGAATTACATAGTGGAATGTATCAGTGTGGAGCTACTAACATCCTTGGTCAAGTATTAAGTTCTGCTCAGCTAAGAGTGTTGGGTAAGTTGCAAAAAATACCATATATGAGGGTCTGGATGGGGTTTACAGAATAGAAAATAAAGGACCAATTCTACAGTAAAATGGACCTAAAAAATAAAGAATAGAAAATAATGGGCAAAAACTATACAGAATAGAGAAAAATGACCAAAAAATTAAAGAATGCAGAAATGAAGGACCCTCATCCAGACCCTAATATATGTTGTACTTATAATGTAAGACAGAAGTTTCCTAAATATCTAAGGGGAAGATGTTTTAGTTTACAAAATCAGAGACAATGTATGAAGTCATATCTTACAATATGATAATCATTTATATTATATTGCTTCTTATTGTTAGAATACATTTAATTATACCCCACACAAAGAGTTGCGGAGGGTATAATGTTTTTGACCCGTCCGTCCGTCCGTCATTCCGTCAGTCCTGTTTCTTGTCATAGCAACTCCTCTCAAACCACACAACAGAATTTCATATGTAGTTGTGCATATCGACAGGAAATTACGTTTCAATTTTTTTTTCTAGGAGTTATGCCCCTTTGAACTTATTTACTTTAATGTACTACTGCAACAATTTGTCATCTCAACTCCTCTGAAACCACACAACAAAATTTCATGAAACTTTGTAGATAATAAGGACATACTATGTAGATGTGCATATCGACAGGAAATTACGTTTCAATATTTTTTCCAGGAGTTATGCCCCTTTGAACTTATTTGCCCAATATACTACTGCAACCTTTTGTCATCGCAACTCCTCTCAAACCACACAATAGAATTTCATGAAACCTTTTCAGATAATAAGGACATACTACGTAGATGTGCATATCGACAGGAAATTACGATTTAAATTTTTTTCTAGGAGTTACGCCCCTTTGAACTTATTTGCTTCAATATACCTCTGCAACAGTTTGTCATCGCAACTCCTCTGAAACCACACTACAGAATTTCATGAAACTTTGTAGATAATAAGGACATACTAGGTAGATAAGCGAATCGACAGGAAATTATGATTCAATTTTTTTTCTAGGAGTTACGCCCCTTTGAACTTATTTGCTTCAATATACCTCTGCAAAGGTTTGTCATCGCAACTCCTCTGAAACCACACAACAGAATTTCATGAAACTTTGTAGATAATAAGGACATACTATGTAGATGTGCATATCGAAAGGAAATTATGATTCAATTTTTTTTTCTTATACAATTTTTTTTTCTTACAGTTATTTTATTTCTCCAGTGACAATGTGGGGACGTGGGGTATGTGAGTGCACTCACTAAGGTTCTTTAATTACTGTATTTTTTTTACTATAAGATAATTTTGTTTAGAAAAAAAGCAGCATAGTTTTACACTCCAGATCGACCAGTCTGAAATTCAATTGCAAGAAGTTGGCAAAAAAAGTAGATAATCAAACTGTGGATTTTCATAAAGGAATTTCTCTTATGGTTGTGGCCTTTTATCTATTTCTTGCATGCATAGATATTTCTCGTATCACACTGTATGGAGTGTGATACGAAAAAGTGATACAAAAATCTGCGTTAATTTGATTGGCTTATCCAGCATCATAAGACGATATCATGGCATTTCCATCGGCTATTCGTTAGGTCATGAATGACTTTCAAAGGTTAAGATGATGTACATTTCGTCAATGGCATCGGACATCTGTGATTTCTTCAATAATATACAAAACACTCACACTTTTAACCTGATGTTAAAGTTTGACACCGGAAAAGGACATATGACGTCATACTGGCATGTGCAAAAGACTAGTTGAACGATTCGCGGAATTATTAATTTAACATAATGAGAGTGTTGACCATAAGAGAAATAGGTTTAACAACTTGTGAGAATTGGATATCGCTTGATATTGACTCTCGTTATTTAATTTAAATAGTAATAATAAACTCGCCAAAGGCTTGTTTATTATTTTATTGAAATTAAATAACTCCGAGTTGCTATAAAGCGATATCCCATTCTCACTCCTATGAAATCTATAAATATTGCTGGTCCAACATCTGGGGTGTTCAAGTGGAGATAATCAAATTTGGAGGGGCAAGGGGGTATCCTTTTGTTAGTTCACACACAATTCTAGTTTATTTTTTCTATTGAATTCCAATCTATAATACAAGCTTTGATTCAGGTATTATTTTCATATTCCAAATACAGTACTTCACAATATTTCACTATATGTTGGGTAACACAAAATACTTATTCATACTTTTTCTGTCCTGATGGACAAAAATCAAACTTCCATTACCATGGGTAAAATTACTTTTATAATGTATATATAACACCACATATGAAGTGTTTATCTTAAATAGTGCCAGAGGAGTTCTGCTTTTTTATTCCCTATAAACGATGCCGCAATAAGGGAGTCATACAGAAATTCTGACAACATCCTTTCAATACCCACATATAATACCATATAGCAGGCTTTTTTTGTGGGGGTTGTTTTTTTTTCGCTTATTTTGGTGGATAAAGGAAAATCACGAAAATAAATTCCGCGAAAATTGATGCATATCTTAGGTACTTTCTAATAGCTAAAGCGTTTTATAAAGGATCTATTTTTTTCTGGTCAACGGGTCAAAAACAACATAAATGCCAAAGGTCATTATTCACATATAATTTATAAAATCGCTGTCAGGTGCAAATTAGTTTATAAGGGTCAAATTATATAAGAGTTACAAGTCTCTCTTGATAATTTTATAACCTAATTAGTACATCAAAGGTCCTGTCAATTTTGTAACTAATCAACCGTAACATTTACAAGAAGTTTGTACAACTGTGACAAATATCTAAGTACTGGTATTCTATTGATTAACTGTATCAAAATATAATCAATAAATAAGAGGTCATGCAGGTAAAACAATCATTTAACCATAACAATAGACACTTGTTTGTCTATTTTTACAACTTTCAGGATCTGCCAAAATATAAAATTGGGATTTAAGAATCCGCCAAAATATTCAGTAATCTTTGTTGCCCCATAATCAGGAAATTTACACCCGCGAAAATAACCCGCTATACGGTAGAAAGTTTTCAAGTAGTAACCTATCCTATTATATATACTTTCTGAAATAAAATATATGTAGTATGACTGCTAATGAGACAGCTATCAACTAGAAACCAAATGACATAGATGTAAGCAACTATAGGTCACTGTATGCTGCTGCCTTCAACAATAAACAAATCCCATACTGCAAAATGCAATATTTCAATACAAGATAAATCAATTTGCTTTTTTGGCCAAGAGATTTAAAATGAAAATTGTGCATAGTCAACAGCCACAGTGTTGATTATTTAGTCACCAGATATCAAGTTTCATTCTTGAGTAATGGGGAGAAGTTATGTGACATTCAAATTTATTTATTTTTTTCGATGATGTGCCCTGCTAAATTCCTATTTATAATATAAGTTAGAAGATTTCACTGATTCACTGGTTATGGTACACATTTCATTTTTGTCTATAATTTACATTCCATCTACATTTTAAGTGTTAAAAAACATTGTGCCAAGTTTCAAGATTCTGCAAATTTTGATTACAGATATTGTCATGGATATTGCATACAGGGGTACGGTGAGTGGCAAAATTCATTTCCTGTCACTTTGTAGGGCATGGGAATAAAAATCAGGATCATGTTAGGTTTTTACTAATGTTGAACATGAACACAGTATATAATGCAAATAAGGGATACCACATTATACTGAAAACTTCTCAATCTTTTAATGTTACTCCTCAACCTAGGTGAAGACAAATAACAGTTAAGGTTGCTAATCTCTCTGTTTGCTAGGATAAGTTTGATGCATGAATTTAAATACTTAAGTTTAATGAATAATGTTATGTTTCAGCATTTGCTCCTTCCTTCACAAAGAATCCTCTGCCACAAAGTTTAGCTGGCGCTATTCGTGGAAATATTTCAATACCGTGTCAACCTGAAGCTTCTCCAAGGCCTTCCATTAGATGGGCAAAACAAGATAGGTTTGGAAACTTGCAAGACTTGCCTGTAACAGTGATGACTGGGACTGTTGTAGATAACACAGTTCATTATAGAATGAACTTGAATGGAGACCTTATTATTACAAATATAGGGAATGAAGATCAAGGGACTTTCATTTGTATTGCTACAAATGATTTAGGTGAAGACCAAAGTTCTTGTCAACTCTCAGTACAAGGCAAGTATTCTAAAAATTGCTTTACCTGTTAAATTATTATAACCAATTCAATATCTCAGTATTTAAGTTATCATGAAATAAGGATATTGTTTAAAAAGGAACTTTTTAGCTCACCTGGCCCAAAGGGCCAAGTGAGCTTTTCTCATCACTTGGCGTCCGTCGTCCGTCGTCGTTAGCTTTTTACAAAAATCTTCTCCTCAGAAACCACTGGGCCAAATTTAACCAAACTTGGCCACAATCATCATTAGGGTATCTAGTTTAAAAAATGTGTCCGATGACCCCGCCTTCTAACCAAGATGGCCGCCAAGGCTAAAAATAGAACATAGGGGTAAAATGTAGATTTTGGCTTATATCTCTGAAACCAAAGCATTTAGAGTAAATCTGACATGGGTAAAACTCATTATCAGGTCAAGATCTATCTGCCCTGAAATTTTCAGACAAATCTGACAACCTGTTGTTGGGTTGCTGCCCCTGAATTGGTAATTTTAAGAAATTTTGCAGTTTTTGGTTATTATCTTGAATATTATTATAGATAGAGATAAACTGTAAACAGCAATAATGTTCAGCAAAGTTAGATCTACAAATAAGTTGTCATGACCAAAATTGTCAGTCGACCGCTTTAGGAGTTATTGCCCTTAATAGTCAATTCTTAACAATTTTTTGTAAATTTTTGTAATCTTTTACAAAAATCTTCTCTGAAACTACTGAGACAAATTTAACCATACTAGGCAATAATCATTATTAGGGTATCTAGTTTAAAAAATTTGTCCGATGACCCCGCCTTCCAACCATCATGGCCGACTTGGTTAAAAATAGAACATAGAGGTAAAATGCAGTTTTTGGTTTATATCTCTGAAACTAAAGTATTTAGAGCAAATCTGACAGGTGGCAAAAATGTTCATCAGATTTAGATTTATCTGCCCTGAAATTTTCAGACAAATCCGACAACCCTTTGTTGGGTTGCTGCCCCTGAGTTAGTAATTTTACAAAAATTTTGCAGTTTTTTGTTATTATCTTAGATATCATTATAATATCTAATATCTAATACTATTAATTATGATTTTAACCTTATTTTACATGATTTCCAAAGCATCAGTAAATACAGGTGAGCGACAGGCTCTTGAGAGCCTCTAGTTTTAGATGTTTCGGCCATTGTGTACCATGAAGATTAGAAGGATAAATAAGAAACTGAAAAAGGCCAGTGGCGGAAACATCTAAATAATGATTAAATTACAACAATAATATTAAATATGTTCCCTATTGGAATTTTTACACATAATATAAAGGCACTAACAAAATTAAGAAATTATTTTGGAAATTATGAATCATCTCCCTGAGGGAGCTACCATTTGATTTTTATGGGGGGCTAGGATGAAATTTGAAAAAAAGGCAGGACAGGAGTTTTGAGTAAGAAAAAAAAGGCAGGATGAGCAACTTGGCAAAAAAAAAAGGCAGGATGACAATTTATGTAAAAAAAAGTCTGGATAAACTAATAAATAAAAGGCAGGACCGAATAGAGTGAAAAATAAAAAGGCAGGACAGAGATTACAACTTAAAAAAAAAAGGCAGGACATAATTTTTCATCCTAGCCGCCCCATAAAAATCAAATGGTAGCTAGCTCCCTTAGTGCTCTTTGAAAGTTTAAAAAACATTAAAAATGACATGAATAGAATGAATATAAATGATTGGATATAATTGTGTATTTCTCTAAATTAATTAGATTGTGATACCAAAAAAATAGACTGATTGATACATTTACAACTTTAAAGGGTTTTGTTATAGTATGAGAATTTTATTACACTCTTATTTCATTGCTTGACATATTGTATTTCCAGAAGGAACAACATTATTCAGAACACCAAACAAGTTTTATGTAAATTATGTCCAGAATGACACTGTGTTTATAAACTGTGAAGCATCTTATGATCCTGATCTTGATCTTATTTATGTTTGGAAATTCAATGGAAAAAGAATAGATATGGAAGAGGAGGCTTATTTCTTTACACAAGTATGTTTCTGTTATTGGTTATATTGTTATACTCACTCCTAGGGTTGGGACTGCATTGCAATTTAACCTTGTCTATCTGTCTGTCTAATAACAGTTTGATAAAAATGAAGATTTGTATGGTTTAACCCAATGTTATCGTATCTGACCTGAATCCAGGAATGCATACTCTCCTAAGATTTATTAATTGCAGGGTCCCTGGTAAATAACACAGAATTTCAATAAATTTTCTGTTTCAACCTGTATTCTAGTTCCTTTCACTTCTAATGTTGAAAATGCAAAATCTCCCTCTGAAATACTACTGATTATGAAATTTTTCAGGTGATTTGCAATAATAAATGCACATATTAATATCTGCATTTACCGTATATGAAAGGGCAGCTCTTTTGAAAGGAAAAATATGTATCCTCTCTGAAATTCGACTTGAATAAGATCATATTGACCAAATATTGTGAAATGTTACATGTATGGAATCACCTTATATGTTTTGATAATACCCATTAGCTTATTAGTTTGGTTTTTTTGAACAGATAAATAAAAAATCACTGTATTCTTAACATTGTTAACCACTTTCTAAAGAAGGGAGTATACTTTTTTACCTTTGTCTGTCTGTAACACAATTATGAAACATTTCTCTCAGCAACTATAAGTCATAGCCTCTTGAAATATGGTACCAAATTAAGCTCATAATTATGCTCTAAAGCCATACATTGTTATACCTTTTCAGTTTAATACATGTACTTCATTTTTCGACTTCCTATTTGCCATGAACATAGATATTTATATAAAATGTCATGCACATATATGAAATTGTTTGTCACAGTTTTCTCAGCAACTATAAGTTGTAGTTTCCTGATATATGGCACTAAGTATCATCTGGTTAAACCATGTGACACATTTTCATTTTTTGCCTAGCCTGCGACATTTATGTCATGAAAACGAGACATAGCAATCCTAGATTCCGGCGTAGGCGTCAGCATTGGCAGCGTCAACAATTAGGTTCAGTCTGTGAATAAAGTTTTTGTAGACATCAATAACTTTGTCAAACCTTCATGGAATTTTAAGAAATTTGGACAGAAGCTTGTTTATGACCATAATACAGTATCCAGAGAAAAATTTTGAAAATATTTATTTTGAATTTTTCCATATTTTACTGATAAATGGACTTAGTTTTTTTAAAGATAACAAGTAGATACAGTCTGAGGTTAAAGTTTTTCAGTCATCAATAACTTTGTCAAACCTTTTTAGAATTTTTTTGGAAATTTGGACAGAAGCTTAGTTATGACCAAACTACAGTATCGAGAGCAAAATTTTGAAAATATTTTATTTTCATTTTTCAGTATTTAACTGATAAATGGACTTTATTTTTTTACATTTAACAAATAGGTACAGTCTGGGGTTAAAGTTTGTTACACATCAATTACATTATCAAACATTCAAAGAATTTTATGAAACTTTGGCAAACATTTTTTAGGATTAAGAGATAATGTCTGAAGCTAACTTTTGAAAACACATTTTTTTCATTTTCAGTATTTTACTGATAAATAGACTTAGTTATTTACAGTTAAAATTTACAAACATTCTGGGATTAAACTTTTTTGACATGATAAATTTGTAAACCTTCATGGATTGTTATAAAACTTGGACAGAAGCTAATCTTCAAGACCAGGAAAAAGCATGTAAAGAAAAAGTTTAAATTTTTGTTAAATTCTGTATTTTACTGATAAACAGACTCACTTTTTTAAGTCAACATTACACTTTTACGCTGACAGCAGAAATCGCCAGCGAGAGACAGTGTTCTGCAGAACCCCTTACAAATTTTCTTCTATTTACTACTTCATGTTTGCCAGAAACTTATATTTTGAAAAAGGGAAAAACTAGTGAGCAATAGCTCATAGTACTTTTTGTGTAGCATGTTAATATCTTTAAATAGCTCATAGTACTTTTTGTGTAGCATGTTAATATCTTTAAATAGCTCATAGTATTTTTTGTGTAGCATGTTAATATCTTTAAATAGCTCATAGTATTTTTGTGTAGCATGTTAATATCTTTAAATAGCTCATAGTACTTTATGTTTAGCATGTATATTTCAATATGGTGAAAAACCAATGTTTATGTTTTCAGTCTTTCAATCCAGTAGGATTGTACATCAAACCATTACAATACTATCACGAAGGGGAATATGAGTGTACAGCACTTACACCACTTAACTCCGTGAGTGCAGCAGGGGTAGTAGAAGTTCAAGGTAGGGTTATTTGACAGGAAAGTTGTATTGTATTATGGCATGACGGACTCCTGCACATCACAAATATGATCTGCATTATGGAACATTTTTAAAGAGAGAGATCTTTTGGACTGTTTGGAGTTTCATCAACATTTTTTAGAATGTATAAAGGATGATTGATTGGTTGATGTTTGCTTAACGTCCAGTGGCAAATATTTCATGCATGTTCAGGATAATAAAAGTATGAATAGAAACTTGTAATCACATTAAAAATAAATTATCAGATCAGTTAGTTGATTCCTGCATTTGTTGTTTATTTTTTTTTTAATGAGATCTGTTCCTCGTTATTTTGGCATGACATGTCAACAATATTTAGATTTTTTTATATGTTGTATCAAGCACATTTGTATGTGTCCATCTGACATGTACGAGGGTTTAGATGGTCCTTCATTTCTGACATATTCTTTAATTTTTTTCTCTAGTCTTTTACATTTAAGTACCCCATTATTCCCTATTCTTTACTTTTTTTGGCATATTTCCCACTATTCTTTAATTTTTTGGCTAATTTTTTCTTTAGATTTGGCCCATTATTCTGTATTCTGTAAACCCCATCCATACTCTCATATGTCCTATGACATTAACTTCACTTGGATTTTATATTAAAGAATAATTTATAATTTTCTAAATGTTTTTTATTAAATAGGTGTACCAGAAGCTCCGTCAGGATTGTATGGAGACAGTGGAAGGGTTACCACAAATAGTATCATTTTTTATTGGACTACTGGCAATGACCGTGGAAATACAGTTTTGGAGTACGAAGTGATATATAATGTTGACTCTGAGCCAGGACAGTGGTACCATGCTACAACAGGCATAAATAGTAAGCTTAAATCAGAAATGAAGGAGCAGTTTTTAATAGAAAAAGAAAGGATATGGTGTTTCCATCAATGACATAAAATCTGTTTGTGCAAAGCAAAAAACACAAAAAGGAGAGGAATCAGTGCTTTTATTGCTGTTTTTCATCTCAAAGTCTCAGTAAGGCCTTCAACACAGAGCAAAAACTCTAACCTCACTGCAAATTTAAGATGGCTCCTAGCACCAGTTTGAGCGTAATTCTTTGCAAACTGACGATCAGGCCATGATTGTGAATTGAAGAACAAAGCCATGTGGTTATATAAATTAAATAAATTTGGCAAAGAAATCAAACATGTACAGTCTTAATTTAGCCCGATAATAACACTGATGCTTGCAAAAACAAAGCAACAATTTTAACAACCACAGGGCACATCTAGATATATGTTAGATAACTTGGCAGGAAAAAACGTATGTAGTGGGCAAATATCTCGGGTAGACTTTGTAAGATTAGGGTTAGTTAAAAAATTATTAATCAGTTCCTTTTCATCTTGTTACAATGATAATTGATATGCTTATAAGTTTTTTATTTTTAATTGCTGCATGTTCAGTTCAGACGATCAGTTCATCTTAAAACATCTGTTTATAGCTTTATTTAAAGCAGTATTTTGTTGACTGTTGACTAGTACTGTAAATTCAGAAATTATTGCATGCATTTATTATTGCGATTTTTGAAAAATAAACAAAAATGTGAGTTTAACTATTGCGAATTTTGGAAAAGCTACATACAGATGTATGCATTTGATATCAGAATGCAAGTTTTTATTATTGCGATACATAAGTAGTCGCATTATTCGCATAAATAAAAACTTAGCAATAATTTCTGAATTTACAGTATACTGTGGCTTCATTGTTAATAATGTCGGCAAAGACCTCTACAGAGTTTATGTTTGTAATGTACATGTAAACCTGACTAAAATAAAATTTTCTATTCTATTATTTATAATCATGTATTTTTGTGGATTGAGGAAATATTGGATTTTCAAGAATATTTGAATTTCGTGGTTTTGCCAAAGACTGCAGATAAACCTGTTTCATATTTTTCATGTCAGGGCCTTTTATAGCCGACTATATGGTATGGGTTTTTCTCATTGTTGAAGGCCGTAAAGTTGCCCTATAATTGCTTTCATCCACTTCATTTGAACTAGGGTGGATAGTTTTCTCATTGGCAATCATACCAAATCTCCTTATTTTTATATCTATAGAAAATTTGAATTTATTGAACCTTTAAATTTGTTGTTTACCTTTCTCTAATTCTTCGTCAATTTATCCCTTTCTGCACCCATTGTATAAAAAAAATTTAATCAACGTGTGGTTCGTTTGATCTCAGTTCTTCATTGGTTAAAATCCGATTATGACGTCGAATTTTCTTGCTTTCCTCTGAATTGCCTATTGTGACGGCATGAAAAAAGGCGACCATGCCTGATGACGTCACATAGAAAGAACACATCTTTTTGCAGATCATTCGAAAAGACGGAATAAATTTGCCTGCGTATTGTTTGAAAATCATTAGAGAAACAGATTCCACAACCAAATCTCGTGTAATACGATATTTATCCACTCTCGACAGTTAAATTTTAAATATTTAAAACGCTCGGCGAGCCTCGCGTTTTAAATTTGAAAATTTAACTGTCTCGAGTGGATAAATATCGTATCACACTCGATGCAGTGGTAGAATCTATATTTATCCACGAAAATTTGTATCCAACAAATAATAATTTAATTCTTTATTTTCATATATGTAAAACATGATACTTGTGACATAGTACAAATAATAACAACAACAAATAAACTGATTTGAATACACATATATATATATATGTATACAAGCAAAAATAACTAAGAGTCTGCTGTCCTCAGCTCTAAAGACTGTTTTATAAAGGAACCTGTTTTTTTCACTTGGTTTATATTTGAAGGATTTAGCAGGACTACTAGTTTTTTAATATTAGACAGATTTGGAAATATATGATTATCTATTGCGATGTCATTAAAAAGTTTTATACGTAATATGTTATTAATTTGACAGTAGAGGAGAAAGTGGTTTTCATCTTCTAAGGTTTTACAAGTTAATAATGAATCCACAGTAGTTGGATAATATGATAACTTTTTCATTTATATATATTGTAGAGATACTTCATGCAGATACATTAATTGTTGGTAGTCTAGATACAAGGAAAAGAACATATGAGCTGAAAGGACTTCTGCCAGGCAATAATTACAGATTTAAAATAAGAGCCAAAAATATCAAAGGATGGGGCCAATTCAGTTTAAAATCTGGTTAGAATTTAATAATTTAAGTTTTCAAAATATGTAATTTAATTTGCTATTGATTTCTTCCTGTCTTTGTGAAATAAGAAGAATTATTTTTAATTATATTCTTACATTTGTTTCCTTTTTTTTTAGCTATTTTGAATTGCTTCTAGACATAATTTAGCTCCTTTTTATGCCCCCCACCGTAGCAAAGGGGCATTAAGTTTTACCCTTGTCCTTCTGTACGTCCCAATATTGGTTCTCTAACTTTAGTTTGGCTCAACCAAATACTATGAGTCTTATACACAATGCTTATTACCACAAATCACAGTTCAAATTTGAATTTTGGTGGCATCACTTTTATCGTTCTAGAGTTCTGCCCCTTTATAAATAGAAAAATTGCTGAATTTTTCGTTTCCATTCTCTAACTTTAGTCTGCCTCAACCAAACGTTATGAAACTTACACACAATGCTTATTACTACAAAACTCAGATCAAGTTTGAATTTTGGTGGCATCACTTTTATCGTTCTAGAGTTATGCCCCTTTACAAATAGAAAAATTGCTGAATTTTTTGTTTCAGTTCTCTAACTTTAGTCTGCCTCAACCAAATGATATGAAACGTACACACAATGCTTATTACCACAAAACTCAGATCAAGTACAAATTTGGGTAGTGTCACTTTTACCATTCTTGAGTTATTTCCCTTTATAACGTTATATGCGAGCAGGGGCATCATCTGTGTCCCATGGACACATTCCCCATTTATTTTATGACTTTTGGAAATCCTTCTTTAACATTTATCTCACAAATTTTTTAAAGAAGTTATAGAAATTTTTAAAGTTCAATATTTGTTCGAAGTCCTGATGTTCATAAATGTTCTCACATCATGAATAGTAATGGAGGTTTATGCAAAAATAAAGTTACCATGAGATATGTTTCATGCATGAATGACTCAGATTAAGAAATGTGTTAACGTACAAATATAGGCACTACAATTTATGTAGGAATGATATATTTTGGCAATGCACTCACTTTCTGCAAGAAACAAAAGGTTGTGCAGATAATTGGGCTACTTTGAACTATATTATATGCATGAATGACTCAGATTAAGAATTGTGTAAACGTACAAATATAGGCACTACAATTTATGTAGGAATGATATATTTTGGCAATGTACTCACTCTATGCGAGAAACATAAGGTTTTGCAAGGAATTGGGCTATTTTGACCTATATACTATGCATGAACTACTCAGATTAAGAATTGTGTATTGTCCAAGTGCATAAAGCAACTGCAATTTACACAAGAATGATATTACTGTCCTGAATCATACTAAGTACATTCCTTATTGTAAAATTTCTGTTTGATTAGAGACTGATAGTTTTAAAGGCTTATTATAGCATCTTATTTAACAATTTATTCAAGGTAAAATTTTTCCTTCTCGTTTATGATATTACAGAAGTGTAAAACATTACTTTCAGCTTATTACCAGACCCTGATGGCTGCTCCATCAGTGCATCCTGATTTCATGAATATAACTGGAGGAGGGGGTAGTGTTGGTGATCTGACCATCAAATGGAATGTAAGTACTAACGGTTGGTGATCTGACCATCAAATGGAATGTATGTACTAACGGTTGGTGATCTGACCATCAAATGGAATGTAAGTTCTTGTGGTACAAAGTTGCCATTTTGTTATCCCGAGTCCTACAGATTTCTTTAATTTAGTCATAGAGGCAGTATCTGTGCCCTTTAATAAACACATGTATAAAACAGATGGGGGAGGGGGAAACTGTAGTTTAATCTTCTTTAACTTTAATAACATAATTTTCTTAAATTCGGTGAAGACTCATCAGTGAAAATAGTGAGTAGATAAATGTTTGTAACTTTCTCCAATCATTTTGTGTGAAATGAATTTGACTTTTAGAAAAAAATCCACAGAGAATGTTCCTCATGTCTGAAAATATCATCCACAAATTTATTCAAGGTCAAATTGAAGTATTTTACTGCCATCTGGTGATTAGTTGTTTACTTGATATATTTATTTATTTGACAGCATTGGAATGTTTATAGGAATGCTATAAACATTCCTCAAGGGTACAACTTCAATGAAAATATGAAGATATCTTAAAATATTATTTCTTACACATTTTATTCTTTAGAGGTCACATGGCTTTTAGAGTGATAAACGGATCATTTCAATAGTTTTTAGGATGACAGTGTAGTAATGTTGATCTATATCTAATCCATTTCATGCATGTGGAAGAAATGTACTCTGAATTTTGTAAAATTATAGCTGTATTCTGTTGAATTTAAAATTTTAATTAAAGTTACAACTTAATAAATCCCACAAACACTTAGTGGATGTTACTGTCCGAAAGGCATTTTACTTTCACAATACCAACTAGGTTTAATGTTAAGTTACAGTTTGAAATCATCTTTTTAAACTGCATTAATCAGTCTTCAACTGTTTTGGTTCTTATACATCCTTGGCTTTCAAATATTAGGTTTCATCATCAGATACTCATCTAAAAATGATTTTACCTCAGTCTACAACTATTGTTAATGATGACCATATTAATGGGGGGGGGGGGGGGGGGGGGGGGGGGGGGGGGGGGGGAAGAAAAGAGATGTTATATTTTAGTTTATAAAGTTCAAAAGGTCCATACTAAAATTAACTGACCTTGACCTTCACTCATAAAGTAAAAATATAGTAAACTAAATAACAGTTAATTAGGGGATTTGCTGTCCTTTATGATGACACAATTTGTTTATTTTTTTTTATCTGTAGCCCTTACCCCAGAAATACCATGGAGGTACTGGATTATATTACAGACTGTATTGGAGAACAGATACCACGCAAGTTTGGATTGGAGTAAGTTTTATTATATAAATGTATATAAATATTATGATTTTTATCTTATTGCATATTGCATTATACTCAAAAAATTTGGGTGTAGATAAATAAAAGAAGATTGTGGCTTGCATAAATAAGACAGCAATCTGTCAACACAATAAAACCAGAAAAAAAATCTAGATGGAGAAAAGTTGTATATCTGTTTCCATGGAAACAATACTTTGACTGCCATTGTCTTAATTTCACTGAAAATCCTTTGGATCATATTATGTTATCAATGTACATCAGATGAAATAGATTTTTAATTCAATAGTTTTTGGACCTCTAGTCATGGTTCATTAACTTTGAATGTTTGCATAGTTTAAATATTCGGATTTCATTTTCAACATTTGCATTTTACAATCAATATAACAAAAAGTGAGACATATCTCTGTGTCAACAATTTATTGGCTACATTAAGTACATTACACAGACAATTCTATGCATATATTCTATAGTTTATATCATGAACAACATATCATTATGTGGAATATTATAATTATTTGTAGCACAATGTATTATCCCAACCAGATGACCTGGCTAAAGGTCAACTATATTATGTCCAGCTTGTTGGAAAAGATAATTTCTATCTGCCATATTATGTCATGATTCAGGCACGTAATGCATATGGAAACGGACAGAATTCTACTGCAAGGATCATTTATTCAGCTGAAGGAAGTAAGTAACTATAAAGGATCATAAAGATGTTAATTGTATTCAGTACAGATGCACCTAACAATGTGAATCAAAAGTTTTGGGCGTATAATTTTAAATTGGTAGTTGTAATTTTTTTTTTTCAATATTTGTGTTGTTTTTATTTCGTATTACTGTGCTTATCCTAAAGGCTTTGACCTTTCACAATATGAATTGCTAAAATGTTATACCAAAATTGCAGTATGAATTCATCTCTATAAACTGATCAACTGGTAAAACAGTTTAGCTAATAGCTAGTGAAAGGTTGTTAGTATGAAGCAAGTGCAGTTTAATAAAAGATATATTTACAATCCTAACAGATTTGAATTCCACATCTGTCATTGTAATTATATAGATGTATTTTTATGGCATTGCCACAAAGTGGTCGGGGCCATACAGTTGTAACCGCCATTCTGTCATTCTGCAACAAACAGTTATACAGACTTTTTTCTAATTGCCTTCACATATTGAGCTGATTTTTAGTATGTGAGTCTACTATGATGAGTTATATATGGAGTTTACGTTTGGTTGCGCTCCCCTAATTGTTGAAATTACGGGCTTTGGACTTTGAAAACTTTGCTAAACAGTTATTTAGACTTTCATTCTCAAACTTCCAGTTCTAAAATAAATTGCTTCAAGCTTTTTTTGCCAGCAGGACAATCCTTCTGACACATCTAGTTATGGCCCCGCCACTAAGTGGTCAGGGTCATATAGTTTTAACCTCATCCATCATTCCTTCATTCTGTCATTCAGTCATTCCGCAACAAACAGTTATACCGACCTTTTTCTAAACACCTTCACATATTTAGCTGAATTTTAGCTCACCTGGCCCAAAGGGCCAAGTGAGCTTTTCTCATCACTTGGCGTCCGTCGTCCGTCGTCCGTCGTCCGTCGTCGTCGTTAACTTTTTACATTTTGAACTTCTTCTAGAGAACTACTGAATGGAATGAAACCAAACATGGCATGAATGTTCCTTATGAGGTGCTGACCAAGTGTTGTTACTTTGTAGCCGATCCATTATCCAAGATGGCCGCCAGGGGGGACTTAGTTCAACATAGGACCCTATGGGAAATACATACAAATGTCTTCTTTTAGAGAACCACTGAATGGAATAAAACCAAACATGGCATGAATGTTCCTTATGAGGTGCTGACCAAGTGTTGTTACTTTGAAGCTGATCCATAATCCAAGATTGCTGCCAGCGGGGGACTTAGTTTAACATAGGACCCTATGGGAAATATTTACAAATGTCTTCTTTTAGAGAACCACTGAATGGAATGAAACCAAACATGGCATGAATGTTCCTTATAAGGTGCTGACCAAGTGTTGTTACTTTGTAGCCGATCCATCATCCAAGATGGCCGCCAATGGAGGACTAAGTTTAACATAGGACCCTATGGGAAATATTTACAAATGTCTTCTTTTAGAGAACCACTGAATGGAATGAAACCAAACATGGCATGAATGTTCCTTATAAGGTGCTGACCAAGTGTTGTTACTTTGTAGCCAATCCATAGTCCAAGATGGCCGCCAATGGAGGACTAAGTTTAACATAGGACCCTAAGGGAAATACATACAAATGTCTTCTTTTAGAGAACCACTGAATGGAATGAAACCAAACATGGCATAAATGTTCCTTATGAGGTGCTGACCAAGTGTTGTTACTTTGTAGCCGATCCATCATCCAAGATGGCCGCCAGCGGGGGACTTAGTTTAACATAGGACCCTATTGGAAATACATACAAATGTCTTCTTTTAGAGAACCACTGAATGGAATGAAACCAAACATGGCATGAATGTTCCTTATGAGGTGCTGACCAAGTGTTGTTACTTTGAAGTCGATCCATTATCTAGCTGGGGGACTTATTTTAACATAGGACCCTATGGGAAATACATACAAATGTCTTGTTTTAGAGAACCCCAGAATGGAATGAAACCAAACATGGCATGAATGTTCCTTATGAGGTGCTGACCATATGTTGTTACTTTGAAGCCGATCCATCATCCAAGATGGCCGCCAGTGGGGGACTTAGTTTAACATAGGACCCTACGGGAAATACATACAAATGTCTTCTTTTAGAGAACCACTGAATGGAATGAAACTAAACATGGCATGAATGTTCATTATGAAGTGCTGACCAAGTGTTGTTACTTTGAAGGCGATCAATAATCCAAGCTGGCCGACAGTGGAGGACTTAGTTTAACATAGGACCCTATGGGAAATATTTACAAATGTCTTCTTTTAGAGAACCACTGAATGGAATGAAACCAAACATGGCATGAATGTTCCTTATGAGGTGCTGATGAAGTGTTGCTACTTTGTTGCCGATTTACTGTTCAAGATGGCCACCAGGATTTTTTTATTAAATTACAGGACCAATATTAAACCAAATTTGGCCTCACTCATTATTAGGGTATCTGTTATGATTTTAATCTATTTTTACATGATTTCCAAAACCAAAGTAGAATCAGGTGAGGGACACAGGCTCTTGAGAGCCTCTAGTTAGTATGTGCGTCTACTATGATGAGTTACAGATTGAGTTGATATTTGGTTCCGTCAATTTCCACAACAAACAGTTATACAGATGTTTTTCTAAACGCCTTCACATATTGAGCTGATTTTTTGTATGTGAGTCTACTATGATGAGTTACAGATTGAGTTGATGTTTGGTTCCGTCATTCCGCAACAAACAGTTATACAGATTTTTTTCTAAACGCCATCACATATTGATCTGACTTTTAGTATGTGATTCTACTATGATGAGTTTCAGATCGAGTTTATGCTTGGTTCTGCCCCACTGATTTTTGTCCAAATAAAGGGCTTTGGACTATGAAAATTTTGTGAAACAGTTATACAGACTTCCATTCTCAAATTTCCACTCCTAAAAATAGCCTCAAGATTTTTCTGCCAGCGGGGCAATTCGTGTTGTTCTAACACATCTAGTTTTATACATATATACATATTTTGTTATATATGTAATTAAATAATTCTTAATTGATAAACATTTCAAAGTGATTTCTATGTTTTGTTTTTGTAAGTAAATGTATGAGGGTCTGGATGAGGGGGTCTTCATTTCTGTATTCTTTTAATTTTTTAGGCCATTATTCTCTATTCCTTATATTTTAGAACCCCATTATTCTTTATTCGGTATTTGTTCGCCCTTTATTTTGTACTTTTTGTCCATCATTTTTTATTCTGCAAACCCCATCCATACCCTCATGTATTTTACTCAGGATATTTATTTGTACTTGTATCCTTTCTTTTCAGTGCCTATTCCAGCACCAAAGATTCAAGGATGTTCAGCTATTAATTCAACAGCTATGGATGTCTATTGGACACCTATTGAAAATACAAGACTGAATATAAAAGGCAAAATTGCAGGTTTTCAGGTTAGAATTCATGTTCTTTAGCAGTTCACTGAGTGATATGGCATTGGTCTGAAAAATATGAAATTATTCTTGTTTTATATCCTTATTCGTTACTTCATCTTCATTAACACAGAGATTTAATCTACTTTCATGAATTAGGGTATCAAAATATATAAATGTTTTACATTCCTATTAGAAATTAAAAATGTATCAGTACTATACATAATTATGGGGAGGATAAATTTTGTGGCTTAGCCCCTATTCTGCCCTGCAAATTTAACGAAAATAAGAAAAATTGGTCAAAGTCTTAAAATTGCAGGATTGAATGTTTACGATGTGGTTGCAATTACGCGAAGGTTGCAAATTTGGCTAGAAATTAAATTCGTAAGTCCAGAATAATGTGAAAAATTCTTCAATCATTTTCATAATAGCAGTTGCACAACTTCAACATGTGTACAATCTTTCTGTGAATTCATAGGGATCTTGATTGAAAACTATAGGAGAAGTTGAAAACTTGTACCACTTTCATAAATTTGCTGAAAAAAAGACTAAGTTCCCAAGTCCGAAAAATTGAGAAAAAAATCCTCAAACAATCCCATAAAAGCAGGTTCACAACTTCAACATAGGTGCAATCTTCTTGTGAAGTTTCAGGGATCTGGGTTGAAAACTGTAGTAGAAGTTGATAAGGTACCCAATTTTACCTGCCTGCCCACCCACTCACCTGCCCGAAATCCTCCCACCTTACATCACCATATCCAACCCGGCCAAAAATTGTATACTATTATTAAATCAATTTTCTCCAGTTCTGGATGATAGCTTTCTCAGCTGTGGTTTAACAATTTGACTGTAAAGTCTATAAAATAATATCATACAGAAAATGTACATGCATGTGCTATTTGCCACTGGACATTTAACATCATTACATCCATCCCTATACAGAGCATGTGGAGACTAAAGCAAGGATTCATCTAATGAACTTAAACTGCTTGCATATTGATGAAATGTAAATGATAATTTAATTTTGTGTAAAATGCATTAAATATGATAACCTATTTGGATTGATTAATTGCTGTTTGCTTAATGTCCAGTGAAAAATTTGCATAGACTATTGAAAGTGTTTTTGCAAGGCTTTTTTAATGTGTCTATATTTGCACCCGACATGGCTGATGGTCTGGATGTTGGGGTTCCTTATTTCTGTATTCTTTCATTTTTTGGGCATTTTTTTCTTTTCTTTAATATTTTATCCATTATTCTAGCTTCTTAATATTTTATCAGCCCCATTTTCTCTTTTCTACATTTTTGTGGCTTATTTTTCTCTCTTCCTTTTTTTTTGCCCATTTTCTGTGGTCTAGGTCCAATTTTTTCACTTCTCTGAACTCCATCCAGACCCTCATGGCTGAGTATTTTTACATTTTCTGCAGCCAAATCGTTGGCTCTTGCAGAAGAGACATGCTCACAGATGGAGAACCTAGGATCAATTTCTATACCCAGTGGCATCTTTTTTTATTACTTATATGAAATCAGGTTTTCTGAATGAAACATATCTTTTTCAGGTCAATTACTGGCTCAGACCATCTGGAGGGGAAATATTGCCAGTCTATAAACAGTTTATAAGATTCAGTACAAGGGATGGTATTGTTCCTACCCATGGAATTGTCATTGGAATAACACCAAATGCATTCTCTACATTTGATGTCCAAGTCTTCAACACAGCCGGACTTGGACCTAAATCAGACTCTTACCCTTGTGAAACTGCAAATTTAGGTAAGAACCAATGAAGCAAAAGATTGTAAATGAGGTACTGTGGATTCATTAACATTTAAGGGATCCCAATTTTCGTGGATTTTCGTGGGTACACTTGAACCAAGAATTTAAAGTTCAATGAAGTGCAACTTTTCTATAGGCCTGTACGAAGTCTAATACAAATCCACTAAAATTATATTTTTCTTCAATCCACAAAAATTAGTATCCACGAAGATAAATGAATCCACAGTATTTGAAATATGGCATAAATATTTAAATACTACAATCCTCATGGACAGACAATATTTTTATGCCCCTGCTGCAGGGGAGGGGGCATTAAGTGTTACCCTTGTCCATTTGTCTGTACATCCGTAACTACGTCCCAAAATTGGTTTCCGTTCTCTAACTTTAGTTTACCTCAACCCAGTGTTATGAAACTTATACACAATGCCTATTACCACAAAACACAGATCAAGTTTGAATTTGGGTGGCGTCACTTTTATCATTCTTGAGTTAAGTCCCTTTATAATGTTATATGCAAGTGGGGGCATCATCTCCATTATTTTTTTCTTTTATATTTGAGTCAGTATGGTTTATGTTTTATGTTTGATGGCTTCAGTACAGTTTTAAAATGTTTATGCAACTACTTAAGAACCATTCAACAAATTTTTTACATGTTTAGTGTCAGATGTTGTTTCTGATGACAAATTGACAAACAGTGCTGTTTAAGAGTTATGGTCCTTGATTGCTTTAACAATAAATGCGAGTAAAAAACCTAGTTTGCTGTCATTTTGAAAATCTTTATTATTTTAATGGGTTCCAAAATTTGATGTATTTTATTATTCTGGGACTCTCATATGTGCAGTCTAAAAAATCATTAGGTATATGAGGTTGATTATTAAGATATTATAATTTTAAATGTTTCAACATTTTTTTTTCCAGCTACTATTCTTTATCCAACAGAAGTAACAGTGCATCCTTTTGACTCAACCTCTGTTCAAATCACATGGAGAGGTGTACTCATAACAACCGATGAAGCTACAGTCATAGGATACAAGGTTAATCAGCTTGTATATAATGTGTATTTTAAGTTTTGTGTGATCTTCTGAAAGATGTTAAGATGCTTTGTGTAGGTGGTGGGGAAGTGTTGGATTGAGGACTTGAATTGTGTTGAAAATTTACCTTTTAGCTCAGCTTGGCCAAATAACTGATGTGAGCTTTATTGCCACCACTATCATTTGCAGTCCATCTCTCATAAACTTTTCTTAAAATCTTTGCTTGGCCAGTTGGACCAAACTAGGTCTCGCTCATTGATAAGTGCTTACAAGCCTTCAAGGACAACTGACATTACACTTTGCCTGCCTCATCCTTCTGGAGTTCTTTTTAGAGTTATACTGTATATGTACTTTATTTACAAATATTTATTTATTTATTATGCATTTATTTGTTTTATGAGGTGTTTCAGTTAATGTGTAACGACCAAAGCTTTTCCTCATCAGGTATCCCAAGCCTGCAAGATAAAAATTTGGTTTAAGACAAAAAAGTTTTAGCATCCGTATGCATCAATTACGATTGAGATCAAATTTCAGTGAATTAGCCAAATGATGTTTAATATATTATAAACCAATCTCTAGTTGTTTTTTATGAATGAATTGCATGGATTGACCCAAGGGAAATCAGCATAAATGACGTCATTGAACAATCGGTTCTAACTGATATGTAATAACATAAGCATTGTGACCTAGGAAATATAGGGGGAAATACACGAATTTGAAAGTCATCTCTATATATATATATATATAATTTTCTTTCCTTTATTGTAGATTTTCCTGTGGCCATCAAACGAAAATTTCAGATCAGCATTTGAATACATGGCTGATTTTACGCCAACAAAATATAAATTATCAAACTTAGAAGCTGGTGTGGTGTATTCTATCAGGATATCGGCTTTTAGTGATGCTGGAGATGGACAAAAATCTGCAACTGTTTATTTTGCTATAGGTACGGTATTTACAAATTAAATGCACAAAAATTAACAAGTAAACAAAATTGAAATTCTGCTTATTATTCAAAAGACAAATATCTGCCAGAAATACAGGCAAAATAACCACACCCAACATGCTTCAAAGGAAAATGGTGACTTTGTTCAGTCATTAGAGAAGATGGCTGTTAAACATCCAGTTTCAAATTAATTGCATATTCAGAATGAGAACATAATAATTTGATATGAATATAAACCCTGTTTGTACTAGGACGATAGGCTGAGTAGGATTTTAATGTGTAAGAGTCTGCAGGTAGACATGTCATTATACCCGGAAATATTATTCTGTCTCCTAGACAAAGGTCTTGCACCTAAATGCTGCATGCTAAGCAGTGAAGCAGCAAATATCAATTTTTAAGTCTGGTTTGACCCAACTGGGGTTCAAACTAAGACCCATGCACTTGAGGCGAGCACCATAAGAGAGGATTTTGATGATAAAAACACTGAAATATGCAGTCATGCTCCTTAAGTAATACCATAAATATACATCTCTATAAGTTTCCTCAAAGTGTAAATGACGGCTTTTAAGTCTTTATTTGGGGGGCCTCACCACTCCAACATCATTTTATACTTCAGTGATGCACGAGTAAATTTGACTTCTTATTTTGTAGAATATGAAATGTACACTTTATTTACATGTAGTTTTTTTTCTTTTTCATAGCTGGAGGTGCAACATTGATAGACCAGACAGTTACAGAGTTTTCCTACCTGGCAGCTTCATCAATCTCATCATCCATAATCTTAGTTCTACTGGCTTCCATTTTAGTGCTTATGTTGTCATAACAACACATTTGATCATTTAGAGACAGTTAAGACTATAAATGAATATTTGTACAATACTATAGGTTTATAAATGAATTTTAAACACATAATTGATATTTAAGAACCAGTGTCTCTTTTTACATAAAATCTTACATGTAAAATTACACACAAGTCACCGTTGGTTTTTCCGTTTGAATGGTTTTACACTAGTAATTTTTTGGGGCCCTTTATAGCTTGCTGTTCGGTGTGAGCCAATGCTCCGTGTTGAAGGCCGTACCTTGACCTATAATGGTTTACTTTTATAAATTGTAACTTGGATGGAGAGTTGTCTCATTGGCACTCATACCACATCTTCCTATATCTATGAACATTTCTTATAAAGTACAATAATTAATCACAAAATTTTTTTCTGAAAAGAGTTGCAGAAATGATGTTATTAAATATCGGCTTTCACATAAATTTTTATTTTCACCAAAATACCATGTTTATGTGTTTTTACCAAAGAGATTAATTTGTGAACTGTTACCATAGTAAGAGTTTATTTTATTAAGAATATAAAGATACAGAGGATCTTTAATGACTTATTTTGTTATGAATATTTGTTATGCAGTATTTTACACCTTATTATACCCTACGCAATGAGTTGCGGAGGGTATAATGTTTTTTGACCCGTCCGTCTGTCCGTCTGTCAGTACGTCAGTCCTGTTTCTTGTCATCGCAACTCCTCTCAAACCACACAACAGAATTTCACGAAACCTTTTTAGATAATAAGGACATACTAAGTAGTTGTGCATATCAACAGGAAATTACGATTCAATTTTTTTTCTAGGAGTTACGCCCCTTTGAACTTATTTGCTTCAATATACCTCTGCAACAGTTTGTCATCGCAACTCCTCTGAAACCACACAACAGAATTTCATGAAACTTTGTAGATAATAAGGACATACTAGGTAGATGTGCATATCGACAGGAAATTATGATTCAAATTGTCTAGGAGTTACGCCCCTTTGAACTTATTTGCTTCAATATACCTCTGCAACAGTTTGTCATCCCAACTCCTCGGAAACCACACAACAGAATTTCATGAAACTTTGTAGATAATAAGGACATACTAGGTAGATGTGCATATCGACAGGAAATTATGATTCAATTTTTTTTTCTAATACAATTATTTTTTCTTACAGTTATTTTATTTCTCCAGTGACAATGTGGGGAAGTGGGGTATGTGAGCCCGCTCACTAAGGTTCTTTAATTTTGATGTTATTTCGTATCTTTAGTGTATTATACTGTATGCATAACGTTTGTTTTTGATCTTTTAGAAAAATTTTGTAAACAAAATTTGAAATAGACAAGTGTTGAGTTCTCCTGTATTATTGATCTCAGTATCAAAGTTGTTTTTGTTTAATTTTACTTTATAAATTGAACTGCTAGAAATCCATTTACTATGTTAGATATAATGCAGAATATGTTTGTGACTTAGCTGGGATCACACCATAACTATTTCCATACTGATTATTTAGTTATATTTATTAGGAGACTGTACTATATGTTTTGATTTTTGTAGATGGAAATATGTAAAATTTACTAATTTTCACGATTTTAAAATGAAAGTGCTATATTTAATTTTAAAAACAAGTAGTTTAGTGTCTTGAAATTATATTTATGTTTTTAAATATTCCAGGAAATACTGAATTATTATGGAGATAATTTTTACTAACATAGGAAGATTTTTTATTCCAGTTTTATTTTATTTGGAAAGAAATCCAACAATTTGTGTATATATATATATATAATATATATATGTATACAAACAATTAATATACATTGCTTCAGAATACCTACCATAATTTCATTGTAAAAGTATCATACTATCATTATATTTGCAATATTTTTACAATAAAATTATTTATTATCAACTTTTTTATTTGTTAAGATGAAGTGATGTCACAGACTCATGCCCCCTTAAATAAAGGAGCAAACATGGAATAAATGTGTAAATAAAGATATGGTGTCCACCATTTATAAATACAGAATTGTGAGAGAAAAAAAACATAGAAAAGACAAGCATTCTGAGAGTATTGCATGGCAATACATAGTCCCCTACCGGTTAAAAAAATCATTGTACTGGAACAAAATGCTAACTTGATCTATAACTTGTCATTGTGGAAAACTGATTATTTGTCTGAATTTTCTACGTCCAACGACCACATCTCTGCCAAATAATCATCCAAAGCAAACAAAATTAGAACTTGATCTGTTACTTTTCATGGTAAAACTATATATCAAGTATCAAATCAATATCTTCAGGGATAACAAAAAAAAAAAAAAGAGTAAGAGTGAATAACTGATTATTTGCCTGAATTTTCTAAGCCTGAGGACCATAACACTGCAAAATAATCCTCCGAACCAAACAAAATTTCAACTCGATCTGTAACTTGTCATTGTAAAACTATCAACCAAATATCAAATCTATATCTTCAAGCATGATGAACCAAAATGCGGAAAACTGATTACAGGTACTTGCCTGAATTTTCAAAGTCCAAAGACCAATACTCTGCACAAAATTTTCAGACCCAAACAATATTCAAACTTGATCTGTTCATGATATAACTATGTACCAAATATCATTTCATTATCTTCACTCACGAAGAAAAAAAGTGTGGAAAACTGATTTGCTGAACTGACAGATGGACAGACATACGGACGGACAAAGTGCTACCTAATGTCCCCTTTGACTTTGTCGGTAGGGGACTAAAAAGAAATTTGGAAAGGATCTATGCTACTAAATATGATAAAATAATGTATTCATGATCTCAACCGCATTTATTTGGACCCTAATTGACATCAAAAATTAAAAATAAATGTGGATAGTGTCCACATGTGGACACAGATGATGCCCCCGCTTGCATATCATATAGTTCTAAAGGGACATAACGGTAGAACGGTTAAAGTGACGCTACCCAAATTTGAACTTGATCTGAGTTTGGTGGTAATAAGCATTGTGTATAAGTTTCATAACATTTGGTTGAGGCAAACTTAAGTTCGAGAACGAAAACTAAAAATTTTGCAATTTTTCCATTTATAAAGGGGCATAACTCTAAAACTGTTAAAGTGACGCCACCAAAATTCAAACTTGATCTTTGTTTTGTGGTAATAAGCATTGTGTATAAGTTTCATAACATTTGGTTGAGGCAAACTCAAGTTAGAGAACGGGAACCAATTTTGGGACGTACGGACGTACAAACAAGGGTAAAACTAAATGCCCCCACCGCTACTGCGGGGGCATAAAAATCAGGTAACAATTTCACCAGAAATGCGCAAAAGCATGTAATTTGAAAAGTTGATTTATTAAAAAGGCAGAGGGGTGCATTTTTTTGCTTTGGAGGGCAGAAGGGCAGGGGTAAGGACACCAAGGGTGGGCCACCCTTCTATTTTGGGCAGGCGGGAAACTTCAGAAATTATTGCATACATTTACCATTGCGACTTTTTGAAGAATGGAAACCCAATTAGAGATCAGTTATTGCGATTTCAGGAAAATCTGCATACAGAATCTGTATCTGTATTACAGTTATATGTATCAGATATCAGAATGGAAGTTCTTATAATTGTGATACTCACCCAGTCGCATTACCAGCATTGATAAAAATTGAATTTACAGTACTTATTTTCTACAAATTTTGTAAACATTCAGTTTCTCTTTAACTTAATTGGTTAAGAAATGACAATTCTGTTGATTGACACAGGCTGTTTTAAGCGCCAAGAGAATATTGAGCCTGTCATTTAAGATGTTGGTTTGTAATGTTATTCGTCCTACATTAAATAAATGAAATGCATGGACTTATCCAATTAAAGGTGTTGATTCTCAGAAACTTGTTTCATGCAATAGTCAAGGACCCCACCATCTTTCTTTTTAAAGAGGCCTTTTACCAACACGTGAAACAAGTGCCTGAGAAACGAGACCTGTAATTAGATAAGTCCATGCATTTCCTTTACTTCTTGGCTTTGAAATATAATTCCTCTTGTTTTAATTTTTTCGTAATAATCCAGATCTGTTTTGTGTCGAAAACAATGTTTAAATCTGCACAACTGACATTAATAATTAATTTTTTTTTTATCTACCAAATCATTTAACAACTACTATGACAAAGTTTAATTAACTAATTGGAAACCAATAAATAAACGTTCTATTATCTCATTTATTTTTCACATGCTCCACAATTCTGTGTTGATTGTTTATCAAGGTCACAATCAGTAAACTTCAAATAAAAAAACACTAAAGTTAATTAGCAGCCAAAGTTTTCGCTCAACAATTTAATGATTGAAATATTTTTTGTAGATTACGGATTCATAATAAATATAAACTGTTGACACAGAGATATGTCTCGCCTGTCAGCATAAAATTTTAGAAAAAGACAATTTGATGAACAGCAACATTGCTTATTAATTCAAAGTCACTGGACCATGACCTAGGGGGCAGGGCCTCAAAATAGTCGTTAAACTGATATATACTGATAGTAATGCAACTTCATACAAAATATCATTGATCTATTACAAGTAGATCCTATCAAACTAACTTAAGCAGAAAACTTAACATTGAAAATTGCTAATTAATTTTAGACCACTGGACCATGTCCTAGGGGGCAGGCCTCAAAATAGTTGTCAAACTGATATGTACGATAATGCAACTTTATATTAAATATCAATGATCTATCACAAGTAGTTTCTATCAAATTAACTTAAGTAGAAAACTCAATTGCAGCAATCCCTATGTTTCGCTTTCCGTGACTTTGGTCGCAGGCGAGACAATAAAAAACATACACAGAGAACTGAGTTTAGTATATATGCATGCATTGGGTCAATAGTTTCCTTAACGTTATAATCATCTTAAAACTCGTTTCATATGACTATGCTGACCTTTTACAATATGCAAGGAATCTGTCAAAAGAGGTATCAATTTGGCATGGCATATATACCTTTGATTGGCATACTATGTTTTACATTGTCATTTCACAGCCCTTTATAGCTTACTATGCAGCATGGGTTTTGCTCATTGTTGAAGGGGCATATGCTGACCTATAGTTGTTAACTTCTACGTCATTTGGTCTCTGTTGGGAGATTTATCTCATTGGCAATTATACCACATCTTCTTATTTTTATATTAATACGCTGTAACATGTATAAAATAAAGAAAATTATATATTACTTGATTTTATTACCAGTCAATAAATATTCTCCTTTAACAAATAGCAAATATTTCACAAATAAATACTCAATAAAAGCATTTCCGTTTTCAAATAATCATCTTAATAAATGTCAATATTCTGTTCAAAGTCTTGTAACTTTACAATGTATTTCATATAACATGCTTTTTTAAAAGTTCAAAAAGTATACATAATCATAACATAGTTTTTGTATCCACGTTGAACTACAAATAATTACAATGAATGTTTAATTTTAATCACTATTTTCCTCATCTGAATTGTATAGGACTAATTCTCAAGCCAATGCAGTCTTTACCAATTTCTGTCACCTAAAAATAAAACCATGAGAAAATCAAATTAGAACTTCTAAAAATATTTAATTTGCAATCTTATTTGGCTATAACAAGATATTCACAATGAAATTAAATTTCTGCTTGAAAAAATGGCAGAATCTATAACTAGAGGCTCTAAAGAGCCTGTGTCGCTCACCTTGGTCTATGTGCATATTAAACAAAGGACACAGATGGATTCATGACAAAATTGTGTTTTGGTGATGGTGATGTGTTTGTAGATCTTACTTTACTGAACATTCTTGCTGCTTACAATTATCTCTATCTATAATGAACTTGGCCCAGTAGTTACAGTGGAAAATATTTTGTAAAAATTTACAAAAATTTACAAAATTTATGAAAATTGTAAAAAATTGACTATAAAGGGCAATAACTCCTTAAGGGGTCAATTGACAATTTTGGCTTGTTGACTTATTTGTAGATCTTACTTTGCTGTACATTATTGCTGTTTACAGTTTATCTATATCTATAATAATATTCAAGATAATAACCAAAAGCTGCAAAATTTTCTTAAAATTACCAATTCAGGATACCATGTCAGATTTGCTCTAAATGCTTTGGTTTCAGAGATATAAGCCAAAATCTACATTTTACCCCTATGATCTATTTTTTGCCATGGCGGCCATCTTGGTTGGTTGGCCGGGTCACCGGACACATTTTTTAAACTAGATACCCCAATGATGATTGTGGCCAAGTTTGGTTTAATTTGGCCAAGTAGTTTCAGAGGAGAAGATTTTTGTGATGAGAAAAGCTCACTTAGCCCTTTGGGCCAGGTGAGCTAAAAATTGACATTTGTTTTACCCAAATGCATGATTTGTAAAAACCTTGGATAATTTACAGCTATATCAGACAACTCCATAAAATATTTGCGCTGCATCTTTCTGTTTCCCTCTTACAATCTTTTCTGATTCAACAATTTCTCATGGAAATCCATTTAGGTCCATCAAAAATATATTTTAAATACCATTTTCTATTTTACCCAAATTCTATGCCACTCTTTAAAGCTAAAACAACTAACTTGGTCATACAGCTAGTGGCTACTAAAGCACATACTATTTTAATGATGTTATGCACGCACAACATCAGTACAAATCCATGATCAACGCACATGAGTATGTTGTGAAACATATATTTGAATATTATGGTTTACTCCTAATTAAGAAGTTGGATAACTGGAGATGATTTTTGTATATTATATAAATAAGGTACAAGCCTATTTAAACATCCTTTTTTTTTGTAAAGTAAAATGGCTGATTGCAAAATAAATATAGATTCTAACACTGCATCGAGTGTAATACGATATTTCTTCACTCGAGACACTTTTAATTTTCACATTTAAAAATTCTAGGCTTGCTGAACTTTTTAAATATTTAAAATACAACTGTCAAGCATGAAGGAATATCCTATTGCACAAGTTACACTGATTGAATCTTTTTCTCTAATTTATTATAGACAATATGTAAACAAATTCTATCTTCACTTTTCAATGATCTGCAAAAAAATGTGAAGTCATCAGCCATGGTCACCTTTTTTAGCGAAGTCACAATATGAAATTCAGAGGAAAGCAAGAAAATTTTACATCATAATTAAATTTTGACAAATAAAGAACATAGATCAAACAAAACACAGGTTGATTATATAAAAATAATCAACCGGTCAGGAAAAGTGCCAATCCAGTAAAAGAATTTGTGAAAATAAAATAAATGTACAGTGTATTGATTGATGTTTAACCCACCTGTGTTGCTCTGCAAGTTTGACCTTTAAACTCTGGTAAATAACATGCACCACTCAGTGGACATTTTACAACTGGTTTACCTCTGAAAAATTAATCATTACATTCATTCGTATTCAAATTGTTATTTTGTGTCTGCATATTGTGAAGTAAACAAACTCTTTTTTTTCAATATTAAAGCTTATTTGCTTATCTTGAAATAGGCTCTGTTAATATTTTGAGACTGTATCTTAAACTGTAATTTCTCGTCTTTAAGAATAATATGTTACTTAAAACTTTAAAAAAAAACTGGACAAAGTGATGCCCCTGTACTCGACTCTGAAGTATCTGTATTATATAATAAGTCAATGTAGGACTTTCTTTGAGATATTGTTGTTCCTGGGAGACACAAATGATGCTCCCGCAGATGCAAAGTGCTATTTTGAAATACACAGTTGAGCATGGGAGCACATAGGTCTATGGTTCACTATAGGAGGAGTTATCCAGAAACTCTATGCACCTCTTATGCAAGTAAATACTCAAAAAAATGACAATGTTCAACTATCTCCCAAAAGAGCAAATATTAATAAAAATCAAAATCCTGACCACATGCACACCTTAAACATATGTACAAAAAGCCAGCAAAGTGAAAACTTCCTAGCATTCAAACTGTAGGAAGAGTTATGTGGAATAACTATATACCCATAATGGGACGGACGGACAGGGGTAAAACAATATACCCCCCCAACTTTTAGTTGCTGGGGCATAAAAATTATAATTGGAATATTGTAATTTTATCAGTACAGTGAATCTAACTAATGGGAATATTAGAGCAAATGTTATAAATATATTAATATCAATATTTTTTCTGAACAGAAGTATAACATAAACTGTTATTTCGTCCCAAAAAAATTACAAAATAAAAGAAGAATGTGTCTGAGGATATGAATGCCCCGCTCAATGAAAATGGGACAAACGAATGGTCAAGGGTAATACTTAATGCCACCATCGCCTAGGGTGAGGCATAAAAATTTAAATCATTTAAAACCTTTAAGAATATGAATAAAATTAAATGCATTTTATTTATTTATGCCAATGGGTTGCTGTTGTATCAAGTTTTGTCCCATATCTCCTTTTATAAATATGATAATAGAGAATAACCATTACGAAATTTGTCAATTACAATAACATTTAAAATCATTATCATGTCAATCAAAAGAGGGATGAATTTCAGAAAGATACCAAAGGAATATTCAAGAAGTTGTAAATGTCTACTAAAAAGTAAATTATAAATTGATTGATTGATTGGTGTTTAAAGCCAATTTCAGCACTATTTGCAATTTCAAGACCATCTATTTTTAAGGGGTGGAGGAAGTAAATTATAAACAATGAGATAAAAAATATTTACCTATATATAGGAACATAACTTGCTGCACAAATATCAAATGGATTATGTTGATCATATTTTAATTCATGCTCATCTGTAGATTTCTGTTCGCATGCTGCTAATATTTTTCTTGTCTGGAAAAAAAATCAAATATTGTGAACAAATTATACAACATACATGGTGAATTTTGTAGATATTCTTAAAATTAGAAACTGTAGAAACATTCATAAATATTTACACAAACATTATAATAATTTTTATAACTCCTTTAGATACCATTGACGCACGTCTGGCATACAAAATTTCAATCCTGGTATCTATGATGAGTTTATTTACTATTACCTCATAAATGCAATATTCAAGTAAGTCTGATCATTTCCCTTTAACATGTGGGACTCGTTTTATGTTCCTACATTCACATTCTTAGGTAGATTTTTTTTACAACTGTAAACAGTTTCATCAATATCTGTCTAACCATTCCGATTGAGTTTAGCTTACAAATTATTACTACATATTGCAATATTGAAGTAACTTATTTGATTGCCTCCCTTTTGACATGTTGGATAGGGGTTACATTTCCTTTCTGCACACCCTCAGGTGGTGTTCTACAACCATGTAAAGTTGCATCAATATTTAGCTGGTTGAAAGGAGTTGGGGTAAAGAAAAACTATTACCACATATTGCAATATTTTGAAGTAAGTAAATTCAATTATCTCCCCTTTAACAAGTTGGACCTGTATCATATTCCTTTATGCACATCCTGAGGCAGTGTTCTTAAACTGTGTTCGAATTCATCTATATCTTTAGCTGTTTAAGAGGAGTTGACTTTCAAGAAATAAGGACAGAAGGAAAAGTGATTCTTATGTACCCTTTTGGTCTTTTGCTTGAGATTTTGACGAGTTCTAGTAGAGATTTTGTGCCATAAATGAATACATCATATCCATCCCTACCATTCCATTATAAAGCACCATTTCAAACAATTCCTTACCTGGGCTGCTACATCTGGTTTAGGTCCTAATTCTAATAAACGTCTGGCAAATGATGCAGCTGTTTTATAATTCTTTAACTTAAAGAAGAGGTTGAGGGCTGTACGTAATGTCAGTATCATGTGTATAGGCTGTAGATTACAATGAGTAAAGTAGGCTGCCATCTAAAATTTAAAAAACAAAATAATATGTTTAAATTAAGCAATAACTATTATCATAATTCATAACAGTCCATGAAATAGTTTGCAAAGTTTCATAAAATGACAATCATCATGCATTGTCTAGGGGGCGGGGGGTTGTATAATTCATTAGTCTGTGGGTGTGTAATTTGTTAAATTATTTCTATTGTGAAAATTTTAATTATGTGGTACCATGAAGAACATTGATTTCACATTAATATATACATATTTCTTTATTTCCACACACTTATCAAGCGTACTTTACTTCAGTGACAGACCCAAATATTCTATCGAATTGCACTTTTAAACTATCGACATATTCAGTGACAAAAATATGTTTTAAACAATTCATCAAGCTTTGCTATATAATCAAAAGGTTATTGGATGAATATTAGTGAATATTATCCCTTGTAGGATATAAATTGCACTTAAAGCTCTTGCAAAGTAAAAAATTCCTTGGAAAAATATTCATGTATAAAACCACTTTTCTGTATTTTACAATGTCCCTTTCTTTCATGCATATTTCTGTTGACTTGCTCTGGTTTTATTTTAATATTCCCTTCCAACTCCATTGATAGTTTCATTGTAATGGAATTACAAAGAGTGCACATTTCATGATTTTCTCTGGGTCAGGTCTTAAAGACTTTAAAATTGGTGTTTACTGCATTTCTACAAGGCACATAGCATTTAAGGGTATGAGCCAAGACCTGCAGGCTCCAAGTCAAATTATTTGTCTGTTACTTGTTTTAATAAAATTATTTGTAGCGTTTAAAGTCTCACCTCACAAATTCTTTTCTGTTCTTGTAATGTTGACTTGGGTAAATCTTTTCTGACCTGTTCCATACTCAACCCAACAATGTATTCTCTACAGATCTCTATTAGTTGTTGTGCCTACAATTAAAACATTTTTTACTTGCAATCTATATTATAAAACTGAAAAAAATAAAAATATCTCTCAAATATCTCCACATAACTAGCTTTTATAAGCGTACAACTTTAATATGGATTTATAGATATATATCCCTTAAAACAATTAAAATAGGCCAGTGGCTGGTATATCTGTACAAGATGGTTGAGTGTTTGGTCCCAGCTATAAATCCTGACATATTTTTTTGTTATAAGTAAAAGCAAAAGGATAATTAAACCTTAACGTTTAGATGACTTTGAAAGTACCAGTATAGTTATCAAATTTTAAAAAACAATTCAAGGGCATATGTAACAACACAATCTAAAACCAAACAATTTAAGAACTCGTTCTTAGTTAAGACTGTGATTCATTGAAACCAGCTGGAAGAAGACATAATGTGCATATGTCAGTTGAGATCTCAAAAAAGCTCTCCAACACCATCAATAGGTGCTCTATCTCCCATGGAATAAAAGCCAGAACTGGTATCTTCGATGTACAATACAGATAAAGATACACATTTTACAGAAGCCAAAAGAGATCTTCAAGCCAGAATATCAAAGGCTAACATCAATAATCTTAAAACTGTTGAAAATTCTTTAACACAACATTAAATAGCATATCCCTTAACATGATGATTTTGTCATACACTTGAAGAATGTGGATAGATGTACATAATACTTTGTATTTTATTCATTTCAATAGGATTTGATAATCAATATCTCTCACATGATTAAATTAACTGAAAGAAGTCTTCTGAACTAAGAATGAAAACAGAGAAGTCACCATTGTTCTCAAATTTGACTTTCAGTAACTGTTCCATTCTGACAAACACAATAATTATAAAAAAAAAAAAAGTTTCTGCACATTCAAAATTTTACATGTATATCTAATGATTTGAATCTGCCTCAACCATCAATAAAAAAAAAAGGATTAATTAGTGTAATTACTTTATATGTTGTTTTAGAATATTACGAAGAAAAAATAAACTCAAAATTCTAAATATCATGATGGTCCTCAATTCACATTTTCATATTTATAAAAACGTTACATTAACTTCTGCATTCACAGTAACAGACACTACAAACCATTGAAAGTCTGAAATGGCCTATATTTGTACTCGACTGTACTGATTTTTACTCGACCATTCTGAATTGGTCTGAAATTTACTTGATTATACTCGACTGTAGTCTGAACCATACTTAACAGTCTGAACTTGTACTCGACCACACTCGACCCGTACTTAACCATTTTATTTGCGTCTGAGCCATTCTCGACCTAGTCTGAACAATGCTCGACCTAGTCTGAACCATACTTGACCTAGTCTGAACCATACTCGACCTAGTCTGAACCATACTCGACCTAGTCTGAACCATACTCGACCTAGTCTGAACCATACTTGACCAAGTCTTAACCAACCTAGACATATTTTTTGTATCTATCTATTGTATTTCATCAATTTAGGAACTGTTTTTAACAGCTATTTCCTCTGGCTAGAAATTTGAACAACAATTTGAAATTTAAAATGTATTCAATATGGCATTGAAACCAAAATTTTACAATAAACATAATATAAATTCAACTCCATATTTATCAACACTTACACATATATATATCACCTTTAAAACAAAAATAAAACAAGCTGATCCAATAATCTCAAAACTGAATTGTGACTAATATTTACAATGTTATTCAAAATTTTTTGAATGTTTCAGATATATTTTATGGTTACTGGACAATTTTCACCATTTACTTAAGCCTTGTATAGATTTATGGTGTCAGTTGAGTATAGTTAATAATGCAGTGAACATTTTTTTTTATTAAAATATATTTAGAATAGTATATAAAGCAACTTAATAAATTTAAAAGATCACACCTTTGTTTTGTAAAACCAAGAATTTAATATAATCATGATAATAGATTTCCATAGCAATCCTTGATAACCATTTAAAAAAGGAAATGTGTTCCAAAGTTGCTGAAAAAATTTATTTCAATTAAATTTAAATAACTTTTGTCAAAATTAAAGACATGGCATACAAGAAGAACTTTAATAAGGTTTAATTACCTCAGTACATGTGTGTTTTACAGGTAAAAAGCAAGCCCTATTTTTCTTAAACTCGTGTATTACTTATCTAGTGAATTCAAAAGGCCTTGCGATTTAAGTTTTACAGGATGTTGCAATTTTTACTGAATGTTAATTAGAAATTAATTCTCTCTGACCAGGTGTGATCTTTTTAATGAGTTTGCCCAAAGCAGGAGGTATTACTTTATACTTTACCACTATTCAGAATTTTTTTTTTATTTGTTTCTTTAACTTTTTTTATCCCTTTTTATACGACCGCAAAAAAATTTTTGTGGTCGTATATTGGTATGACGTTGGCGTCGTCGTCGTCCGAAGACACATTGGTTTTCGCACTCTAACTTTAGTTTAAGTGAATGGATCTTTATGAAATTTTACCACAAGGTTCAATACCACAAAAGGAAGGTTGGGATTGATTTTGGGGGTTATGGTAATAACAGTAAAGGAATTAGGGGCCAAAAAGGGGCCGAAAATAAGCATTTTTGTAACTTCCAGACATAACTTGTGTGTTAGTGTATGGATCTCTCTGACATTGTACCACAAGGTTCCATATCACTAAAGGAATGCTGGGATTGATTTTGGGGGTAATTGCCTCCAAATTTTAGGAATTAGGGGCCAAAAAAGGGGCAAAAAACAAGCATTTTTCTAGTTTCATGACAATAACTTGTGTGTAAGTGTATGGATCTTTCTGAAATTGTACTACAAGGTTCCATATCACAAAGGGAAAGCTGGGTTTGAGTTTGGGGGTAATTGCCCTAAACGTTTAGGAATTTGGGGCCAAAAAGGGGCCAAAAAACACATTTTTTTCTAGTTTCCAGACAATAACTTGTGTTCAAGTGTATGGATCTCTCTGAAATTGTACTGCAAGGTACAATACCACAAAGGGAAGGCTGGGATTGAGTTTGGGGGTGATGAATCATAATGGGGGTTCAAAAAATTTTGGGGGGGGATTTATTTTTTTTTCCTTTTTTTTCTTTTTTTCCTTTTTTGTTTCTTTTAAAATTTTCCATTTTAAATTGGTTATTTCTGATTTATATTTAAAATCAAATAATAATGATATGGTAGGAGATACACACCAAACAGGATGTGTAAATTATTATATAATAAGTATTGTGCAATAGCAAGAAATTTTCAATTGCACAGTATTGCACAATAGCAAGAAATCTTCAATTGCACAGTATTGCGCAATAGCAAGAAATCTTCAATTGCACAGTATTGCGCAATAGCAAGAAATATCCAATAGCACAATATTGCGCAATAGCAAGAAATTGTCAATTGTACAGTATTGCGCAATAGCAAGAAATATTTAATAGCACAGGATTGTGCAAAAGAAGATACTTCCTATAAATTGCTTATTTCTTGACCAATTTCAATGGGGTTTTATTCTTGATTTCATGGGGTTCTTTAATATGCTGAATCTAACCGTGTATTTAGTTTTTGGATTTTGGGCCCCGTTTTTAAATTGGTCCACATTGAGGTCCAAAGGGTCCAAAATTAAACTTTGTTTGATTTCATCAAAAATTGAATTATTGGGGTTCTTTGATATGCCGAATCTAACTGTGTATTTAGATTCTTAAATTTTGGTTTCGTTTTCAAATTGGTCTACATTAAGGTCCAAAGGGTCCAAAATTAAACTTAGTTTGATTTTAACAAAAATTGAATTCTTAGGGTTCTTTGATATGCTGAATCTAAACATGTATTTAGATTTTTGATTATGGGCCCAGTTTTCAAGTTGGTCCAAATCAGGGTCCAAAATTAAACTTTGTTTGATTTCAACAAAAAATGAATATATGGGGTTCTTTGATATGCTGAATCTAACCATGTATTTAGATTTTTGATTTTTGGGCCCCGTTATCAACTTTGTCCACATTGAGGTCAAAAGGGTCCAAAATTAAACTTTGTTTGATTTCATCAAAAATTGAATTATTGGGGTTCTTTGATATGCCGAATCTAACCGTGTATTTAGATTCTTAATTTTTGGTTCCGTTTTCAAATTGGTCTACATTAAGGTCCAAAGGGTCCAAAATTAAACTTAGTTTGATTTTAACAAAAATTGAATTCTTAGGGTTCTTTGATATGCTGAATCTAAACATGTATTTAGATTTTTGATTATGGGCCCAGTTTTCAAGTTGGTCCAAATCGGGGTCCAAAATTAAACTTTGTTTGATTTCAACAAAAATTGAATATATGGGATTCTTTGATATGCTGAATCTAACCATGTATTTAGATTTTTGATTTTTGGGCCCCGATATCAACTTTGTCCACATTGAGGTCAAAAGGGTCCAAAATTAAACTTTGTTTGATTTCATCAAAAATTGAATTCTTGGGGTTCTTTGATATGCTGAATCTAACCATGTATTTAGATTTTGGATATTGGACCATAATAGGTGAATGTCCAATTTAAAATTTTTAAGTTCTTAGACCACATTCAATCTGTGTTAGAAACCTATGCTGTGTCAAATATTTAATCACAATCCAAATCCAAAGCTGTATCAAGCTTGAATGTTGTGTCCATACTTCCCCCAACTGTTCAGGGTTCGACCTCTGCGGTCGTATCAAGCTGCGCCCTGCGGAGCATTTTATTGATATATATTATATATAATATATCCCAAATTATAATAAGAATAGATATATTTCTAATATAAGGTTAAACAATTTCAGTGATTTTTTTGGCTGTTGTTAATTACTCATTAAAAAGATAATTATATAACTATTGTATGTAACCATAAAACCTATGTAGTTTTTCTATAGGAATTTAGGAAAATTAATTAAAAAAAAAAAAAACACATGCCAACCAAGAAGCACCTTAATAAGGTTTTATTACCCTCAGTAAAGGTGTGGTTTTTAGGTAAAAGAATCTTTTTTTTTAACAAAACTCTAAAAACTTAAAATTAATATAATTAAATTATTATATAAGATAATTTGATTTAAATATCTCTATTTGATAAATCTGAGAATCATGTAAGGATGTAAAAATATGTTTTTATATATATCTTTATTTTATTGTGGCTGTTATCATGTCAGAAAAAAAGAAATTAATTTTAACAGCTAAAATTAAAAAAAAAGTAGAGGTTTTTTGGTCAAGTATGGTTCAGACTGGTCTAGTATTGTTCAGACCTTTGGTCGAGTATGGTTTAAACTGAAAAATTAGGTCGAGTACAGGTCGAGAATGGGTTAAGACTGTTTCAGACTGGTCGAGTAATAGTTCAGACTATTTCAATGGCAAAGATAAGGGTCAAATACAAATCAGTACGGTCGAGTATGGTTAAGACTAGGGTCGAGTAATGTCGAGTATAATTCAGACCAATTCAGGCTGGTCAAGTAAAAATCAGTACAGTCGAGTACAGATATAGGCCATTTCAGACTTTTACTGGTTTGTAGTGAGAGGCAGACTAAGGGAGAGGGCCTGTGCCCCCTTATGGAGATTCATATATAATAAATGCATAGACTTTTTACAAGTATCACTTGAAATGTTGGCTTGCAGGGGCCCCCCTTTTTTCAAAATCCTGGATTCGCATCCGAGTATAACCTCACTCCATATACTAACCTCAGCTATTTCTTGTTTATTATCTACCACCAGTAATGGTACACCAAGGAGGATACTTCTAAATTTCTCTATAGCATCAGGGAATTTACCAGTTGTTGTAAGCTGGTAAGCTACTTGTAACTGTTGTACTAAGGAGGCTAATTTTAACCCTACTGCTGGTACTCCACTTCTGGCTCCTGCTTCTTTCCTGTAAATATTTCTGACAGTAGAATGAAGGGCAGAAGGACCTCTTTTCAAGACATTGGGATTGGGCCTTTATTTTTGCAGGAATTCAGGATTTACACTTATTGAGACTCAGGAATTGATGATTAAATTTCGGAATCCAAATGCTTCATATATTCAGGAATTGAGAACTCAGCGTTTATTTTTTACAGAATTCATGATGACATCCCCTCCTACACCACTTCTATTATACAAAAGTCACTTATGCAGTGACTGCTCACAAAAATTTTCAACAAAAAATATTGGTAAATCTTCAGTACAAATTTAGATCAATTTTTAAAACTAGAATTTTTCTGTGAAATAAGTCACAGATAAGAGACAAACATGAATATGACACCAGAAAATTATATAAACTCATGGACATTTCTATTATGAAAAACAAACTAAAACAAAATCCAATTGACTTACCAGTTTCTATGAGGATAACCAAACAAAGGGGGTGTTGATGGGATTCCTTGGAAACATGTCCTACTTCTACTGTAAGTTTGTAAAAATAACTGCTTGTATGTATCAAAACTGACCACACCAACTTGATCATGAAGTAACTGGAAAAAAGAATAGAAAATGTCAGTCATTTAGGAAGGATCTATGATTAAAATTTGTGTTTTGTCACTAAAGGTCTTATTTAATATAAAAAATATTGCTTTTAATAAAAAAATAGCAAGAGGAAGAAAATCCATAAAAATGGTGTCTTTCTTCAAATATCAATATCAAATTTTCAGAATTTGTACAGACTTCTGTTTAATGTGTTTAATTTATCCTATTTTCAAGACAGAATAAAAATATTACCCTCATAGCTGTTTCAAAAGATCCTGCTAGCACGTGGTCCACTGGTAACTGTGAATTATTGCACCAGACCTGAAATATAAAACAAAATAATAATCATACTGATTCAAATTACAAATTCATAAAAATTATCTGCCATTTTCATTTACATACTTTTAAAAAAAGATAGTTGATGTACTGGTTTGAAATATGCTTTAGACAGAAAGTGTGATGAACTTTTTATGATTTTTAACAAGATAGAGGGAGTTTTCAAGTGTAAAACTTTCTTTTGTGAAAGGTCTTCAACAAGTTTTTTTTAAGCAATGTAAGAATAAATATATAAACATTATATAGTCCAATATCAGTACATCAGCAAGCCTTACTAAAATTCATATGCTCTTACTTGTGTTTGACTTGTTCCTTTTGTTGGTGGTACGAAGTATCCTTCCCCTGAATCACCACCTGCAGGTCCTACATCTAGATCAGCAGGGAGTTCAAGGTCATCATCCCCAACATCCCATCCTCCACCTTCAGCATCACCTCCTGTGGCAACTTCATCATCAAAACCACCACCACCACCAAATCCTTCTGTTAAATAAGATTAAAACAAAAAATTTTAATCTTCAAAATATATCTATGTAATACAATGTAGTTAATTTGGGCTAATTAACCTTTCTACATATTTATATAATTACAAAGAGTACAATTTTATTTGTGGAGAAATTTTAATTCCTTGAGCAATATACCATCCTTTGGCATTTATATGACACCCTGTATCCTATTCTGAGTCAACATTTTTTACAATTATCCACAGACAGTAATGAACCTAGAATGCAATGAACAAATATTTCATTTCAACAATTGTACTTTTAAAGTTACTGTAAATTCAGAAATTATTGCAATGTTTTTATTAATGCGTATAATGCAACTGGATGAGTATCGCAAAAATAAGAGTTCACATTCTGATATCTGATGCATATATCTGTATACAGTTTTTTACGAAATTGCAAAAATTAATCTCGCATTTTGTCCATTCTCCAAAAATTGCAAAAATAAATGCATGCAATAATTTCTGAATTTACAGTATTTGAATATTTTATCAGATATTGAGACCCAGTAAGTACTATTATTTAAGAACTAATTCTTGTTATGCTGATGTGTTTAATGACTCAGAATGATAATATTAGTACAGTGATAGTTTAATGGCTTTTTATTTTATACATAGAAATGTTTGCATTATTTCTATAAACAAAGAATTATTAATAATCAATGTTATTAATTTAATCACCTCACTGTTACCTTTTCTTCAACCAACCATAAGTAAAAACATTCAGACTACATAAAATTTAAGATACAATAAGACTTGATGTACACCTGAACAATGACAGAACGTTTGTGTAGAATATAACTTACCATCATCAAGGACAAGATCAGCGTCATCACCCCATCCTTCACCAGCACCCTCATCCATATCAACAGCTGCCATTCCTCCTGCTGCCTTAGCTGAAACAAACATTTAATCATCTCCATGAAACAATTTTTAAATTAGCATCTACAAAGTGATGATTTCAGTATAAAATTAATAGATGACTTTCCAATTCATGCACTTTCCAGTATATTTCCTATGTCACAATGCTTTTTTTATTACATTACAGAAGAACTAATTGTTTGATGAAGTTGTTTACGCCAATTGACCTCGAGTCATCTGGTATAACTCATTCATAAAAAGCATTTAGAAATTAGGGTATTATTAAGCTATATGTAGTTTAGTGTATAAAATTAACACTTGTCTGTATGAATGTTTGTAATATGAATACATATTGACTAATTCTGTTCTGACAGAGCAGCTACTTCATCTACACTGAAGTCCAAGAGATGTTCAGATTCAAAGGGTCTACCTTAACACTAACCATAGTGCCTAAAATATTGTATATCTGTTATAAACATTCTAATTAATATTTGGAAAAAATCAAAAAAAATCCCCCCCCCCTCCCTCCCCCCAAAAAAACTCCATTTTAGAATAATTTCATTGCAAATAGGAAATGTTTACACCAACAAACCTCCAGTTGCTGCTACAGCTCCCTCAAAGAATCCTTTGGTCCTTGTAAGTAATGGCCAGTTACTCTCCTGTTGCATTATGGGTACTGGAGGTTGTGATAACATGGCATTGGGAAACAGATCAGGAATACGTTCATTTTCACCAAACTGTTCCTTTAACTGTTCTGCTTCTTCATTGAGACCATGAGTAGCAGCTGTGACGTAAGCTAGGGATTCTACAACAAATCAAAATTGATAACTGTAACACACAGGAACATTATTTCAGTTTACTAAAGCTCTATATATCACATTACTTAATTTTCTAAAACCCAAGAGAAACATACAGTGCTCACTTATTTCCTTGAGTGCTAATTTTTGAGGATTAAGGAAAAACTGTATTTTTGTGGATATTTGATTTTCGTTGAAAAGTCAGCAAACTTCAACAAACTTTTAAATTCGTCGTTCACCTGTACCCACGAAATATAAGAAAAATTGGTATCCCATGAACATTAATGAATCCACTGTAATTAAAAGTATGCTCCTGTTCATTTCTTTCCTTCTTATTCCATACTGTACATTTGTTTCTTAGATTTAATCCCAATTTTGGACTTACCTTATATTCATGCTAAATGACTTAATTTTGAAAATTTGGAAATCTATGAGATTATACTTAATGGTTAGCTTAAAATTATAGAGAAAACTAACTCTGTCCAACATTTTTCAGAATCTTGACCCTCTCAGCAGCATCACCTAGGAACAAAGCATTTTGGAAATGGCTACTGGTGTCCTTTCTGATCTCAGCTAAAAAGAAACACAAGATTTAAATTTTTCTCTCCGATATTATTGATGAATCAAAAATATTTTCATTAGATCATATTTTTTACAAAGGCATAAAATTGTTTCGTCTCTTGATGGAAGCATAGTTTGGCATTTAAAAGTGTATAACATATAATTCTCAGAAAAAAATATATGATTGCAAAGACTGTAAATCATATACATTAATTATTAAAAAAATAATGGAAAAAAGATCTGTTTTGCATCAAATATATGGTGATGAAAACCTGTATTTTAGATCCAAAATTAAAGCAATTTTTAAGGCAATGTTTACAGCTGGTTTAAAAGTTCTTCATAGAATATAGTTGTCTGCTTAGAATAATCTGAATTGTCATAAAAATGGCCAACTTAAAAAAACGTCAAGAATATTGGTATGGAGGTTGCAGTATTTAATTCATCCTATCTTTCTTCTACATATAAATAATCACCTCAGTGGTCTTGTGGTAGAATGCTCGCAGCAAGTGTGGAGTTTGATCATAAGACTTGAAAATTGTTATTTGCTGCTTCTCTGCTAAGCACAATGCATTTAGGAGTAAGAGCAAAGTCTAGTCGGCCCAGAGACAGAATAATGAGTCCATAACATAAAAATAAACAATAAATTCAGCCAATTTTGTCTAGGATTTCTATTTTATTCAATATACCAAACATGCAGGTTTTATATATTAGAACTCTTTACATACCAATTTTCATCATTTTCCTTAATTTTTCCAGATTTCCTGTGAGGAGATATAAGAAAGATAATTTATCAAAGTTCTTTGTTCTCTGGTAAGCCATTTCTACAACTTGATGATTTCCCTGTAGCAAAGCAGCCTCTCCTAATTTCTCCCAACAGGATGGGTCATCCAAAGCTCTTGCAGCTTCTAAAGCAATCTATAAAAGATATGTAAATATTAAATAGTCAAAATATGCATCTGGTGCAGTAAAATTGGGTCCGTCAATATCATTAAGCAAGAAATAATCAACATTAAAGACAACACTTGTAAATTACCACAAAGTAATTGTTTATTTGTCAACATGTTTCTCCATCAAGCACTTTGTCATCCATAGCAGTATCTTAACATTCTGCCAGGCTATATTTAATTTTCAAAGCATCCAATTTTCACAATTATGTCACAGCACGTTTTCAGACATTTAATTTAAATGTAACACAACATATTATCATTCATTCTTTTACAATCAAGTTGAAATGAATGTCTAACATTTGTTTAACAAATAAACAATATTAAAACACTTCTTATCAGCCAAAATATTTTACTATAGATAACATTAAGACAACAACCACTGTGTTGAAAGTTTACTAAGTTGACTTATTTCATTTCATAGAGTGTCTTCTTAAGGACAGTTACAATGTATTATAAAATTCATTAAATTTACAGTTGTAATATTACTGAGCTGTTTACCCAAAGTAAAGTTAGAACAGTGGATGATATGAGGATATCAAATTCAATGTAAATTTTTTACTGATAAATACTAATATTTATCTTATTTAACTGTATACTTTTGATTTAATATTGTCTTAGAAACCATGTCTTGAAATTTTCCTCATACCATCTTTGGGCTTATTGATAGCAATGTTTATAACAATTGATTATGAATTCATATCTAAGTTTCTCATCATAACATAGTTATAGAAATTATTCAATAGTTGAATAGAAACCTACCTCTATATTACCACATTCTAAAGCTAGACCAAATCTCGTCTTCTCATCTTTAACAAAGTGTAAAGCTACTTCTGGATAGCCTTTCTTTTGTAAATAAGAGATTATACTCTGTCCAACCAATTTAGCTGATCTCACCATATGTAAAACCTATAAATAAAAATATTTGTTTTTGAAACTCTAACAAATAAACAAATACATTCTATAAATAAAAATGTCCATGAACGTAAACTGGAACTTTCTTTATACTACAAAATATAAATTTTTCTAGTTTCATGAAACTAATTTTGCCTTCATCACTTTATATTTTTAAAAACAGCAAATTTTATCTAAACATTTTAAATATGTACATTTCTTTTTCAATTACCATAAAAATTTTATTCAGGAAACCTGGAAAAAAATCAAAAACAATGCAATATCTTAAAAGAGGCTATAGATGTTTTTTTTTATGATATACAAGTAACCTTTGACATGGTAACATTTCTGAAATCAGCTTTTATTTTTACAAAAAAAAAACATTGAATAATACCTCTTCATATTTTCTGTTCACCAATGCAAGTTTAAATTTAAATTCAGTAGGATCTATACTGAGAACCCTTGGTCTGGCCTCTCTGTCAAGGCAATACACACTATTTCCTTTAATCCTTGTTATGTAGATTGGTAAATCTAGAGTTCTAATAATTCCATGATCCCTGCAAAATAAGTATGCACAATTCAAGTATAATTTTTCATTTTCCCCAGAAAGCATTTTTTTAGTGTCTCACAACAGTTTCCAGAAGAATACAATATTCCATTATGCACATTTTCAGATAGTGTTCTACAACTGTGTTAAGTTTTATCAATATCGGTCAAGATGTTTAGAAGAAGTTGCACTTAAAGGAGACTATTACCACATGTAAAGTTTTCCCATTATATGTCTAGCCATTTAGAAGCAATACTTTACTTACCCATTTGTGAGAGCATATTTAATATGATTACTGGTTGTGTATACAAACACACCACTTTCATCCCAAGCTCCACTTTTGACTCTGATGTTCTCGTGGATAGTACACAGATTTTCTAACTTTCTGTTACACACAGATATCACTGAAAAAAAATTGTATAGATATTTCATATACTTATATTCCAAACAAAGATGATTATGACTTGTATGTCACATGCCCCAGTGTTTTCCCTAGGCTATTCAAGCATTGTGGTACCGCTACCCATAAATTTCGACCGCCATGCTTTCATCATTGCCGCAATGCATCCCGCTATGTGTGAAAATTATAACTGTGTAAAATATTTATTATCCATATTTTGAAAGTGAAGTAACAAGTGACAACACTCCACAGGTGTTTTAAACTCATCCGACTAATAATTGGATGCATCATGTCGCGCGTGCCGGGATTTTACAACCTTCTTGATTAGATGGTTATACATCGAGACTTCGGTTACATAATAGAAGTTACCAGTCAGCTAATAAATAAATAGTCAGATTTATCTCCAATGCATATCTTTCTGTGCTAAATAAAAAGTTTAACCTTTTCCTGTATAAATTTCACCTCAAAAACGGCCGGGTGTTTGACATCGTTATTTTACTGTGATCTTTAAAAAGTAGAAATTTAAAATTTGGTGTAGTCTCTGGTATTTTAAAATAAAACTAACGTAATTTCACCGAGAATGGACAAAACATTTTTTTTTTAATAAAGTTTCACAGTTACTTCATCAGCTATATTTACATCGATGAATTATTTTTTGATTGGTCACAATAATCAGTTATTTTTAGATTAGTCGCGGTTGATTGATTTTATCAAAGAATACACATCACTGCCACCGGGCCGAGAAAAAGACGTGTCTTATGAAATATTTAAAAGATTTGATAGAAAACTTTCAAAATATACGTATTTATTTACGGAAATATTGTTTTGAATAAACTTGTGTTGTTCTATTTTTATTTCAATGGGCCACAAGCTTCACGTGTAGCGGATTCATTTGCCGTTTTTTTTCAAAAGTGGGGCTAAATTTCTTTCACTTCGGCAAGATAGGATTTTTACAATTATGAAGCGTTATAAATAAATCGGACAGGGATGTATTTTAAATAAAAATAGTTAATTGTCATGAAATAAATGTCAGCTTAGCTTCCAAACAGGTAATTGCCAAATATGTCATCCGTGTGTCAGTATGTCAGGTATTCTTCACTGACGACTTCTGTAATTAACGCAAATAAATTTTTTTTTATTGTTTCCTGTAAAATCTCTGTGAAGCAATGATGACATTCAAAGTTTTATTTAACAACTTGCTGTTGATGCTGAAACCATTCTATCAGCAAAATTCAAAGAACAATCATCAGTTTAACAACCATGTCCAAGCAACCAACAAAGAAACGTCGCCTTACTGGCCCAACTTTTTTGACAAGTTGGTTAGAGAAGTCTACTCCTTCATCAAATTGTAGTCAGACAGATGAAAATCACCTTTGAGAAACAGACTATGCCAAAAAGTGTTCAATTGCTTAATGCATATATCAATTGAAGAACCAAAGGAAGAAGCTTTTGATTTTGAAAAATATGTGGTGACCTTTGGAAAGTTGAAACAGAGGAAGATATCAACAAAATAATGTGTATATGACAATAATTTAATTTTGGATGTAACGCGTCTTCTGATTGGCTGACGTTGTTTTGTTTATCAGCTCATAGACATAATTTTGTCATGTGACCGTGACGTCATCAACGTTTTTCATGGTTTACTCCGGTTTAAAATGGAATTTAGAATTAAATTATAAGAAATGACTGTAATATTTTTTCTGTCTATTTGAAATAACATAAAAAATGTGGTGCACACTTTAAAATAACCCGCTACGCGGGTTATTCAATGTGCACCAAATTTTTGATGTTATTTCTTCATAGACAGAAAAAATATTACAGTCATTTCTTATAATTTGCGCCGCGTTGCAAATTCACCATGGACCCACCATGCATGAAAAATTTTCTAGGGAAGACACTGATGCCCCTCAAATTTTTTGTTATTATACAGTTAATTAGTGTCATAACAAAATTGAAAATAATTACGGACAACACATCATGAAATATCAACGTTGTATTTTTACAGCACAAAAATGAGGGTACAACATGTAATATCAATGTTTTATTTAGATGCTGTGTTTAGTTTTTTTATTTCATTCCTGACAATCTTTATATTACTTTCTACAATTTATCCAAATCCAAAGGAATTGTCAAAAATGTATTAATCTTTATATTTTTACTTATAATTAAGTCAGAATTTTTTAAAAAGTCTAAATTTTGCATTGTTTTAAAAAAAAATTGAATATCTTACCATGTTTGCTTAGAAGAGCCACAAAAGACATATCAGCCGACCATACAACATATTTCACTTTAGAAATCTTCACAGAGGCTAACGATCTAAAAATTGAAAAAAATAATTCTTTCATTATTCCCAGCTGACTAAATTAAATTTACTGGAAGTTGCTATTTCTTTTAATCTTTTACTGTACTAATTGACTATTACAATTAGTGCAATTTGGGGAAAAATTAACTGTTTTCCATTGATTTTGTTGTGTACAGAAAAAATACAGTTGTTTTTCAACCCAAATTGCACTGATTGTAAACTTGATTTTACTTCTTTCACTGGCTCTTACTTGACTGGGTAAGAGAATGTCCTACCACAGAGTAGGTAGCCTGTCATAAAAAATTATGAACTCCTTTGTCAAAAGTCGGTTATATGAAAATAGTCTATTATGTTGACATAAACTTGATAAAGTAATGAATGATACTATCAATATATGCAGACTTTAATTAATGTGCTTGCAAGTTTATCTTAAAGTGAATGGGATTTAAACATTTACCACAAAATACAATAGTACATAGATATACAGACCTTTTCTGTTGAACATCAAACAATGTGACACCATCAGCATCCTTCAATAACAAACATCCAGTGCCAGCATAGAAAATATCTTCACAGTTAGGGGCTGGTACTTTCTTTGTTACCTCATTCTTTAGATTCTTGATAACAATCTAAAAAAGCACAAAAATATTCTATTCATTCTCATTTCAAGTTACTTGGTAAAAAATTTGCAACTTCTAATTACTATTCACAGAAAATCTATGAAGTATTTTTATATTAGATTCTTGATAAACATCTAAAATAAAAAGCACAAAAATATTCTATTCATTCTCATTTCAAGTTACTTGGTCAAAATTTGCAACTTCTAATTACTATTCACAGAAAATCTATGAAGTATTTTTTAGATAAGAATGAATTTCAAGTTCAAATTTCCATGACACTTTAATCTTCAATGTGTAAAATTAAAATTTAAGAGATACCAATTTTTGTGGATTGAAAAAATCTTGTATTTTTGTGGATATTTGATTTCATGGTTTTGCCAAAACCTTTAGAAAATGTGTGCTTCGTTGAACATTATTTTGTTGTTAACCTATACCCACGAAATCCACAAAAATCGGTATCCAGTGAATAATAGTGACTCCACAGTAAATCATGCAACAAAAAACTTCAGATATCAAAGACACTTACACTGTGAGTCTTATCTAAGACTGCAAATCTGTTCCTGGCTACCCATACAGCAGTCAGTCCAGCTGACCTCTTTCCATCAGGAGCTAAATAAAATAACATTTATAAATCCATTAAATCATTAAAAGCTGTAATAGTGAAGCAACCACAATATATATTGTGTATGTCATAAATGAACAACACAAAATTTAACAATCCATATATGCAAATGAACATTTTAACCCTGATTTCACAATTATGTGCCATTTTTTATTTCCTTGATCTTGTTAGTAGTCATTTTGTTGGTAGCTGAACTGTACAGATTTTAATTGTGTGTTTTAGTTTTACAACAAATAGCCTAGACAGGCAATCAGAGAAGTTTGTGCCCACTCAAAACTGGTTTAACTTCTACCCATTTTGTGCCTGTACCCAGTCAGGTTATCTGGACCATGTTTAGTTGTTTTTTATCTTCATTTGTATGTCAGTTTTTTTGGAGAGTCAGATGTTGTTTGTTCATGAAGTCTGTTGTATGATGGGATATTTTTGTTGTTATCCTTTTTTACATATTATTCACACCTACAGTCGTAAGTCAAATGTGTTTAACCTTTTGAAAATTCCCCTATTACTTCATATAAAAACAAATTTTTATAAGAAATTATACTGACGATATTTTTTGTTCCAATTCAATGAAATATTTTAATCAAATGAAAAAATATGTCTGCAGTTTCAAGCAATTTTTATAAAATTATTTTCTATAATTTTCATTTTGAGGAAAATCGCTGTTTAAAGACAAATATGAATTTCTGCACGAAAAAAATCATTTAGTCTTTTGAAACATGAACATATTGTTTCAAAATGACGCATTAGCTCTAACAATTATGAAACAAAAGGCCAATTTTTTTCCAAAATGGTTGGCGTTAGAGTTAAGAAACTGTATTTAGTTTGTAAGAAACTGTATTTAGTTTGTAAGCTGATTTAAATAAACATTAGCATGACTTACAATCAGGGTTCTGTGAATCACTATCCTTTGGTATGGGATATAAATCATATGTAGAGTTTTCTACAACCTGTGTTCTCTGAAAATATTAAACGAAATCAACTTTTCATTGAAATCAAAAACTTTCATAAACATAAATCTAACACTATGTTTGTTAATAACTTTCTTCATGAATACTAGTATATTATGTTGTAAAATTCACCATTTTATCTATAAGCACAAACAGCCAGATATAAATTGAAGAATTTTCAATTGTCTAGTATCTTTTTTAAATTCTTCAAATTATAATTATTCAAGACTTAGTTAATATTTCAGCAGAAAGATGTATTGGAATGAAATGTTCACTTAATTTAATATAGTTACTAAAAGTACAGATTTAAGGAAGATTGGGGATATGCTTCCACTTGCATCATCATATATAAAACCTCAAAATATTCTTCTATCATGGTTTGGACCTTGGTGGCCGAGTGGTCTAAGTAGTTCAACAATTGTATCACTAGCATGTCAACACTTGAGATTGGTGCCTTCGACTCCATTCTTAATTGATAATAAATATCAGTTTTGTTGCTGAAGGTTGTGGTTCTCTGCTGGTATTCAGGCTTCCTCCAACAATAAAAACTTGCCATAAAATAGCCAATAGTGCTGAAAGTGGTGTTAAACACTAACCAATCAATAAGTTACTCTATCATGATTGTTACTATATATGAGCCTAACAACATTCACGTACTTACGGTACAAAGCAGGACAGCATTCTCTGCTGGGTTGTAGGACATACTATATACTGGAGATCTGCTTCCCCTATAAAATAACATCAGATTCAAACTGTAGAAAAAAGTTAGGACTGCCAGTAAAACGTGATAGTTATACACACTATAAAATAACACCAGATTCAACCAGTAGACAGAGTAAAGATTGCCAGTAAAACATGATAGTTATACATGCTATAAAATAACATCAGATTCAAACCAGAAAAAAGTAAGGATTGCCAGTAAAATGGGAAAGTTATACATGCTATAAAATAACATCAGATTCAAACTATAGAAAAAAGTAAAGATTGCCAGTAAATTGTGATAGTTATACAAATCTACTATTTTAGCAGTACATGTATGTTTGATATGAAACTATCTAAAATTATTTAGCAATTTTCTGTATTTTTTTTATCCTGATGACAGTACCCTAGGTAACGAAACATGTCGATCTCATTAAATTGCTGCAGCAATCCCTAAAGTGTTGTTGTTATAACTGCTTTCACATTTTAACTTAAATCATATACACTTTATCAATTACTGTTTTCTTTTCTTTTATTGTTCATATTCATTTTCAACTGGGAACCAAATACTTTCCCAACACTTTACCCTTGGCAACAATGAATACAGAACTTTTAGAGAGAAAAAAAGTATTTATATACCCTCTAATTTGCATGACTGCACCATCCTTTGAAGTGTTAAAGTCCAGTTTTCTGAGGTATTTGTCTTTAACATAGTACACTATATTATTGTGAACTGCATGGGCTGGACGTTCACGTTCCAGTTTGAATACAATCATTCCACTGTCATGACCAGCAGCAAACAAGTTCAGAGTTGGATGAGCAGCCATGATCCAGAATCTATCATGTTCTCTACGGAAAGTCTGTACTCCAGTCCTGTTAAATAATAGATATTTTCAAAATAATCTTTGTTTTTAAAATTGAAAGATGCATTTTAAATATGCTATTCAAAGGTGCAAAACTTGGCTCTTTTTTTTTGCTCATTGTTGAAGGCCTTACCGTGACCTAGAGTTGCTAACTTCTATGTAATTCGGTGCCTGGTGGATAGTTGTCTCATTGGCAATCATACCACATCTTCTTATTTTCATATTTTGTACAAATCATGTTTAACCTACTGTAAATTTATACCTACATCTGCCCCTGGCACATTTGCAAAAGAATATTCAGACTAAAGCAGAATATCATTTGTACTGAACTGTTCATGATCTAGAAAAGATTTTATCATAAGACTTTTGTGAACTACAGGACTGTCACTGTAGCTTTTCTGCTATCAATTATATCTTCAATTTCTATCCATAACATTCTGCATTGGGGTTGAGCGCTCACAAAAATGTTTAACCCTGACACAATCGTTATGAGCCTGTCCAAATTCAGGAGCCTGTAGTAGAGTGGTTGTAATAGGTTAATGTCATTCATATATGTTTTTCAGAAATTGTTTTGTTATAATTAGGCCGTTAGTTTTCTTGTTTGAATGGTTTCATATTTTTCATGTCGGGCCATTTATAGCCAACTATAAGGTATGAGATTCTTTCATTGTTGAAAGCCGTACAGTGACTTATAATTGCTTACTTCTACTTTTAACTCTAGTGGATAGTTGTCTCATTTGCAATCATACCACATTTTCTCATCTTTAGATGTTTTATACAACAACAACCTATACAAACCTTTTGCTCATATCCCAGACCCGGATACTCTTGTCCTCTGAGTTACTAAGTATTAGTTCATGTCTTGGATGGAAAGTACAACAGGAAACATTGTTGTAGTGTCCTCTGCATGTGTCTACCTCCCATGCTTTAGCATCTGTAAAATAACATGTTTGTTGTTTATTTTATAATAATGAGAATAGAAACATATAATGAAGGAAATTTGCTGCTGAAATATTGAAATATTCAAATTTCATAAATGAATTCATTTTCATTAGGGAATGTTTAATACATCAAAAATAATGGGAAAATATAGATAGGTTGTCTGCTTGTTTTTAAGATACAAGCATTTGATAAGGAGAATGAATTTTCAGCTTGGGAAAAACTTTGTACTGATTTTCCATATGAAAAATATTGGCAAATAAGAAAGGATTATTCAATTGTACGAAAAATGCACAAAAAATAATAGAATTCAAAAGTATTTAAAAAAAAAATTATATTCAAGATGTATGTTCTGTCTTTGGGTGGATATTTTTCTCATTGGAAATCATGCAAAATCTCCTATTTCTTATGTTCTTGAATAAGCTGAGAACTGAGAAATAAAGGAGCAAAATAATCAAATGCATTGTTAAGGTCAAAGACAGAGAGTTTTCAAATAATTAAGGAAATGTTGAAATGTGAGCAGCTAACATTCTTTAAAGTAGACTACCATTATCCTTTCTTTCCTTACATATGAATATTTGTGAAAAACATGACATTTTTATGATTCACCCTTTCAGAGTCTAATGCATTTTGGGTAATATTTTTTTTCAAAAATGTCCAAAACAATGAAAATTCAAACAATAATGTGACATATTTTCATGAAATTACCCATAGTTCTTTTAGATGCTGTAATGGTGAATTATATACAAATCAATAATGTATTGTTACAATTAGAACATAAGAGCATATTTGTAATCACCGTTCATTCTCCATAACTTGACCTGTCTGTCGTCTGCTCCTGATACAATCAGGGGAAGTGTAGGATGAAATGCTGCCCAGTTCACACCCCTGTCGTGTCCTTCAAGAACATGCTTAACAACAGCATCAGACATTCCAAATAAATCAGTCTGCCCTGTGGCTCTTAATCTGTCCTCTATACTTGATGGGCCAGGTGATACGTTCTTCTTCCTCAGACCTGGAATTAAAGTCAAATTTTAAGAAATAATCGATAGCCTTTTAATGAATCCTTGAAATGATGCCTGGTGAAATATTTACTACCACTCTAGCCACTAACATGCAGTATGGTTATTATCTATGATTAGTATAACAAAACATTTTCTTATATCTACCATTCCTAGACCTCTTCATCTTGATACCTAATCCATTACTGACATTTTATTGGATGCAGTATAAAGATATTCAAAACAAAACAAATTCCACATTTTAACAACACAATTTATCCAAATTTTATATTTTGGAAATATAAGGCTTTTCTACCTCAGGAATAGATTACCTTAGCTGTATTTGGCAAAACTTTTAGGAATTTTTAGTCCTCAATGCTCTTCAATTCGTACTTTATTTGGCAATTTTAACTTTTTTTATTCGAGCGTCACTGATGAGTCTTTTGTAGACGAAACGCGCATCTGGCGCAAATACAAAATTTCAATCCTGGTATCTATGATGAGTTTATTAAGGATGAGGACAAAGAATAAATTTTATCTTGCAAATTTTAAAAACAACAGACTATGCAATAAAATTCCATTTTACAAACAAAGTTACTGTTTATCTGAAATTTACTAAATCTTTAGCTTATTTTTCATGTAAAACTGGTGCATTTAGTTATAAATGGTTGGTTTTTTTTTTATGACAATCATGTTCAAGCAACATTATAAACATTTATACTCAGTTTAAGGTGTACAACTAACAAATAGAAATAGTCTTAGATATATTGAAAGTATATCACCTTGCCAAGTTATGGTGGAAACATGCTATCAAGGCATAACAGGATGCAAATTCAAATATCATGATATTGCTTAAACAAACTTCTCCCTATGTACTAGCATTAAACATGGATTTATATACTAGCAAGGATTTTTATCAGTGAACATTGGTTTGTGTTTCCTTTTCATAATGCAATGAAAAGAAAAAAAAATAAAATAAACGTTTATATAATTCTCAACTTTAATTTAATGAATTTGCAGGTCAAATAAGATTTGAAGTTTTTCATTTTTAAGATAATATCAAACTTAAATATGGAATCCTCAACAAGATATATATTTGTTCAGTGATACATGTACTATTTTAAACTCTTTCCTAAAATTTGCAAAAATAGAAAAAATTATAAAACAAATATACTCAACAACAAAAGAAGCACACCTCCTCCGTTAAATTTCTTTGAAGTTAATATTTATATTAAATATAACTTTTTTAAAGGTGATTGAAACGAGTCAAATTTTTTTACAAAAAAGGTGATTGAAACGAGTCAAATTTTTTTACAAAAAAGGTGATTGAAACGAGTCAAAATATTTTTACACAATGTTTCTGAGGTAATAAACACTATACTCTGTGAAAATGAAAATTTTCTTAATGCTAATTTTTGACATCTCAAATAAAACATTTTAATCAACAAAACAAAAATAGGTTGCAAAATTTTTGAAAACTAAAGTCATGTGTAACTTATCATCTTAAAACAAGGGAAATGACTTTGATTTTCAGTTTATTAATCTAATTCTTGTCTAAAGACCAATTTAAAATCAACTTATCTCAGACTTTTGATTTTTGACTTTCGATGTTCAAATCTTCATTGTGGCCACTAAAATGAAAATTTCTCTGTAAACACTGCATTAATTTGAAGGTAATGCTTACAATATAACAGATTTCTACAAATCTGTAGCAAAAGCAAAAAACTGTGAAACTTCTATATTTTGGGCAGATGTGGTGCGCTATTTATGTTGTTAAGTACACTTTTACAATGCATTCTGGTCTGAATATTGTAAACATGGTTATAAATACTAAGGATGCTAATATTGTTTTCACTTAATAGCGAGCACCTTTTCTGACAAATCATCTTTTTACTAAGGATATGGGGCAAGGCTTTATAAAATATACACATTGAAGGAGGCTAGCTTTACAACAAACATGCATGCAAACTTGCAAACTTGCAAAACACATTTACAAATTCTTCAATGATGGGAAATAAAAACACTGCTATTTTAATTTAATAATTTAATCCTTTATGAAAATACTTGTAAAACAAGGTTTCAAAGAAGCAAAATAATTTAGGTAGTATATATACCAGTGTTTAAATATATAAAATATCATAATTTCGTCAAGAATCAAAGATAGCATACAAAAGATCTTGTAATAATTCTCTCATCTTGAAGGAAACAGGAACAAATATAATTTACACCACTTGATAGGTAAGATTGATGAGTTTGAATTTTGATTTAAATCAGCAGGATTCCTTTTAATTTTAAGTTTACCTTTTGGATGGATCATGTGCAATATAAGAGGTTGGAAGAGAGTAAAAGATAACAATCTGGGTCAAGTATGCTGAAGTAAAGAAGGGTTTTCACTTCATTTGGACATATTCTCCCAAATCTAATTAGCAGTTATCTACAAGATTTACTCTTACATTCATTTAATTCTATTCTTAAAAAAAAATCATTCAAAGGTAATTCAAGTGACTATGGAAATTTGAAATATCCAACTACCGCCATTTTTGGGACAATTTACATTCATAGCAAATATTAATCAATTTCATTCCAACACCACAGGACAATTAGAAATCTCACCCTCCCCGCTTGCACTTTTGGCAACCATCCCTAGAAGAAAAAGCAAAGAATTACAGCAAAGTAAACAAAAAACAGCTGAAACGAGTAACAACAGAATATGGAAATTGCAAACACTAATTCCATCATATTGTGTTATGACAACACCTGGTGCAAATCAAATGTCCTTCCACTACAAATCATTTAGCCAGTCAAATGTTTTGAAAAGAAATCACAAAAATTGTAAATGTAAATTCTGAACTAGAACTATATTGTACATGCACTTTTATACAATTTGATGAAACACTACAAATACCATATAAGACGTATAACTTTATTAAATTTTTTAAAACAATAATAATACTAAATAAGTACAACCAATTTATAGGTGCAGGAAGATCAAATAACAGTTAGATAAAATAACATACTTTTTTGTTAAAAAAAGCAATTTGATTAGTAACAATTTTTACCACTTAGAAATATCTTATATAATACTTACCTGAAGTGTCACACATTTTTTTCAACTTATCTTCTATGTTATACTAGATAGCTGATATGTCCCACTTTTCCATCTTAAAATGTCTTATACAAAATATACAAGATGTGTCCCACAGTTTTCAACTTAATATAAAAGTCTTATTATATAAGATATATACCAGATGTGTCCTAAAAGTTTTGAACTTCTAATAAATGTCTTACATGATATAAACCTTATGTGTCCCACATTTTTTCAACTTTTAAATATTTTATACGATACCTGATATTTCCCACAAGTTTTTCAAAGCAGAAATGTCTGATACCATATATAACTGATGTGTCCTACAAGTTTTCAACTTAGAAATGTCTTTCACAATATATACCTGATGTGTCCTACAAGTTTTCAACTTAGAAATGTCTTTCACAATATATACCTGATGTGTCTACTTAGAAATGTCTTTCACAATATATACCTGATGTGTACTACAAGTTTTCAACTTACAAATGTCTTTCACAATATATACCTGACGTGTCCTACAAGTTTTCATCTTCAAAATGTTTTCACAACATATACCTGATATCTCCTACAAGTTTCACCTCAGAAATGTCTTTCACAATATATACCTGATGTGTCCTACAAGTTTTCAACTTAGAAATGTCTTTCACAATCTATACCTGAAGTGTCCTACAAGTTTTCAACTTCAAAATGTCTTTCACAATATATACCTGATGTGTCCTACAAGTTTTCAACTCAGAAATGTCTAACATAATATATACCTGATGTGTCCTACAAGTTTTCAACTTCAAAATGTCTTTCACAATATATACCTGATGTGTCCTACAAGTTTTCAACTTAGAAAAGTCTTTCACAATATATACCTGATGTGTCTACTTAGAAATGTCTTTCACAATATATACCTGATGTGTCCTACAAGTTTTCAACTTAGAAATGTCTTTCACAATCTATACCTGAAGTGTCCTACAAGTTTTCAACTTCAAAATGTCTTTCACAATATATACCTGATGTGTCTTACAAGTTTTCAACTCAGAAATGTCTTTCTCAATTTATATCTGATGTGTTGTACAAGTTTTCAACTCAGAAATGTGTTTCACAATATATACCTGATGTGTCCTACAAGTTTTCAACTTCAAAATGTCTTTCACAATATATACCTGATGTGTCTTACAAGTTTTCAACTCAGAAATGTATTTCTCAAATTATACCTGATGTGTCGTACAAGTTTTCAACTCAGAAATGTCTAACATAATATATACCTAATGTGTCGTACAAGTTTTCAACTCAGAAATGTCTAACATAATATATACCTGATGTGTCGTACAAATTTTCAACTCAGAAATGTCTAACATGATATATACCTGATGATGGGTCCCACATGTTTCTCAACTAAAAAAAAATGTTTTAATCAATATATACCTGAAATGTCCCATACTCTAACAGTCTGGTCAAGGGAGGCTGACACTATTAAGTCCTCAGATGGATGAAACTGTGCACACATTACAAAATGACTATGTCCTGCCAATACACTATAAATAAAAAAAAAAATGTTCATTCATATCAGCAAAATTTTTAATTAAATATTTCAGACATTTTAAATATAAATCTCTCTCTCTTTACATTTGTACAGCTTGGGATTATGATTTATGTTAGCACCTATTGCATTATCTATATTAAGTTTGATAGGTTGTTATATCCATTAAAAAATTAACATTAAATCTTCTACAACTGACTGAAATTCTGTTTTTCTGAAATGAAGTGATAACATGGACCAAAAATGTGAACAAACCATTAACAGTTACAACAGAAGCGTAGCATAATTTTCCTGCAAAAAATGTGCTTAACATAGACAACTAAGCGATATGGGTTTTTCTCTCATTTTTGAAGTTTGTACAGTGACGTTAATATTTGAATATAGATAGAGGATAGTTGTCTCATTGGCAATCATACCTCATCTTATTGTTATACAACAGTACTGTCTTAAACTGTTACAAATTGTTTCCATGAATAAAAGTTTTATTTCAAAAACAAAAAAATTATGGCATAAATATTACAACTTTGAACTTAATCTTACCAAACGCAGGTTCTTGATTGCCAGTTCCATACTCTGATTGTCTGGTCATCTGAAGCACTCAAAATCCAAGGATATTCCTGAAAACATTCCATTAAATATTTTTTCTTTCATTTGTCACAAACTAATATAGATCTGCAACTTATGTATCAATGTCAACAACTTTATCTACACAATGTAATGTAATGAAATATATCCTTTACAGCTGATTTCATTGAGTGTGTAGGAAAAGGTAAAATCTTTGGTTAGCTTGCTTGCTAGCTGAAGCGTGAAGTCATTATTAGGTTAGGTAAACTACCCTCCTTTATGAGTAGACTAGTCCGACAGACAGATACAATTGGTTATCTGCGGGACTAGTCTACTCATGAAGGAGGGTAGTTTACCTAACCTAATAATGACTTCACAGTTCAGCTAGCAAGCAAGCTAACCAAAGATAATACCTATTCCTACACACTCAATGAAATCCGCTGTAATAAAAATAGATTATTTTCTAATTAAAGGAGTTCACTTCATAAAAAAAAAATATATATAGCATTCAGAAAATTAGTTTATACAGAATAACAAACAAGCCTACCACAAAATTCTTCAAACAATTTACCAAAGAAAAGAAAAAACACCCCAAAATGTCATTTCTTTTAAAAATCTTTTAAAAAATGAGTTATTTCCCTTTGAACAGAAATGGAGTAATTAATAAGTATTTCATCAAAAATTGAATTCTTGGGAAAGGGCTATAACTTAACAACGAGAAAAGCTAAAATCGTGAAAATTGAACTTGACCTTCATTTAGTCACAGGAAACAACATATCTAAATTTGAAAAATTTCATCAAAGCGTTTTCATGTTAATGAACGGACAATGTTTGGCAACAGCCCGCCCACCTACCGTACGTCCCCAAATCAATAACCGATTTTTACTTCGAAAATCCGATTAAAAATCACAAGAGAAAAATTTCAACTTTTCTTTTTTTGTTTAAATTGTTTAGTTTTTCAATTTGACAATGTGTATAAAACTCCCAATTTAACTTTCTGTTTGACTTTTCATAAATCATCAGACAAACACTGTAGTTTGATATTTTCTTGATCAATGTTTGACTTTTGATGGAAGTAATTTCCTGAAGGTCTCTACTCTCTAGATATGAATCTTACTAAAATAGCTAAGTAAGATTTGACCTCAATAATTAAAATAAAACCAGACTAAACATTTAGTAATTAAGAAGACTACATCGCTTGTCAATGTAAACTTGTAGCTTATGTATTCTACTAGCTACTATAAAATACAAAAGGAATAGTATAAATACATGAAATCTTACATGATGAAAGAATGTTGTTCTTATGTAATCTTGATGACCAAGTAAAGTAAAGAGACACCTTTTCTGTTTGTAGTTCCAAACCTGAAAAGAATAAAATATGTTAAAGCCTTATAAAAAACCTGTAACATTTGTATAATTTATGTTTTTTCCACATATCCTAATATATTTTTTATCAATTCTGTCACATATTTTGATGAAATAAGCTAATGGTTACAACATCTGATATGTAGGTGAAAAGTTTTTAAAGTAGCCTCATTTTTCATTTGTGATTCATCAGAACTGCCTGTTTTTAACAGGTTTTCAATCTATATTGCCACTGAAAATGGTGCCCGCTATATAAAAGAGAATTATATATGAGAATACATTGGGGTTTCAGGACTGCACATTATGAGCAGGTGTCCCTTTTATGGAAGTGCCTGTTAGACAAAGAATGACTGCATGTTAAATACTTTTGGCAATATTCAATTTTGAATTTTCCAATTTAACACATCTTTTTAATATAAATGCATATATGTAGCTTTTGAAATTTATGTTTATGTTAGAATTTGACCCATTCCAATTTTTGCCATACATATATGGCTCCAACATGGTCAATTGCAACAAGCAACCTTGGGGGTTTGGTGAACAAAATTTCGACCTGATGTCTCATTTAAAAGGACCTGTGATCTTTAAAAATGTTCAAATCCTACTTTCTAAAATCTGCTTAAAAGATACCTGGGAAGAGGCAATTATTAAACATGACCTTGTGACCTAAGAGGGGTACCCTACTGGAGCCCACATATGAGATACTTTGTTAATTATTGTAAAGAGACAACCTTGGTTGTTTTAGGGCTGCTTTCTCAATATTTTTAAAAATCTTATAATATTGATTTCACCACTGCAACAAGCGTGTTATGATATTTCTCCACTCGAGACAGTTAAATTTTAATATTTAAAGCGCGAGGCTTGCAGAGTTTTTAAAATAATTAAAATTTAACTGCTGAGATTGGAGAAATATCGTATTACACGAGCAGTGTTCTCCCCAGGAATTTTGGATAGCATCACATTTGGCGTAAAAAAAAATTGTATTTATTTTTCAATGTCATTTGTTGCGTCGCGGCGATGCTCTCTTTCTTTTAAGTTATTGTTGATTTTTTTTAATTCATAACTGAGAATACAATTAAAGTATAACTGTTCTTTTAGTTTATTTCTTTAATATTCATTTATAGTTACAGAATTATATTTTTCTTGTTAGAAACTACCAACTAAAAATCTAGTACAAAAGAGAACTTCTTTTATATCAAAAAGGAAAAGAAAGTATCATATGATATAGTAATACCATTTCAATTAAAAACTATTCTGTTTATCATGTTTATGAAATTCATTATTTCCTGGGACTCAATGTATCAGTCCCAGTTGTTTCAAACAGATGTATGTTTTTAACATTGTTAAACTACTTTAATCAGTAAATTAATTGAAACAATGTGTTTACATAGAAATAAATACATTTTGCAAGGAGATCTAACAAATAGTCTGTAAATTCATGACGATGATGTGGAATGAGTAGCTTTCCCTTTTGGGATCATTATTATTCTGTCAGCTGTGCCATTTCTGCGTCTGTAGTTATTACCGTAAAAATGCGGATTTTGATCATAGCTGGTCCGCTTCCGATCCGTAAATAGTACAAATATATCAATGGCGGTCGAAGAAAAATTTACGAAAATAAACAATGTTTGAGAAGCGAATTGGATGAATATATCACGATTTTACTGTAATAAATAGATGAAACATTACCTAAAGGCAATTTTCATCACGTTCTAATGAAGTATAGAACTTATTTTGCCAAGAATCGAAATGTTTTATGTACGCTCTCGAGTACCGGAATGGAAAGAAAACACTTCTTTACAAGTTGTTAGTTTGAAATAACAAACGACCAGCCTGTTAAGTTCGCTCGTTTTTTGGGTTTTTTTCTTCTCTTAGGAGACGAATTTGCCTTGATTCAAACGTAGATTTCGAATTGTTTATGATTTTCTCGATGTCAAAATTTTGCAATTGGGCCACGTGTAATCAGTCATGTCATAAGTGTCAGCTTGGGGTATTCGTATTCAAACAGTTATCACCCAAAGGGCAATTAACACCTATTTAATCAATCTTAATTTCCTCTTATGTCCGATTTGAAGGGATTACGATTAAAGGTGATATAATTTTTATGATCACAAGCGGTAATTCGATGAAAGTTCGAAATTAAGGACATCGATATTGCGGTAATGTATAGAGCAGACAAGAAAAAAATAGCGTCCTCAAAATAATTATAGCGTTGCGGAAATTATTATAGCGTCACGGTAAAAAATTATAGCATCGGGGGGCCGCGACGCTAAAACGGCCTGGGGAGATCACTGACGAGTTATAGTGGTGGAATCTGTTTCTCTAATGATTTTTATCAGTCCTTTTTCAAAGATTTGCAAAACGTTGTGTTCTATATATGTGACGTCATCAGGTATGGTCACCTTTATTCATGACGTTACAACAGGAAATTCAGAAGAAACCAAGAAAATTTAACATCATAATCATGATAATCAAATTTCGACCAATCATTTGCCGAGAACAGATATTTCACTAGTGAGAAGAAATATTTTTCTCACACCGATCAAGAAATGTGAAAATAGCACAAAATTAGAGAATATTGATTAAAATACTGTAGATGAGTTTTCAATCTTATTTCTTATTGACCAGATGTGTTTATATGTTGTATTTTGGAACTTTGATTTGAGTTTCACTGTCTTCTTACATGTCACCACTGTTCAATGAAAAGAAAGCCTCAAAGGCTCTTTAACACATACAAGCTTTTACCGTACTGTTATTTCATATTCTTGACCATATGATCATTGAACAAGAACTGAATAGAGATCATAATCATTTACTTAAGATACAACCATTGTACCCTTATAATCTACCACCAGAGGCACAATTATACATTTCTACAAACTTTTTCTATAGAGGCCACAGACATACAGCAATAAATGCGCTGTTCCCTTGCTTTTTGTTGTCCATGTACTGATTTTGTGTCATGGATGGGAACCCTGTATCCTTTGTTTTTCTATTATAAAAATGACAGTGTTACTTTACTATCACTTTCACAACTTCATTATAGGGGATAATAAAAAAATATTCTATTAACACTCCAAAACCAGTAACAGTGACCATAAAATATTCCCTGACTTTTGTTGAAGACATAATTTTTTTTCTTAAAACATGATTATTTGTTTAAATTACCATGATTACAAACCTTAATTTTATAATCATCCCCACCAGATACAAACAATGGCTGTTGGCTATGAAAACAGATTCCTCTTACAGGACCTGTAAGTACACAGTGACATATAACACTAAAATTGTACAACTTGCATGTCAACAATTCAGCTCATGAATTTAAGTTACTTCATGTTAAATTTATACAATTATTTAAGAGAAGCAATGAATATGACATAAAAAGATATTTTCCTCATTCAATTAAAGTTTTATTGATAAATAGTTTTATTTTTTTTCTTAAATCTTCTATAGTACTAAATATGTGTATCTAAATGATAGTACTGTTGCATGGCTAGTGGAAAAAGTATAATTATGTAATAGAGGCAGGGTTTCCCCTAGGTCAATTTTCTTTTTCAGCACCTTTCGCCAAAACATTATATTTTTCGGCTACTAATGTAAACATACTTTAAAATTTCCTTATTTCTAACAAAACAATTATTTCTATCAAAGTTGTAAATAAATCCTTTAGGTGACATGTGACACCATTTAACCACAACATTTTATTAAACAATACGAACAACACCTTTATCAATTAGTTCATTGATGTCGATAGCTATAAAATGCAATGGGCAGATAATTTATTTTCTATCAACTCGACCCGTTACATTTCTTTCGCCAATGATGAATTTTAATCGCCATAATTTTTATTATTTTACAAAATGTGAAAATGGTGCTCCGCTATGCGTCGCTAGGTAAACTCAATTAGCGACAGTAAAATCTATGTTTTACGAAAGGCCAAGCTTAAAATACAATAAGTGATAAATAGCGTGAGCCCAGACCAATGCAAGCATTTAATTTTTCTCAATTAGAGAGGTGGTTAATCTGCACTATTAACCTAAAACATGGAAGTTAGCCATTCAAATGTAGTTCCAAATTGTTGCTTGTGACAGATATATCTAATTCAGTCCAGTAAATTTTATCATAGATCATACTGAAAAATTGTCCGTTTTGTTACTTTGCATGTTCAGTCATTTTTTTTTTATTGTTATTAAATATAATCCATGTAATTTGAGAGCAATGAATAAAAGCTCTCTTGTCTTTTAATATTTTTAAATTCCTTCATCTAGTATTCTTAATGTTTCCATAATCGTTACAAAAAAGAACTACCCCTCCTCAATATAAGACATATATAAATAAAACATGTATATTAAACAACAAATTTAAGTGTACTACCATCATGTTCGTCAAACTTGTCTATCAATGTACACATTCTGTAGTCCCATAACTGGATAACACCATTGAACAAACTTGTCAACACCCATGGTCTTTTCGGGTGAAAGGTAAGACCTGAAATAGCAAACAAACAGTTTTACATAATCATGATAATATCCACAGCCTAAAGCAATCTCTTTTATCCATATGGAAGAAATATCTTGAAGGGGTGACAAATTTTCTGGCCAGGTCTAAGCCGAGGAATTGCACCAACTGATTTAGCTAAGCCTGGATAGAAAAGAGTAAACATTTACAATTTGCTTTGCTTTGATATTAGTTCATGCATTTATGCTACATACGGCATGCTTTCTGTTTTATATGTTTTATGTCTTGTGTTTATCATACATGTCATGTGTATGTGTGTGAAAAGCTCTACAAAGCTTATGTTGTATTGTTACATGTATACCTTTACCTAAAAATTAAAACATATTTTTAAGCACCGTGATTGAGAGTTCTGTACAGAGGAAGTCAGTTCTGCCCTTTCTTTGTTCCTCTGTTCAATGTGTCAGTATCAGGTCTGTTCACTCCCAGAACATTTGCCCCTACACATTTGTATCATATTTTTATACAGTCTTCATGCTAAACCACAGACCCACTAGTCCAGGCTTGTAAAATGGACGTCGGGCCTGTTAAAAAACAGGTCTACAGCCGTACAGGCCAGTAGAATCTAACTGAAATTATAGTAAAATTGAGCTTTGGGCCTGTAGATTCAAGAGTTTATCATGAAGACTGCAAATATTTATATTTTTATGTCCGTTTTACTTACATTTGTCATTCTCCTTTTAATAAAATGCATATATATGTATATACATATTTGTGTATATATATGTAAAATACACTTACAAAAAACATGATTAAAAAAATATTCAGGAGAAATCCTTTATTGGCTTTAAGAAGGGGCGAACTTGGAACGGGGCAAACATGAATGAGGGCAAACATGATTTTGGGCAAACAGACCTGGATTCCCATTTCCAATGTTTTTTGTTTTACTGTAAACAGGAATAATTCTGGTAGCATATACAGAGCATGTGCTCAAATTATATCACTCTAGGCACCAACCATTCACTTTGTGTTTTGTGGGAGAAAGGTAAATTATGTGGTGTAAACGCAGTCATATTTATTTATACCTTACGATGAACCGTTCTTTTGGGCCATGGTGTTGTTTGTTTTATAGGACATATGATTTGTTTATAAAAAATTTGCCCCTTGAAAGTTGGTATCTGTTGTCTCCTTTTAAAGCGTCTACCCCTTGAACCCTAAATTAAGCCTTATGGACGATAAAGTTGCTTTCGTTTACCTTTCACTCTTGCAGATTTTGTTTCAAATTTCGTCAACATAATGCCATAAGATGATTCTGTTACTCTTAAATTGCTATAAATTGTGTACAACCGGCTAAATTTCCACTATGGCAGTTCCACGTAAAACCGGAAGTTAGTGTTTCACGGACTGGTTTCCCGACTGATGTAATTGACGGTAAGCACTCCGGTAAGGGAGCAATCATTTCACCTCGGGCTCTGTAGAGGCTCTTGGGGAGGGTCCTTTCAGGGGCGAATCCAGGATTTTGGAAAGGGGGGCGAAGTATGTAAAGATCGCCGAGCGGAGCGAGGCGAAAATATTTTTGGACCTTTTTTTGGCTAAAAAACATAAATAAGTGTAAAATGCACTTTTTTAACGGTTCCTGATGTAAGGCATGTATATTTTATAGTTAAAGTGTAAGAGTTGGACATTTTTGATGCCGTATTCTCCCCATTAATTGTCTATTATAAAATGATTAGATGGATCCAAAGCTATGTACTAATGTATTTGATGTGGGACTTGTCAGTAAAAAATTGACATGGAAAATTCTCGTTTGTTGTATGTTTAGTTAGCATAACGTCACGGATTTGTTGTAAACAAGATATACGCCGGGCTATTCAATGAAATTAACAATACGACCGACACGAGTTAAGAAAGACAAACAAGCAATTTGTATCCAAATGTTTGGTTGAAATGTTTCACCCAACAAGGGAAGTGAGGGGTTCCAAATCAACCAAAGGCTACGAATGAGTCTGAAATGACAACGAATATATGAATGACGGTCGACAGATGGAGACATCAAGGCCACACCCAGTAGACAGGTTGCAGTCGGGCCTTGAAAAAGTATTCATTTTATCAGTTCGACGAAACAGACATTCCGGTCAGATATATGGGATTTACATGCAAACCCCCGGCCCCAAAAACTGAATTACGCCCGTTTTTTTATTCATCATGTTCATTTAATGCTAAATAATTCTGTTGGAAATTTTTGTTTCTAATAGCAAAAAAAGTGGACAAGATTATTGTTTTCAATCCAGATACGGCCAGAATTTTTGTTTAAGGAAAAAATCACGGGGTCAGAATTTTTTCTCTCAAACATCTCAGACTGCCCCCTCAAATCAAATGGTCCGTACCTTAGACTTTAAATCTACCCAGAGCTTATTGACTGGGGATCATTATTCAGCTATGTTATTAATAGGCTCGGGCGTGTTGGGTTAAACATGTTTTCGTAGGTAAATAATATTGCTGTGGAACTTTTTTTCATGAGAGTGTAATAGAGTATTACTTTCTGTTCGGTGGAATTGTGAAATAGAAGTCAATTGATACGTTCTTGCCGCGCTCAATCCTTTGTCGCTTTGAAGGTGTCATGCTTGTCATCCTAAGCCTAAGCAATGTGTTACTGTAAATTGAATTTCAAAATGACTGCATGAGTGACGTTTTTTCGACGCTCTGGTCAACTCCACCGTAGTGAATCACATGATTTTGACATAGGCAATAATATATTACCGTAAATACGAGCGAAACATAAGTATAATATAAGTAAAGAATTGTCGCATAAAAATTTAATATGCGGGAAATGGCAAAGTTCACGAAGTCTAGTCTGATTAATCATTTTACAAAAAAAAAAAAGTGCAAGCAAAAGGGGGGGGGGGGGCGTACGCCCTCTACGCCCCCCTCTGGATCCGCCACTGCCTTTTATCAACTGATTATCACATTGTTATGGATATCAATTAACGAACAATAATCAACAATACCCGAATTAAGGACAAGCTTCACTTTTGTTAAAATATGGCCTTAAATTTCAACTTTATCATAAACATGTAAAATAAATAAAGGCCAGCCCACAATTTAAATTGATGGGTCTATTTCAAAAGCCTTAATGTTAAGTAAAACGAATCTTTTCATAATAGGACATTAGTCAGCACGTTTTGGAGATATTCTCAAAATACGATAATTTTGTGCATTTATTTGGAACTAAAAGCTTTAGGAAAACCTTGGCTGTAACATACGATCCAAACTGTGCTGTAACCAAAATGTGACTAGCCAGTATGTTTATATTGAATTCCTAGACACCAAAAAAAATATGGATCAGGGATGGCGGTAAATTACAGTAAAATATGATAGGAACTAGTATAGATTATGAAATAATTGGACAAAAATGACGTTATTATTCATATAATGCATATCGATGGTGATATCTTAATTATCTAGCAGAATAAAACGTTAATCGATTAATGAATTGTAATGTATAATGCAAGGTGCCAAAATGAAGTTATTTTGTATTAAAATACTAATTACACTCCATTTTTTAGTGGAATTTGAAACATTTTAGTCTTATTTAAAAATGATAAATCGTAGGTCCAATGTTAGCTCTTCGTGCACCTATACTCCTGTGTCCAACGAAAGTGGAAAGAACCTATTAAAATAATTAAAAAGAAAATCAACCATGCCTTAGATTACTGCCGGTTCCAAGGCATATTTTTCTCGATATTTTTGTATCTTTCCCATGCTGGGACTTAAAATAATATTTTAAACATATATATTATGTTCCAGTTCCATGTGAGCATATATGCTTTAGTAGGCTAATATATTTTCTTGGAACCACGAAATCTTGCAATACAGCTTGAAGCTTATCAGACTGTGCTTTATCTATGATGACTACTGTACTGTCGGTCACAACAGAGACATATAATACATAAAAAGGTTATATATTTCTGTTTATACGAGCATCTATCATAAAAATCGAATATGCATACACTGGAAGTATTAGACGTATAGGAAATACGGCTATTTAGATATTTAGAATTATTCAGTATTCAATTAAATTATTGGGTTTTTTTTGCAGCCATACCCTCGGTAAAACTAAAAGGTATGGCTCAAATTCATTCAGATATGCTGGTGCTAAATTATTAAAATGAATAGCAGCATGAATATTTGACGAACAGTTTCTTGTCTATTGTGCCAAAGCCTATATATGTTGCAAGTAAGATGTCCGAGGGCTTTTGGTTCTGTGTGTCGTTGGGTTGATGTCTCCGATTGACAGACGTCTCTTTTTAATCATATTATTATTATAATTTGCCAGAGAGATTTGTTTAAGAAGATTGGTCTAGACTTCAGTTTGAGATTACTGCAATGTTCCCTTCGAGGTCTTTCTATTTTTACAGCAACTTTTCAATCGGCACTAGTAAATGTAGAATATGGATACGATATTTAAGGGCTTGCGTTTTATGATAGTGGGTTGCTGCCTATAAGGAATATATTAGCGGTAAAAAATGAAGTTGTCTCTTTATGGACAACAGTCGTGATTTGATTAACCGTTATGGTAATCTGGTTATGGTTATTTGTCAAAGAAGATCTAGGATATGTTCGATTTGATTTACCAACGATTCCGATCTTTTATAACATCTCCAACACCCCTTATCATCGATTGTTGGCGTCATGAACTGCAAGATGGGTGTCACTAGAATATATGAACAACAAGATGGGTGTCACTAGTGTATAACCTTTCTGGAACAACTGAGTCGTCATGCACAGAAAAGTCAAAATATGCCAGATCTTATTTTAACATTATTTAATGCTATATATATATATATATATATAGTTCAATTATGTATTTGATACAATATAGATTTTCATCTAAAATAATCTCATAGAACAAACAGCTTGTCTTAAATTCTTCAATAATAGTTAACTGCCCATAAGAAACAACAGTCAACAAAAGTATAAAAATGCCTAAAACACCCTAACAGAAAAGATTTTTTAACCCCCACACCCCCATCCCCCTCATTACATATTAGTGAACATACGTAAGTACTCGTACTTACAATTAACAGTATTTGAAAATCATATCATCTTATCAGGTTCTCTTCAAATTGTTAAATCATCATTAAATCAGATTGAAGATACGAGATGATGGATAGTTGTGGGTAGTGCTTGGCAAAATTTTTTATATGATGTTGTCACATCTTAATTCATGCTCATTATGTCACCTTTTGAATTTAAGCATCAGAAAATCTGTATACCCATAACAGAGACATATAATACAATTATATCATATTTCTCTGCCCATATTTTTTAAAAGAATCAGTTAACGAAGAAAAAATATGATGTATTTAATTACAGACCTAATGCAATTTTACCATTAATACAAATTCCTCACGTTGAGAGTCCCGTAAAGGCTCATTTGACGCAATCATCTAAAAACGTATAATTTGTTCTATTTCATGCTTTCAGGCTTTCGTAAAAACTATCTCTGTCAGATTGCAATGTAATCTTTGTTAGAAAATGGGTCCAAAGCCATTGATGGAGCGATTTAGTAGGGGCGGTATTTCATGATTTGTGTAAATCTTTTGATCTTCTAAATCATGAACTTAAAAAATTACAAAAATATAATTTGTCTTTACTTCACTAGATTTGTTTATTTCGTATTTGGCCGAGAGACATCAGGCCGTATCCATTTCAAGTATTAAGACGTATAAAAAAAGTTGGTGTACCTCAAGAGTCAGTTTTAGGTCCTGTATTATTCTTAATATTTATTAATGATTTGCTGACATTTTTGCTAATAATAGCACTTATTCTGTGATATAAGTTGATATAAGTCAGATATCGATATTTAAATAGACAAGACCAATACTGGATGTACACTGCGTCGCTGCATGCAATTGATTGAGGTAATATGTATACTGGAGCATAACTGATCATTCACTTTCACTCGGATGCCAAGAAACCTTTGACGAAAATTTTCCTTGTACAATGAATGCAGTTAAATTCTAAACTATCGGCAACAGGAAGTGGCTACACGGCAGATTCAACATTGCTAACTGGCTTCACCTCAACATAATCAAGCTGCAGACCAAATTTTAAATCATTCCCTTCAATAGGAGCCAAGAAAACTTTGACGGAAATATTCCTTGTACAATGAGTGTTTCAAATTAACGGCAAATAGGAAGCATGACAGTGTGTAAAGATTGCTTACTTGCTTTAACATGATGAGGCTGCAGACAAAATATTAAATCAGTCCCTTTCACAGAAGCCGAGAAAACGTTGACGGACGGACGGACAGAGTCGAGCGGTTACTAGACCTACTTCCGCATCCTCTTCCTACACGTCTTTAATGTATCTGAGTGATCAAATACAACAGAAACAAGTTTCTAC